TTGATTCTCGGTATCGCGGTCCGTAAATATATTTCCATGACGCACTGCTGGTGACCATGTATTGGCCATGGTAATGCGGACACAACTCCTACACTGCAGAAATAGACACGCATATGCATATGAATACGGAATCTTCTGTATCTTGAGAATAGTCGTGTGTTTAATGGATTGAACCCACTGTATCCTTTAACATAGACAAAGTGTAAAGCATTGGGTGGCCAAACGGTACCAGACCCCGGTCAATCGAGCCAAGGTATGGGTATGCCAAGTACATTAGGGTATGGAAACTGTCTCTATGTCTATGAAGAGGGCTTTCTTGAGGCTGAATAACCGCCTTCATGTTAACCCAGTCCTCAGTTTCTCACCCCCCCCCCGCCTGTGAAGTTGCTGGCATTTCTTCCGCCACGGTATCAACAAATCCCGACTCGAGGAAACATATCATCAGAAAGGTACCTAGCAACCCTATAGGTTATAGTGCTCCTAATCCTGCTGTGGCAGTAGGGTGCATCATCTCCCTTGGGATCTAGATTCATAATGATGCCTGTGGCGCAGGGTACACCGGTGAATGGCAGGGTAGTAAGACCTCAACGGTTCGGGTCTCACACGATATGCTGAATCAAAAGAGCCAGCCAGTCTGGTATTAATGGTCTGCTCTTGGTCTATATCAGCTGACTTCGCTCTAAGTAGTGGTCATTGTGGCCCCGCAATATCACGTGTGGGGAAGTCACGTTGATTCTGAGGAACTGGGTCAAATGATAAACGATCGATAGTCATAATCCAATTCTTATAGGAACATCTTCATGGTACACAGTATAACTGGTTTCTACGCCAGGGCTACGGAGTACAGAGTATGCTTACCGCATTAGGAAGTTGACAGACAAACCTCGATTTTGGCATTTCATGCTCAATGACCTCACTACTGAATTGAACTGTTGTATACCTTGGAAGCTACACATTTTTTCAGCTCATACTGCATAATATGCTATCAATCCCTCCGATGTCGTTAGAGTGTCACGCCTGTTCCCTGTCAAAGGAATCTCCGCAGGCGTGGCTTTAAACCCAAACAGGCATGGCGTTGTCATTCGAAGGGCGCGCAGGTCACCTGATATCAATCCACGCTAAACCATGGTTTGATACGATCTCCGGCTACAAGAATGGTCAATGGAGAAAAGATGATGACTCGACGCAGAAAATCGGGGCTTATCTTCCTTCTTCGCCTACATGCCTCCAAAGGGCAGGCAGATGATTGGTCCGCTGCTACTCCGTAGTCCGGAGAAAGAAGCGTCCTCCGTAGGTGACCCTCCGCCGATTAGTTGCTCCACGACGCTCAAAGGTAATTTCGGTATGCTTTTTATACCTGTGCTCCTCTCTGACTGTGCTCGTCTGACTCTTTTCTCATTTTATCTTCTCATATCGTTTCAGTACAAAGTTGATCCTTGGTTTCTCGGTTTGGTCGATTAGTAATGGAATACTTCGATTTCGAAGGTGCCTCCCATGACTCCTTTACCCAGGATGATGATGTGGCTTCGGATCAGCTTGAATTGGACGAAATAGATGCCATTGTCCGTCAAGACTCGCTTATGTTAGACCAGTCGTTAGAGGGGCTTCCCTTTGACCCTCCAGAACAGGACGTTACCGAGCAGCAGGTCCCAGATGCTGTCGAACCTCCCTCGGAGACTGGAATGTTTCCGATTGTTCGGACCAAGGAACCATGCGATTTCTGCGCACGAATGGGTTTGGATTGCTTCGTTGCAAGACGGGGCGTGATGCAGAAGGCCTGCACATGCTGCATCTCCCTTTACCGCGAATGCAGTTTCAATACCGCCAAAAAGCCTGGCAAGTTTTTGGACACCTTACACACCGTCTCCGAAAACGTGGACATTCCAACAGGCGGCCTGACTGGGAAGCGAGCGATGAAATCTCTTACTGGTGTGTTGACGCCGGAAGAAATGGAAGCACGGTCGAAGAAGAGCAATGCTCGATTGTCCCGAGAAGCGGTTCGCGTCCTGAAAACTTGGCTGTACAACCATCGCGAGCATCCATATCCGAATGAGCAAGAGAAAGAGGAATTGAAGGAACGAACAGGATTGAAGAGGACTCAAATCTCCAACTGGCTTGCCAATGCCAGACGGCGCGGCAAGGTCCGCTCTGCAAACAGTGCCTCCGCGGCTCAAGATATTCCTGGCCAAGAACCCGACATGTCCCTCATGACACCAATGGAAAGATGGAAGCATTCTCCACCCGAAAATGAACCTGCCGCCAAGTCTGATATTCTTCGCGCTCTGATAACCACCCCATTGGACCCCTCTAAACCACGATCGTCTCAGCCGGCGGGGCACGTACGTTCTCTTTCTCGGCAAACAGGGTCTAGCAACGATGAATCAAGCATTGTCAATTCGAATCGACAGCCTGCATCCAACTCAGTCAGCAGCTTCGAAACCAGTCACTCCTCCATGTCTGACTTCTCTTTTGCGTCTGCTTTCTCCCACCGATCTTCCCTTGGATCCTTCGGTTCAACGGATAGGAAGGATCGTCGACGCCGTCGCAAGGCTTCTGCTCCTGTGAATGAATTTGCTCAGCAAAAGGCCCGGAGTGCCCGTATCTTCCAATGCACATTCTGTACAGACTCTTTCCCGACAAAGTACGACTGGCAGCGGCACGAAAAATCTCTTCATATGACTCTAGAGAAGTGGACATGCTCTCCCGAGGGTGGTACTGCGATCATTGATGGTACACGTCGCTGCGTGTTCTGTATGGCATGTGATCCAGATGACGATCATTTGACATCTCACGACTTTAGCCTGTGTCATGAGAAGATGCCTCATGAAAGGACTTTCTTCCGCAAAGACCATCTTAACCAACACTTACGATTGATGCACAATGCGAAGTTCCACACTTCCATGGACAAGTGGCGCACCACCACCACAGAAATCAAATCCCGTTGCGGATTTTGCTCGACAACCTTCACCACTTGGAAAGAACGAGTGGACCACTTGGCAGCACATTTCAAGAGCGGCGCAGACATGACACAGTGGCAGGGTGATTGGGGCTTCGAGCCATTTGTGCAAAATCGTGTTGAGAGCGCGGTGCCGCCGTACTTGATTGGTCACGAAAGGAAAACACCGAACCCTTTCAAAACTTCGCATGCTATGGCTCCCTCAGATAGCTCATTCAATGAGTTCTCTACAGGTCTCAAGAGCAAGCTTGATGATTCTAACTGCTACCACCGTCTCCAACTCGAACTCACGGCCTACATCCACAAAAGCCTCGCGGTTGGCATCAGTCCTACCGACTACATGTTACAAGACGAATCTCGAAGAATCATATACGGCAACGATGATCCCTGGAACCAGACCGGCGCCGATAACCCTGTCTGGTTAAGCGCACTCAAGCGCGATACTGGACTCATTCCTAATTCCGAGCATATCCAATTCGACAATCTGATGCAACCACCATTTGCAGCACAGGGTGGTTTGCGACAGCCACCAATCGAGATCGACCCTTTCGCAAGGACAATGTACCAACAAGATCCATACAGCCCCCGCGCCAGTTCATCTGGCTTCCAAAGTCCAGCTCTCAGGACTGGTCGATCTTCTACCGCCGCAAGCGCCCCCGGGAGCTCATCCGGAAGCTATGCCTGTAGTACTGGAGCCTTTCATACAGCGTCTAACCCCAGGACCTCAGGCGAATGGGGGGGTATTCAGTCGGCCGGTATCTCGTCGTTGTCTACCCCCGTCAGCGGCTCCGTTGACCCCTTTGCGCAAATGGAGTTTGATCCACAGTTCATGCAACAATTTGACGAGGGCTATGACGGGCTGCAAGATGGACTCGAAGGTCTTACCTTCGAGGGCCTCGAAAATATTGGTCTTCCAGACGGTATAGGGAAGTTGCCTGAGGGTCTGGATCTGCCGGTGTTCCCTGCTAGTAATGAGATGTCGGCACCGGTTGATATACCCAGCCCAAAGCGGCAACCTGGCATCCATGCGCCTGATGCTTCTGGCATGGGTTTCCAGTATCACGGAATGGGTAATCAGGAGACGAATAACTGATATCTATTTTTACGAGTACATATCATGATCATGATAAAAATTTGCTTTGTTCTCGTTTTGTATTGGCGCTCTATGGCTTGACTTCTCGGTGCATTGTTCTGTTATTCGTATTAAGTATACACATAATTCGGCCAACGCGTATATAATGCTTCTAAGCTCGTAGCAAGAACAAATTCAAATTTCTTTAATATCAAGTTTGCTATAACTACTCCGTAGTACTGTGCCTGTACAGAAGTTTGCTGACGGTGCGATAAGATAAGCCTGCCAAAGCGTGGCCACTCATCTCCAACGCGGCTACGGCTGATCGTTAACAAACATCGAGGCCAGCACCATGTCCTCAACCAGATTACCCAATATCCCCTCTTTGAGGAAACATCAATTGCTTCTTGAATTGTAAGTCATGTTTTCCACGCAGTCGTGAGATCTAGTGTACTAACGCCAAATAGCGCAAGTCTGAGACAGGCCGCTCCTCCTGGTGTCTACGTGAGCCTCACGCCGGGCGATCCCACGCTTTGGTCTAGTGTGCTCTTTGTTCGTTCTGGTATGTTCATGGAAGTGAGAAATATCTCCCAACGGCTGATTGAATTATCTTGTGTGCTCGAAAAGGCCCCTATGCTTCTGCCGTGCTCCGATTCCAAATTCGCTTCCCCACCTCCTATCCCGATCTCCCACCCCTGGTGACCTTCTCTACCGACGTCTTCCACCCATTGATCGTTCCTCTTACCACATATACCTTTAGCACCAATGCATCGACCGAGGACCCTGTCAGCGCGACTGATGAAGAGCGTTTATCACCGGGCGGGTTCAGCCTCCGCCATGGATTCCCACATTGGTTTGGCAGAGCGAAGAGAAGCGGGGTATCAACTGCATCTTCAAGGGCGGTAAGCGTCCAGGGCCGTGGTCCGGTATTGGGAGAAGCAACTACTGCGAGGGAAAGCCAAGGAAAAGATAACATGGATTCTACAAAAGGTCAAGGAGAGGATGGGACAATAGAGCAATATCCCGAGCCGAGGAAGACGGTACCAGTTGCGGAACTGTTAGATTATATCCGATCGACATTCGAAGATGAGTCGGTTCTTGATTCCCTGGCGCTAGAAGCTGCTGGGAATCCGGGCGCGTGGCATGCATGGAGGGCCCATAGAGGTAGCAGTAATTCTGCGACAAAGAGCGACTTCAAACGAGGGAGTCCGCAAACAAGGCTCCCTGGTGACTGGCATTGGGATGGGATATGGGCCAAGCGTGTTCAGAGTGAAGTTGAGGCTAGCCACTCGGAACCCATGTTGTATGGGAATTCGGCTCGTGCGGTGGGCGATGAGATGGTACGTTCAGGGATCGTGATTGCCTCAGTATTGCGGGAGTTTGGTTTGCTGATATAAGGTTGCAGATTCGCTTTTCTCGCTTGGACGATGTCAGTATGGCTTCGATTAAAGAGAGGATCATTCCTCGCACAGGGGAGGTACACGAATAATTGCACGGTTCTAGTTTCTGTTTTAGCTATATCATTATACCCGGGACCTATTGAGGTTTCCCTTGTCTGTCATGTACTTGCTCTTTCCTGTTTCGGAATCCAACAATGTTGCACCTTCCTTCTTTGCACGAAATTATCCCTCCCAGAATTACTGCATTGTGTCTTCCCAGATTCCCGACGCCCTCCTTTTCTTCTTTCATCCACATCAGAGCATACTACTACTTTACTCTCTTAGTCGCAGGCTCAATATGCCAAGAGTTGTATCCTTCAGTGTCAAGACCTCCGCCCTCGTGATCGCATTGGTTCTGGTCCCCATCGTCGTCCTCTGTTGCTGTCTTGCTGTTGCGATTGCCTGCTCAGAGTACTGGAGCTCCAGGTCTTCTCGCTGCTCCTGTTGCCCACGAATCCGTTTCCGCTGGTTCAAAGGATTCAAAGGGCGCAAGAGAAAGCACTCAGACCCCACTTCTTCCAGTTCGACCGAAACACCTGGACTCTCGGCGACCCCTTCTGTGTACGGTGACCCTGTCCTTACAAGGGAACAAGTCTAAACCTACGCCGTGGCTTGTTTTTGGCCTTCCTCTCCTTTCCCAGACGAACTATACTCACCAATGGAAGACATCATACCGAAGCCCCTCCGGGTTATCAAGACGCAATCGAACTCCAAGCATGAAATCCGTTCAGTATCACGATCGTCTTATCCCTCGATTCCCTGCAGAAGCTCTTCTCTAGGTTTGGATTCGCGACAGGTTTCGAGCGATTCCTCAAATTCAACCACCCCGTCACCATCCCCCTTTCGTGACGACTCTGAACCGATCAAGATCCGAAAAAGAAGCCGAGCTTATACACTATCAAGTCAAGATCGAGATAGCGAAGGCCAATCTGTCAGTTATCCCAGGAGGTTTGATGAAGTACCGCACCCGCCTTCACTGCTCTTGTCGATCCCACTGACATTCATAGAAAACCGATAGGCAACCATTCCCAGAGACTGGCTGTCGTAAAGAGTCGAAGTCGCGTTTTTTCAGTGGTTGGAGTTTCAAATCCTGGAGCTCGACAATGAGACGCCTTTCCTTCGATCAAACAAACGGCCTCGACGACTCGCATGCTTCTAAGACGTACAACGGGAACGGTACCGCCGACAAAGATCCTGGGCCAATTGTCTATCCTTCGACAGAATTTTTGATCCACGAGAAAGCTGATGTTTTGATACCACGAACTATTCCTATTACTGGAATCGATATGAACACTGCTGCGAACCCTCCTATCATTGGCACTGGCCCTGATTCTATATGGGCTACGGTGAACATCTCCGCAGAAGCCAGCTCTAACGAACCCTTCAACCTTGGATGGCCTGCACCATTGGATGTTGTGATTATTTTGGACATTGTGTATGTTTTCTCTTTTTGGCAATATCCTGGTTCGATATCTAACCGAATCAGACCTCACATACATATCAGCATGCTACGGCAAATAGTCATCAGCTCGTTGGCTATTGTGTCTTCGTTGACTGCTGTTGACGATCGATTTGCCATTGTTTATGTCGATAAAGATTCTGCAGACGGTTTTGGATTACTCCTTCCTATGGACGTGCATTCTTTGGACTCTGCCCGCATCGCAATGGATATTTTCTCGCTCCATCAGCTCACAGGTCAAAGGTCAAGAAAGATCGATTTGCAGCAAATCATTCGGCAAATATCTGAAACTGTCTATCTTCGTGACAGACTAGCACTCTGTCATGCATTCTTCGTTACAGCATCCCCTTCAGTACGACTCTCCACACCTGCGACGGACAGAGGAATCGGCTTTCATACTATATCCCCACATTTTCGATTCCCTTTTAGCGGATCCGATATTCCTTCCGGGTGGCACATCTTCTATGATACCAATAGCTACGATGCAAATTCGAAAGAAGCCGTATTAAAACACAAGATATCTACGGCGATCGAACACATGCGTACTGGAGTAGAGCCGGGTGTTGTGACGGATCTGAAGCTCAGTCTCGTTGCTGGTGATCGGTGCCAAGTACAGGCTGTGTTGGAAGAGTGCCATTTGGATTTACTACGGCCGGGAGAGAGATGGATGGTGCCTGTACAGGTCAGAGTTCCCGCGGCTTCGATTAGACAGCCTCTACGGGTGACTGGTGGAAACACTACTTGCCGCAACAGCCATCCCACTGTTGACAAAGTCATGACACAACTTCAGGATTTACTGACGGATTTTTCTCACGGGGACACCACGCAGCACATCATGTCTGCGCGGCTCGAATACAGGCATACATTGTTATCTGTCCAAAATACCGTTCAGTTGGAGAGTTCTTGCATGGTTGTTCGTGATGTACATGAGTTTGGAATTGCATCGTTGGAACCTTAAAGGGCCGTTGGTGTTTTGAATATGAATTATCATGTAGTTTCTAATGAAAAGTGTGATTTGTTGGTCTTGTATTTGATGCAAGTACTAGAAGTTACTGGATCAAGGTTTTCTGTTTATCTACCCTTAGTCGTCTGACAGCTGTGAGGCTACAAAGTTGGCCAACGTAGGAGCCTGCTCCTCAGTTGGTTTATTCGCCCATAATGGTTCGCCATCATCATCAAATTCTGCCCATTGGAAGAATGAGCATCCTTTACCCCCAGGGGCATAGCCTGCATAACACATCCACATATATCTACCCCTAGTTTCTCGCTTTCGTTGCGCACAGCGCAAGATAGCATGCGTCCCACAACGGCACTTCGGGGTATACCACGGATGAAGCGAATCACGGTACCACCGGTATGTGATATTTATCCGCCGATTCCCAGATACGGGATGCGGGTTCACAGTTCGGGCCGGGGTTATGGCATGTTTCCACTCTTCTTGCATCTCCGCATGCATGACCAAAAGGGAGTTGTGCGGTAGATGAATGGATATCTGACCCTGGGCGTCTGCACGTGCAGTTTGTTTTTGCTTTTGCGCTACAGTATCATTGTCATCGTCTTCTTCTTCTTCTTTTTCTTCATCATCATCAGCAACAACCCTTCGAACCCGAAACTCCCTCTCAACCCCCAAACTCAAACTCCCAATAACAGCTCTCGGCCCCAAATACGTCAACTCATCCGAATGAAACCCCACACTCTCCGCCGGCCCATCATAACAATTCACAAACGCCACATTGGGCTTCCACATCCTTGGCGACTGGTATCTCAATTTCTCTCCCCGGGGATAAACGTCCCGAATCCGTCTCCTTATCTCCTCGTTCACTGCATATTGTACCTTGCCCGAAACATCGCACATATGCGGCGTGATCTGTCGGACGTTCGACCGGTATGTTCCACCGTATGTATATTCAGATGTCTGTTGGTGGTATTCCTCAGGTGTAGAGACGTAGACACTAGCAGAGTGCGGGCTTTGCACTGTGCGCTCGAAGAGCTGGAATTTGTGGCGTGAGAAGTGTAGGGATTCGGAGAGGAGTTCTTGGAGAAGGGTGCTTGCTGTGTGTGGGGGGAGGAAGTTGTGGATTATTGTGCAGGGTGTGTGGTGGGCTATGTCTCGGGGGGTGTAGAGGTGTAGGGTTCGGCCTTTGCGGGTCAGGAGTTGTTGTTGTTGTTGTTGTTGTTGTTGTTGTTGGAGATTTTTTGGGAGTGGGTGGCTGGTGTTGGGTTTTGGGGAGCAGATTATGTGTGGGAGGAGGGATGTTTGGATTGCGGATGAGGTGGCTCGTCTCTTCGGGGTTGTGGTTGCTGTGGACTCGGTGCTGGCTGTTTCTCGCTGCTGCGGTGTCGAAAGTACTGATGAGGCCTCTTCAACAGATCCACTACATGATACCAGGGTATCCAGCAGAGCCTCCTGTGTCACATTGGGAAAAACGGATAAGAGTAATGCCAATTTCACCTCTGTCGATTCGTCGTCGGGTGCGGACGCGGGTGCTGGTTGCGTTGACGGCTGAGGCGATTGGGCCAGCCGGGGCCTCTTCCTGAAAACGAATGCGTCCATTTAGAGAGCCACCAGCTCCTTAAGGAGGCCATCAAGAAGGACGATGCTGGAAATGCATCGATATAATTGAAGAGAGGGGAGAATGAAGGCATGGGAGATTCGCCGAAGACGAAAGCGTTATCAGCACGTGAATTTATCGGTATGACCAATCAGGATGCATATACTATAAACTGGCATCATGAAGCCTTCTAGATCTTGGAGTACACGAAGGTACTATAATTGATAGAGTATAATTAAACGTTATGCCCACTTCCCATCACCCAGATATACACGTCCCTGTTTATGGTAGTCCGCCAGCAGCTTCCCTTGTCGCAACCCATCATACATCTCAACCAACGCACCCAGCACCACCATTGTCGATCCGGAATAGGGCTCATCCTCAGCAGCCGACACAGACTCGGGATGATTCACATCCGGAAAATTCTCTTCAATAACCTTAATAGGACACCGTGATAAATCTGCATCCTCAACCTCCCTCGCTGCTTCATCCACTATCCCCGTCATCGCCGCCAACACTGCATCATCAATCAACATACACATCCTCAATCGCACCGGCAACTCAATAGCCGGTACAGAAAGCGCAACCTTCCAATCATGAAATGCATTCCGGACGAACCCCTCATCAACCCCATGTAGTGTCTCCTGCGAACTAAACACCTTTGACGAATAACATTGTTCAAGCCGCGCAAGTTGCTCAGAACTCCCCTCAAGAATGCGCGGGAGGGATTTACGGATTGTCTCGCTCAGGCCGCGCAGGTATAGTAAGATGAGACGCTGAGACTCCGGGGCGTATGTAGTGCGGTAGATAACAGGGCCCCAGGTTAGGGTAATAAAGTCGCGTTCGGGGCTAGGAGGGAGAGAGCGGAGGCCTGGTTGGGAGCCTAGACGGTAGACTTCCTTTTGGAGGAAGATGTTGGCTGGGGAGTGGAAGTTTGGGGGCTCGGCTGAATCTGTCATTATATGCCTAACTATGTGTATGTAGGTTTGGTGTATATATCTTGGGGCCGATTGGGTTCTGGTGGTACATATGGTTTTCGTCAGAGTGACATGTCCGGATCTAAGTACCATTGTAACGGTACCATTTCAATAGATCTTTCGATCACGATTCACCAAAAAAAAAAAAAAAAAAAAAAAAAAAAAAAAAAAAAAAAAAAAGCAACGAAAGAAAGAAAGAAGAAAGGAGGCGCATCCATTCAATGGACCAAAAAACGCAAAAAGTAATTCCGACACGGGGAATCGAACCCCGAGCTGCCGTGTGAGAGACGGCGATGTTAACCATTACACCATATCGGATGCTGTCAATATCTATCGTAACTTATGGTTTTATTAGCCAATACTATACTTTTGATGACCCCTCCTCGTTTTGATGCTGCTACCTACAAATGCCCCTATTTATGTCCATTCGTCTGGTTGAATTCGTCTGCCACCCTCCGTGCCGTGCTGACAATGTCCAAGCACCCTGGCGAATCCGAATGGCAGCACATGGACAGAGGGTAGTTCTTCAACTGCAACTGCACCACTGTTCCATCCACCGCTGTGACCGAACTGTCCTCGATCTGTTGGCGAATGTGCCTCTCAGCATCGCCCAGATCCCACGGTTTCTTCTTACGGTCAATCACCAACATCCCCCGCGAATCATACTTGACATCACCATAAAGTTCGGCCCAGAATTCAATCCCCAAATCATTGGCAGCACGCTCCATATTCGTCCCCGCAAGACCAAACACCGGAACGCCCTTGGGAATCCCCTCCATCACAGCCTTGGCCACCTCATAGTCCCGGCACATCATCCCATAAAGTACCCCATGGGGTTTGACGTGATTAAGATGTACGCCCTCGCGGTCTAGGAAGCCCTTTAGCGCTCCGACTTGGTAGATGGTGATCGCCGTTAATTCCTCGGGCGAAAGCTTCATTTCCCGTCGTCCGAAACCTTGGAGATCCGGTAGGCCCGGGTGTGCTCCTACCAGGACGTTGTGGGCTTTGCAGTTGCGGATGGTGTCCATCATGATCAAGGGGTCGCCGCCGTGGAAGCCACAGGCGACGTTGGCGATATCGATCATGGGGAGGAGCTCGAGGTCGGGTCCGAGGGACCAGTTGCCATACTATTTACCATCATCAGTCAAACAACTTCATATCAGCTACTAAAAGATAAGAGGGGAAATCGTACAGCTTCCCCCAGGTCAACATTGATTAATGCTTTTTGTTGAATCGGAGGCATGGTGATGTGTGGTTCAATATGAGTATGGTACCCCGACTTTCTCAGAACAAGAACAGCAGATGGTTATCACTCAATCACTACGGCTAAATTGCTGGAACAAACCTCAATAGATATAAGCAGCTTACTGAGGGGTTCGGAGTCCGTGCTTGCAAAGTGGACATGGAAGAGCCCCATCGCCACTGCGTATCACGTCTCCAACTCGGCCAACCGATCAACGGTACACCTCACAGTTACTCTATCCGAACATGGCCCCAAACGCCCCAGGCCGTTTTCGGTTCACACCCTCGTCGATCCGGAGGTCCTGGATAACAGGATGAGCTCCATTATTGGGCCCCGGCGCCGAGAGGCACGTAAGTATGGTTACTTTGGGTAGCTTCGTAACCGAGGGAATGGAGAGTGAGATAACACCCCTCATCAACTGGCCTTTAAAAGATAGCCAACGGATTCCCGTAGAATTACTTACTGGGATTATTATGTATTCTCTGTTCGTGCAATGAATTCTCTCAAGACGTTATTAGTCGCCAATCGAGGCGAAATTGCTGTGCGCATTTTGAAGACTGCGAGGTATGTAGTTTTGGAACTGAGCGCGCATGACGCATGCTAATTGCCTTTGGTAAATAGGAAACTCAACATTCGAACGGTCGCAGTCTACACAGAACCCGATGCTGCTTCAACACATGTCCATCTTGCAGATCAAGCTGTTCTCCTCTCGGGTCATCCGTCAAAAGCATACATAGATGGGTACGCTCACTATTCCCCTAATTTGACCATTATTGTGCTAACAGCACAACAGAGACCAAATCATAGACATCGCGAAACGAAACAATGTTGATGCGATCATCCCCGGATATGGATTTTTGTCTGAGAATTCCGACTTCGCAAGAGCTGCCACCGCTGCGGGCATTGCCTTTGCAGGTCCCTCGCCGGAGAGCATCGAAGCGTTCGGGCTTAAACATACTGCTCGGGACCTGGCCACGAAAGCTGGCGTTCCCATTGTTCCTGGGTCGAAGGGCCTAGTGACAACTGAGGATGAGGCGGTTGAGGTGTCTAAAGGATTGGGATTTCCGGTAGGCTATCCAAGCATTTTACCTGGTCGATCCAACAAGCTGATGGTTTCAGGTCATGCTCAAAGCCACCGCGGGCGGTGGTGGAATGGGATTGCTCACCTGCAGCTCAGAATCAGAAGTACGCGAGTCCTTCGCCACAGTCCGATCCAGAGGCGAAGCTCTCTTCAAGAACGCGGGGATGTTCATCGAACGGTACTACCCATCCAGTCACCATATCGAAGTCCAGGTTTTCGGAAACGGAGACGGAAAAGCAATTTACATCGGCGAACGAGAATGCTCCATCCAAAGACGACACCAGAAGGTCATTGAAGAGTGCCCCAGTCCGTTCGTCTCGAGGAATTCAGGCCTTCGAGAGAAATTAGGCGAAGCTGCCGTTAGTCTGGCAGAGTCGATTAAGTATGGTTCTGCCGGTACGATTGAGTATCTCGTTGATGACGAGACGGGGGCTTTCTTTTTCCTGGAGATGAATACGCGATTACAGGTTGAGCATGGAATTACGGAACTCTGTTATGAAGTCGACCTGGTGGAACTCATGTTGAAACAAGCTGATGCTCAGGTCTCTGGAAAGAAGGGCTTAGAAGCGTCGTTCTTGACCAACCTGCCGCTGAAGGGGCCTTATGGATCTGCTATTGAAGCCCGTATCTATGCTGAGAACCCGATCAAAGACTTTGCTCCTTGCCCGGGAATATTACAGGATGTTGAATGGAAGGAGATCCCAGGTTCTCGGATTGACACATGGGTTTACAGAGGCATCAAAGTATCTGCCAACTATGATCCCCTGCTCGCCAAGGTCATGTATCACTCCTCAAGACGACAAGAGGCTATCAAGGGTATGCAGACTATTTTGACAGAATCTCGAATCTGCGGCCCACCAACAAACCTTGAGTTTCTGTCTAAGATCCTCGATGATGAGCGGTTTATCGCAGGAAACACTTTGACCAGATTTCTGGATGATTTCCAATTTAGCCTCTCGGCAATCGATGTCGTGACTGGCGGTGCCTACACCCTCATCGAGGACTGGCCTGGCCGTCCAACCCTTGGCAGAGGTTTCTGCCACTCAGGACCTATGGACCCATTAGCATTCCGCATTGCGAATGCACTTGTCGGAAACCCCGTTGGTACTGAGGCACTGGAAATCACGCTTAGCGGACCGGAACTGCGCTTCCTGGGACCAGCATTGGTCTCTCTCTGCGGTGCATCGGTTGACGCCAAACTCGATGGTATCCCGATTAGCATGTGGTCCAGGATCAAGGTCTCCACTGGCCAGAGATTGACCATTGGAAAGACTAATGGAAATGGATGTCGTTCCTATCTCGCTGTGTATGGAGGCTTCACCAACGTCGCTCAATGGTTTGGATCGAAGGCGACTGCGCCGATGGTAGGCGTTGGTGGCTACCAGGGTCGACAGCTTGCATCTGGTGATCTCCTGTCTATTACAAGTCAATTTCCAAATGTTAGTGGTGACCTTCGCCTGCCGGACCGTCTTATCCCAAAGTACCCCAATTATTGGGAACTTCTTTCCATGCCTGGTCCTTACGATCAGGGCTATATTGTCCCGGAGAGTATCGACATGCTCTACGAGGCAGAATGGAAGATCTCGCATAACGCAGCTCGCGGAGGAATCCGTCTCATCGGCCCGAAGCCCAAATGGGCTCGTTCAGATGGCGGAGAGGGTGGAGCGCATCCATCGAACCTGATCGAATACGGATATGCTATTGGTTCTCTAAATTGGACCGGTGACGACCCGGTTATCTTCCCACAGGATGGACCGGATTTCGGTGGATTTATCAGCAGTCATACAATTGTCAAGGCGGACTTGTGGAAATTAGGGCAGATTAAAGCTGGTGATACGCTGAGATATCGGGCTGTGTCTCTCGAGGATGCTATTTCTGCAAGAAAGGAGACGGAGAAGTTTGTCGATGAGGTGGTGCAGTGCTGCTATAAAGGGCAGGACTTTGATGGCATTCAGCCTTTGAAGGATGAGCTTCCTCAGGCTCTAACGAAGGAGTCTCGTGGAAGTGGTATTGTTCATCAGATTCAGGAGAAGGGTAACCAGCCGCTTGTTTCTTATCGACAGGCTGGTGATGATTACATATTGATTGACTACGGTCATGGCGCTTTCGACTTGAACCATCGCTGCAGAGTGACTGCTCTCAAGAAAGCTCTGAATAAGGAAAAAGGGGATTTCACCTTCTCAAACGGACTGATTGGCATGGTCGGATGTGGTAATTGTACGTCAACCCCTCTCTCAGAGCTTCTACCTCACCCACTAATACTCTCCAGCGCTAATGCTCTACTATGACGGCCTTAAGACGCCCCAAACCCAACTCCTTCAACACCTAACCTCCATTGAAGCCGCGTTAGGCGACCTCAGCGCAGCAAAAATGCCCAGCCGTCTCTTCAAGCTCCCGTTGACCTTCGAAAGCCAGCGCCAAAAGGACGCCCTGAAACGCTACATGGAGACGCAACGGCCCTACGCCTCCTACCTCCCCGACAATTTAGAGTTCGTGGCGAAGAACAATGCGTTTAGCAGAGAGCAGTTTGAGAAGATCTTCCTAACTGCGAAATTGATGGTTGTTTCGGTGGGTTTTTTCACGGCGCTGCCGCTTGCGTTGCCGGTTGATCCGAGGCAGAGGATGAATTGTCCGAAGATGAATCCTAGTCGGGTCTATACCCCTGCTGGGTCGGTTTCGTGGGGTGGGAGTTGTATGGCGTGAGTCCTTCCCCTAGCCCTATCATAAACATACCAGACCAAGCTAACAAACATAGATTATATAACGTCGACTCCCCCGGCGGCTACCAAATGACGGGCATGACAATACCTGGCGTCGACATCCTCGGCACCAAAAAGAACTACCACCCCAACCGCCCGTGGCTCTTCGAAGACTTCGACCAAATAACCTTCTACAGCGTAACCGAAGAAGAATACGAGAAACAACTCGCGCTCTTCAACAGCGGCCGCTACGAGTACGAATGGGAAGAAGTCGTTTTCGACATGGAAGAGCATAATCGGTTGCTGAGGGACACGAGGGAGGAAGTTGCGAGGATTAGGGAGGAGCAGAAGGGGGCGCAGAGGGAGATGGATGAGATCGAGGGGGTGTTGTTGGAAAGGTGGGAGAGGGAGAAGGCGGAGAGGGGGGTGCCGGTTGATGAGGTTGATATTTTGTTAAAGGGTATGTTCCTTCCTATGTTCCCTTGAGCTGTGTTTTGGAGTACAGAGACTAATTGTGCAGACCCTGAGATTCTTCCTGTTGAAGCACCGCTTAACGCGAATGTTTGGAAGGTTGAAGTCAGCCAAGGCGATAAGATTGGCAAAGACCAAGTCGTTATCATCCTCGAAGCGATGAAGCTCGAGATCGCTGTTCGGGCTGATCCGGCGGTTGTTGGGACGACTGTTGAGAAGGTCTTGATTCAGCAAGGTGACTCAATTGAAGCTGGAAAGCCATTGCTTTTGGCTAGGAAGACTTCGAAATAGAGGTTGTATAGGATCTTGTATATAGCTAGAGGGCTCTGGTGACCTTCTGATCTTAGCTTAGCAATGAGCAATGATATTGTCTAGTACCTATCTTCCAACGCCACCCAATGCAGTGGTATGAATCAATCATGATCACATCAAGAATAACCTATTCCCACCAAAAACTAACACTAGCACCTGCCTTTATTCCTCGGACATAGTGCCACCATCCAACCGGGATATAAAGACATTCCCCTTCCTTAAGAACGGTCTCAACATACTCCGCTTGCAGAAAACCTGGCCAGAGTGCATCCCACTGATCCTCTTCAGCCGGGGAAAGCTCAATGGATGTCAAGTCGACCTGCGACGTATTCGACATGTCAATGAGCTGGTGGTTTGGTTCCTGTTCTTCGAATCCTGTCTGATTTTTTGTGGGAGATGAGGCAACAGCTTCCATTCCACGGGGGTAGATTTGGGAGGCTGGCGTATGCGGGGAATATAGACGAATATATTTGGTGCCTACTACCTGGACGAGAATGTTGTGATATGGGTCGTGGTGGAGGGGGGATATAGTCCATGCAGGGCCGATCCAGGTGTTGATTATAGGGTCGCCTGGGAGGCTTATTTCGGATGTTTCTGAGTTCCTTCGGTTGTTGTTGTCGTTGTCTTCCCCCCCCCCGGAGTCTTCCGCGCCATGTGCTTTGGCCTTCTCTGCCTGCTCCCGCTGTTTCTTGAGATAGACCGGCGTTCCTGGTTCCGGCGCCGGAGGATCAATATAGCAATAATCCGGTATGCAAATATCCCTCCTCAACGCCGGGATTTGTGATAGAAGATCATGCTGCGCCATATACCCCGTCTGACAAGAATCCTCCTCTCCGGACATCGTCTCGCCCCTCCAAACAAATTTATCCACAAACTCCCCAAACTCCATAATCTGCTGCCCCCATCCCTCATCCGTATACGACCTCCCAACCTCCACAGGAACCAGCCGTTTCCCACCAAACGTCCTCTCCATCCAGTAATCCCGCGACGACCAAGGCCTCGCCGACATGGCCGGCCAATGTTCCACTGCATCCGTTATCACCAGCGGCGTCCGGACGTCCTGTATATGGTGCTCGATGGCGTCAAACGAGGGGGCTGAGAGACGGGGTATCGGCGATTTCGAGCGTGTAGGTGGGGTTGTATCGGGTGGGAAAAGCGGAGGGGAGAACTTTCTGCGTTTAGCAGCGCGATAACATTCCGAGTCATCGCTTTCCTCGTCTTGGGAGTCTGCAGTTTGTGATGTAGCGGCTTGAAGGCTAGATAGGAGGTTTTCGACGAGTGATTCACGTAACGGTGCACTGGTCATTATCAAGGCTTTATCGAGCACATGAATAATCGGCGATAACCACGCGTTGGGGTGAATCTTCCACTTCATTGTTGCGTCATTTCCCTGCTCCAATAACCTCCCAACCCATCGCGCACAAAGCTCCTTGCCTGTATCATGTTTCCCTATGCTATTATTACCCCCCTCATCATCCAGGACCCCGCAGTTCTCAACGATCACTAGACAAGCTTTCACGATACTCGCGTCCGTGTATAGTCGTCGCCAGCAAGTCTCCACATCTTTGAAGGGGAAAACGCGCAGTTTTGCGTCGGCAAGGTCAAGTGCTAGGTCCTGGCATTTGAATAGGAGGTCGTGGAGGGCGTTGAGGTTATGTTTTGTGCACTGCCGTATGGGGTCTTCGGGGGTTGGTTCAGCGATGGTGGAGAGTGCGTGAGCAACCACGGATGGGAGAGATGTGGGCATCTCTTAGGTAGGCCGTAAGGCGTATATTAGCACGGTATCATGTGGGATAGAATGGGTATTTGAGAGTAGGGATGGTGTAGAACTGTGGTTGCTGCGTTGGTGTTGTGGTCTTGAAGATTATTTTTCTGAGTAACATAACGTCATCGCTAAACTGATATTCCTTAATGACTTCCATTCAGGGCCCAACCACAAAGTAAACATGCAAAGAATTATCGTACATCATTCATTTTGGCTTTTAAATAATATACAAAATGTATCATAACAAAGAGTGGTCATGTATCCGTCCACTAAACGCCGTGAATGCATATATAGCTTGCTCAATCCAAAAACTCCATAACCAACTTCGGAATGCGACCAACACCTTGCCCTTTAATCGCACTCACCGGGACACTGACCAGCTTCTTTTTCCATCCATCCTGCTGTCCACAAGGGTGTTCAATCTCGCCCTTCTCAATGCCCGAGAGATACTCCCGTAGCTCCTTGTATCGCTGCTGAGTCTCCGGCAAATCAGCCTTGGTAGCCACAACGAACCACGGCTTCGTATGGATAGGCAGGTGTTCGAGGGAGGGAAGGGGGTCTTTGGGACCGAATGAGACGTTAATGGGGCCATCCATAGACTTAGATGCGCGCATCTCTTGTCGTTCTGCTTCTAGCTCTGGAAGGCCGTGAGTAGATAGCTCGAATGGAGTTGTGTCATCCTCCGAGGCCTGCTCAGTGTCGCGGACCTGTTTGTACTCGCGGAGTTCGTGCCATAATTTATTGAGCCCTTGAATGGGGTCTCCGGCGTTGAGATCGACCACGAAAGCAAGTATACCTGCTCGCTCGATGTGACGCAAGAATCCCAGTCCAAGACCACGGTCCATATGTGCATCCTCAATCAATCCTGGGATATCCGCGATCGTGAACTTGGTCCGTTTCGATTTGCTCTCAACTAGCGGTCTCCCTTTGAAATCATCGATGACCACAGTGCCGATACTCGGGGAGAGCGTGGTGAACTCCCAATCTCCAATGCGCGTGCGACTGTTGGTCAGTGACCGGAGCAGTGTACTCTTTCCGGCATTGGGTTTTCCTACCAACCCCACGTCTGCTAGTAGTTTCAATTCGAAGTCCAGTTCCAGACGAACACCGCCCTCTCCCCTAGATGCGAAATTCGGTTTTGTGTTTGTACGGGAAGCAAAGTGAGGATTTCCCAATCCGCCAACAGCCCCAGCAGCCAACAAGATCGGCTTGTCCATAGGTTTCGAAAGATCAAGATGAATCGGCGCCTTGGGTTCCAAGGCAGCAATCTGCGGCCGTCGAGGCGGGTTATCTGGAAACACCGTTGTCAAGAAATCCGACGGTTTGGCACCAGGATATAACACCCAGCGGTCATGGCGGATAGACGAAAGTCCCATCTCATCCATCTCATCCACATCCTCCTCAACCTTTGGTTTCTTCCGCATCTGATGATTAGTCTCTTCCTCCGCGACAGGATCGTACCGGGATACCTCCCGGACTACCGTTCCAACAGGGACCTGGATCAGAACATCTTCTCCTCTCCTCCCTCCTTTACTCTTCCCACGGCCGTTCTTCCCTCTTTTGGCCCTGATGACGCCTCTGCGGGCCAGTTTATGCAGGCTCGTCATGTTCTCGATCGCTTGGATGTAGATACTTCCGCCGCTGCCTCCGTCGCCGCCATTCGCAGGCCCTTCCTCGATATATTTCTCTCGTAGAAACGCAACACACCCATGTCCTCCGGACCCTGCAAACATAACTGAGCGACATTTGTCCTGGAATATGAAGCGGGAGTAATCATCCGGTGATGGGTTCAAGTATGAAAGATCTTGCGGCGGCGGTTCGGAGGCCGGAGAGATGCCATCGTTTGATCGCGCGCGCTCAACGTTAGTGCTTTGATGTCGACGACATGTCTGAAAGCCGGGGAATATTCGCTGCGAAGAACGTACACGGACGGTTCGTCTGAAGAGGGGAGAGGGGAACGATAAGAGTCCGGTTCGGGGGTTTGCCATCCTGCTCACGAAAGCGCTTGCGACAGGTCTTCTATATGGTCAATTGAATAGACTTCTTTCAGGAAGCACGCATGTTCTCAATACTAGCCTGATCAAGGTGATGACTGTGGAATTGTCGATTCGCCTCGGTGAGTAAAGAACTATCTGGAGCATCCCGCAAATTCGCGATGATGTCGACAAGGTCACGTGGAGATAAAACTATCATACACCTGAGGCAGGATTATCATCGCAACTTCATCTTCGATCTTTATTCATCCTTCGACGACACTTTCCCTAGTTGCAATCACCATTAGCATCCTACGGAAGGCTACGGTACCTCAAATCCTTGCATCCGAATTAAACGCCAACCTACTCATAACAATCCCGACCAGGATCATTACCGGGTACCCAGAGATCTTGTTTGAGACCGGCATGTATTAATTGACGATCCATCTGCAACTGCAAGATTAATTACGGCTTCATGCAACCAATTACCGGGGGGGTTTACGGATCATTCTGGTCCTGCATAATATGTGGGTACAGTTACTTGTACTCCATCCGATGTGATATGAAATTATTTGAATCGAGTAGGACTCTCGGAATCCGGCTGGCGTGCATTATTGGAGCACGGGCATGTGCTTTGTTACCGGGATGGGATTCCTAGACTAGTGTTGAGACGGGAGAAACGCGACCAAGCATCATTGGAACACCACATCAAATCAGAAACCGGGAAGGAATCACACTTCGAGACGAACGACCGAACCGAACGGATGAGATAGACAGGTGATGGTTTGATTTTGATACAGGTATAGCTTAAAACTAAGACCAATCACCAGGGCCGGAAACAGCGCCGCGCTTATGACGAAATGCGACTCCATAGCTTCTAACTAGTATCGTGAGCCGGGGCCATGGGGAGGCTGGGGCTTTTGAATGAATGCACAAACGGAGAAGTCCTAGTGTCGTATCGTGTCTAGTTTAGGGATGGCGATGTGAGGAGGAACGAGGGAAGGGGGGACAAAAGTACGGCGGCGCAGCAGGTCGGAAGGACCATGCGTGATGGCTGATTTGCAGATGCAAGCTGAGATATGGTACTTTTGCGATGTGAGCTGTGGCCAGGGCCAGATGGAGGATCGACCTGTGTCCGAGCTTATCGGACAGGTTGCATCGGGTTAATCAATTGTTATAGAGTGCATATTTGTACCATGGGCTTGTACTGCTTGTACCGCATAGAACGGAATTGCCCTGTTTGCGTGAAGTCGCTATTTCTTGATAGAGCAATCCGAAGTGTTCAGGTCGCATCTTCTGTACAGCTTCGCCATGGCCTCATCGGCGGTGTGCCACATATGTCCGTGTCCGCGCCTGCTATTTGTGTACTCGCGCATCCAGAATGCAATGCAGCCACTCGAGATTCGATTTCGATCAAGCCACGTTTGATAAACCGACATATGTGCAAATACTTGCAGGATATAGAGTACACCAATCTAACCTATCAACGAATGAGTCAGTAGTCGGTGTATATACCGGGATCGGGGCCGGTTTATGATTCTGCATTACATGGATACGAGTACATAGTACAGGGTACAGATACGTGGATATGCTTATTCCATGATAGGTAAACGGTAAATTTGTGCAACATCCATGCACTGCATGATAGTACTTTGTTCGCTGTGTAGTATGCTCCGTCCACATGCCTCCATGCAGAGTCGTACAACTTGATCGCTACCGTTGACCTGCCAATGGCACGCCTTACGAGGCGTGGTTTCTCGTGAAGTCCTCCGTACGGAGTATTTCGTATACAGCTGCGTATCGAATTCTGCAATGTGAGGTAAGAGAATATGCGCACACCGATGTGTATGGAGCACTGCATCCGCATCCACCCGCATCCCAGCAGTAGACACATATTCAACAATTCAACCAAACAAGAAAAAGGCCTGGACTTCCATCTTATGAATCGCACTGCAAAAGATTGATTAAATTCATGGTTCTCGAAGCCTCGATGCCCATAATCTATTTGCTCCAGTACCAGGGTACGTACTCCATACCTAAAATAATAACACATAATGCGATACCATACCGCCTGATCTAAAATATAAGTGGGATCAATTAATTAATCAATCAGGCAATCAGTCAATCAATCGCTCGAGCGAGACTTGTCCGACTCGATCCCACTATTTCGTTCTAACATATTGAAAAAAAGTTGTCTAGCGTACCAGTACGCTGTATTCCCCGTTATCCCCGATCCCCGACCTTGGGGCGAGGGACTTTCCTTCTCGGGACAAGTTTACGGTTTTTGACAGGGAAATCCCAAACACATGCAAGGCCCAATAGGAAGCGATCCGGGGACCCGGTGGAAGGGAGAACTCGCTGTGTGTCAGGATTTGCAGCAGTTCACATGCCTGTGGGTCTTGCTGACCGAGAATATTAAGGTCTCTGTAAAGTACGGTGTAAGAGAAAGTAAGAAAGGCTGGTGTTATCCGTCAACGCGGCACCGGGGCCGGATTCCGGTGGAAAAAGACGGGGTTTTCAGCATGGCCAGTGGGAGATTTTAGAGCGGCTATCAAAGAAGTTTGTCTCTTCGTTATGGAGCAAGGTGTGGCTGAGGCTGGCTGAGGGTTAAGTGGATCCCGTGACGTTTGTTTTGTGATTGAACAGAACTGTTTCCGGAGGGGTATCGGTTCCGTGGGACATTCTTTCCAGTAGTGTGCCAGACCGCTGGACAAGGTTACGGGAGAATAATTCCGAGTTTGGTACACCAGGAACATAGTCCGGATAACTAACTGTTACTAGTCCAAGTGATCCTAAAGTATGTTGTCCCGGCCTTCGTTGTCTGTCTGAAGACTGGAGGATTTGCCACTATGGAGAAAGGACGGACATTCCCATCTGATATGACGATCAGCATTCCCTTTCCAAGTACTTCCCGAAGTTTTTTAGACCGTACCTCTGCTTCCCCGAACTTCCGGTCTTCCGATCCAAGGAGAAAAGGTTAGGCTGCTCCATACCGAATGGAAAAAAGGGACCGGCCAATGAGAATTCCATCGGGGCTACTGCTCTGTCCCAGGGGAAGCCACCGATCCACTGTTTCGCATTTACTCTCGATCACAGCGATCCATCACCACAGTGGGGTTTATTATTGGTCCGGGGAGCAGATCCTGGTAACCGGTCACAGTTGTATTGGTACCAGTACTTGTACAGGTACTAGTGTTCCGTACGACTGGTATCTTTGTCACTTTGGGTAAGACATGTCAACGTATGTTGGTGGCAAATGTTCTAGAAATCCTTAATTGTTCCAGCAAGGCGAATGGAAATGGTCGGGGATGTGGCATGACTCGTTGCCATGTCGTAGGAGTCTTCCGTACATCAGACACGGAGACTGGTAAATAATAACAGCCAAATAATAGTATAATAGTATTATCGACTCCATACCAAGTCCGATCCCGTGTCACATTGTCACATCAACGCTAGCTGAAGCAGTGGGCAGACGGCGAACACCGTGGTCACCGCAACAATTCGTTGTATTTCGTACAGCGTGGCAGGAATTCATCCCCCTGACGACGTCATATGGAGGACCCGACAACTCGGCACCAGCGTTGTTGATCGTCAAGTCAATCGCATCTGAAGAATGCGTATGGAGCATGGAAATTGGATGGAAAACCTCATTCCCTCGACCAAACAGATCCAATGACTAGCTCGGAGTATTTACCGTAATCCCTGGAAATCCGGAATGCGGTCACCGCTCGTCGTATGTAAGAGTACCCAAGTCCCACGAGAAGCTAATCCTAGAGTGGAGATGGACGAAAGGAGAAACCACGGGTGGATCAAAGAAAGTCTTTAGACTTTGAGAAGGTACCAGGGGTACGGTACTGTAGATGTTATGTACAGATGTCGAACGGGAGTGCTGTAACCGTATTCTCGCGTGAGATGAGCACGACGTAGATCGGAGGCCAAGGCGGCCGTTTTGTTCCTCAAGTCGGGATGTCTATTGGTTGGTAATTCTCGTACGGCTCTTACAACGATACTGGCGTTCTATCTGGATGCTCTTGTGGCTGTTGGAACTGTCCCTGCAAAGAGTGGACTTAAGACATATGCATAATCGTGTGCTCTATGTGCTGTTGTAGCCTTTCGATTGCATCGTACATATCGACCTCGGTGTATCCGGCTGTCGCCATCTCTGCTGCCAGGTATTAGGCTGGCCGGCGGTGTGAGTATCTCAATACTCCGCTAGAAATCACTCTGAATATCCCTGCGTCCATGAGTATTCTGACAAAGCTGTCCAAATTCAGAAGAGCCTTTCTGAAACCCAGAACATTCCACTCCTCAAAGGGGTGGGAGCTTTTCGAGTTTTAAGGTGTCACGACATTATTGCCCTACCACATCATTCAAGGCTAAGCGAGCAGTCAACATTCCTTTCAAATCCGTTTGGTGTTCAATATAATCCGGGCCCTTCATGTAACGCCGGATATGGCCAGCAACCTGTCTTATTTCCGTATAGAGTCCGCAGCCTTTCTGGGCTTTGCTGTACGGTCGTATCAGATGCTTCATGTCTTGCATGCCAGCTTGTTGATTTGAGAGCTCACTCATTGCGCTAGTATGTTCTCCGGAGTTGTTGTCCAAGCGAGACCAACAACCTCTACAACAGCAAGGCAGAAGCTATGACGTAGAAAAAACCATTTCGCCATTGCGTCATTGTTATGACTAGGTACTTATAAAGACGATGCCTGAACGTCCTGCCCAAAGGATGAAAAGTACAAATGGAGATGAAAATGATAGAAGGAGGGGCAGAAGCGGAGGAGGGGCAATTCTCACATGATCTGCACCCGCCAGGTCAGTCACGCCGCAACATTTTACATTTGAGAATTCACGTATAGGATTCCGAAGTGTCCGAATGGATGTGACGATGGACACGATGTCGTGCTAGGTATTGATGCCATCAGGATTCCTGCGACTAACTGCTGGACAGGCTGCATCTTTTTCTGTATTATGATGAAAGGTCTCCGTTTTTGACACCGCCAGATCATACCCTGCCCCGCCGCCGGTGCTATCTCGGAGTGACAGGATGAAGATTCGGACTACCCCTCATTATCAGGTGAGTTAGACGCCCATGTATTCTGCATGCACGGGAAAGGGAGATAGACAGGACAACCCCGCGGCGCCGACTGATTTACAAAGGAACTGGGCAGCAGAACACTTCGGACATTGCCTGGAACGACGGACATTGGCCTATCGTTGGCTGTAGACACACAGACTCACCGTATCGAAGGATTGGTTAATTGCCCAACAACAACATCACACAAACAAACAGGTCCAAAAACATGCAGGATTGAGCCGCTATCGGGAGTTATTCTATACGCTGTGACTACAGAGTACCCGTACACATGGACTGGGGTATAGAGTGCTACGCGAAAAGACAGTTACAAACAGATTGTCAGATCAATCCACCGAAATTTCGGAAGCATGATGACGTCGTGTTGGTTTTTACATACCCAACCGTCTTTCTGGCAATGCTCGCCTAGCGCGTTACAGTCGATCCCGGGCTTTAGTATCAAGACTAGCAGCAGCGGATGTTGTGATTGTCACTGTAGATTCGCACGTTCTTCTGCTATGACCGTGATTGGGAAATTGGGGTTTGAGAAGTCACCCGCAGCTCAGGTCAGCCCGTCCATGTTAGGCATACAGTAAGTGGAATTACCACTCGCGTGGCTCCAGATCTGAGCTGCACTAAGTCTGACACTATGAGATCCACTACTGAACACTATGGATTGGCGGCGTAGTAGCAGCGTACGGGAAGGATGGAATAGCTATGGGACTCGGTGTGTGTGTGTGTGTGAATGGAAACCGGATTACTATTCGTATGCTTGGGGTCACGAGGGATTCAAAATCTTTGTTTTCTCTTGCTTTTTTTTTGGACCATTACTTCCGTTCGTCCTTGCGGCTAATTCTTCACCGACTCGCCAACGGGCCCCAACTGGCTGAGTGCAGTGCAGGACGAGTCATGCTTTCCGGTGGGAATCAGACATCGGAACACACGGTCGGGGATAATTAACATCAAACAGTGTCAAAAAGTTTAAGATTTCTCAACGGTTTCTAGGGATGGGCGTGAAACCAGGGGGATGGAAGGATGAGAAAATTCCTCTCTGTGACGGTAGTTCCATTCCGTCGCCTCCGTGCTCTTGGGCCCCTGGCTGGCAAGCAAGCAACCGGAGAAGAAACAAAGAAAGATTCGATTGCAGAGAAAATCTGTCGGCATCTTCTCCGTACAATATTGTCCATTGTATGCAGACCCCCTCGCGTCCTTGGCGGTGGTGGTTTGCCATCCCCGGATACGGCGCTTATTGTTAAGACTGAAGAAGAGTTGAACAATTCTTTGCAGACTACGGAATATAACTACGGAATACGTATTTGATAGCAAACAACCGTCTATTCATTAATATCCTATGCGACTGGTATATCAATCTTGATCACCTGTATCGGGCCCACAAGATACAATAGCGCCAGTCCACACCGTAAGGACGTGTTGACTGCTCACCTTTGACCAACTTATACTATTGCTCCGTATTATGATTATTGGCATTAACCAAGTTTTGAAGAATCACGCCCCACACAGCTGGAGGGCATTATCTACGGTATAATAGTACGAATAAAGGCATGGTGATAGTAGTGGTAGTAAGCCGTATCCCCCTATCTCGGTCTCTCCTGATTAACTCCACCGTCTTTCTTGCCGGACAGCATACCGAATTTCAGGATCTGCTGTCTGTCAGTAAGTAATCGTATAGCATCACAATGCAGATTATTTTGTATGTATGCGATGTGAAGACTCGTACAGGGTCTTTACACCGCATGTTATGAAATACCCCGACACAAACAAACGGTGGTAGGTGAGAGTTATCTGCATGCAAGTCATCCGGTTTCTACCCAAGGCCAACAACAAGTGCTTCCGATTATTTGTATGTAAGTTTGTAAGTATGTAATATATTACAGCGATCTCCTTATTCCATACAGAGAAAATAAAAATATTAAAAAAAAAATAAAAATGAAAAAGAATAGTGGATACCGGCTGGTTTTCCAGAATTCCGGCAGTGGAGAATTTTTTATAGTTAACAGGTAACAAAATAACAAGAAAAATAACCAAAAAAAATAGAAAATTAGTCGTGGAGGGGCAATGAGATCTATCAACTTCCGAAACCAATAAACACAGTTTTTCCGGCCTTCTGGAAGTCGATCAGTCGAAATTTAATTTAAAATTCGCGTATAGTACCTTTGGTGGTACTTTGGGTAGCCGGTTCCCCGGGGTCAATTATTATACGTCCCTAAAATGATCTGTTCTGTGTGAAAGAAGGGAAGAGTAGTAGTAGTAATTTGGAGAGGTTCCACCCCCTATACTATTGCCCGCTCTCTCTTCCTCTCTATCAATCGGATCGTCGGAGGCCCCCGATTATTCTGTTCAGTTGGAACCCGTAGCTTAACCCCCCTCCGGTGGATCCGGACCATCATTCAGTGACGATATTGTGTTTGTATGGAGAATCCGGAATATCCACCTGCAGCTGGGATCTGTACCGTACAGCTGTGTTTGTAACCCGAAAAAAAAAATTCAAACGTCAACGGTTCACCACATTTTTATTTTATTTTATTTATTTTATTTTTTATTTCATTTCAGTTTTTTTTTTTTTTTTTTTTTTTTTTTTTTTTTTTTTTCTCCCATTGATTATTTCGGCCTGATCACATCTCATACAGGGTTGTCTGTTATGGATCTAATTGGCATGACAGTCCGTTGATACTTCTCTGGCTCCGACTCTATATATCCCCTTCCCTTCCCTCTGAATCATTATTATTTTATTCACATTGAAGGTCCTCTCTCTCCTCTTCTCTCTTGAGGTCTGCTGGTATTTTATCTTATTTCCTGCAGTTCCCTTGCATACTTTTCATTATCCTTCCTCTACTAAGTACTCCTACTTCTACTACACCATCTACTACATCTACCTACTACTCCGTACTTCCTCCCCCTTACTCTCTTTTTTTTTTTATCTTCCCATTTCCCTCTTCATTCTTCTACTATATCCGATGACTACTTGAGTCCGTCAACTGCGACTATCACTACCGGTTCCGGATCAATTCGACTGTTCTCCCATCAACTCCTACCACTACCACATACACTTCGGTGATACAACAACCACCCTTCGAGAAACGGGATAGAAAAAAAAAATCTACCAAGGGAGGATATGCTGAGATCCCTTTAACGGCCAACATCCTCTCCTTCATCATAATTCGGTCCTTTTCTCTCCCTTCTGCAACAACGGAGAATTTGGCGAACCCTCAAATTACATTCCTTTGCGAGAACAACCCTGGACTCGTCCTTTGACAGGATAGAAGTCATTCCTTTTCTCTTTTTTAACCCAGAATTTTCACTCCTTCATCCAAAATCCACAAAAAGTTACACACTCGACAAGATGTTTAAGAAGCCCTCGTGTTTACAAACCCGGCGACAAGCTGGTGAGAAGGGCAGCGCCGGCAACAGCAAAGATGATTGGTCGGCTTTCCCAGTACGCCAGCTTTTCGTACTAGGTATGTTCACTGGTCAGCCTTATACTGTACTCGCGTGGTTACTGACTAAACAGCGCTCTGTCGCATCTGCGAACCAATCGCTTTCATGTCCATCTTCCCATATGTCTATCACATGGTCGAGTCATTCCACGTGACAGATAACGATCGCAAAATCGCCCTCTATGCCGGCATGATTACTTCGTCCTTTACTTTCGCAGAGTTTTCTGCTGGTATGTTCTGGGGCCGGATGAGCGACAAGATTGGTCGCAAACCTGTCCTAATCATGGGTTTGATTGGTACGGCCATCAGTATGATCGTCTTTGGTTTCGCTCCCAACCTAGTTACCGCTATGATTGCGCGCGCGCTGGGCGGTCTGTTGAACGGCAATATTGGTGTCCTGCAGACGACGGTAGCGGAAATTGTCACGGTCAAGGAGCATCAACCGCGTGCCTATTCCATCATGCCATTCGTCTGGTGCTTGGGGTCTATCGTTGGCCCCGCGATGGGCGGTGCGTTGGCACAGCCATGCGTGAGTTATCCGTGGTTGTTCCAGCGCGGTACCATTTTCGACCAATTTCCGTTCCTGCTGCCCAACATCGTTTGCGTTGTCGTCCTTGTCTTCGGAATCGTCGTCGGCTTCCTCTTCTTGGAGGAGACCCATCCTGAGAAAAAACTTCGGCGGGACCTTGGTCTGCAGCTTGGACATTGGCTCGTTGGCAAATTCCAGGGCTCGGGTGTGCAGCTGTCAGGAGAAGAGAACATCTCTGACAACGAGGATTATTTTGACGTGCCCCCACCGGAGTACAGAAGCAACGAATCCACTCCGCGCTTGGGCCCTGTCTTGTCCAAAAATGACGACATTGAGGGACAACTCAAGAAGGAGGAGGCACCCAAGGCATTCACCAAGCAGGTCGTTTTCAACATCATCGCCTACGGAATTCTTGCATAGTAAGTGTTCATCCTTTGCTACCCAAATGGTTTCGAACTGGTTTGCTAACAACTCCAACAGCCACAGTGTTTCGTTCGACCAATTGATGCCTGTCTTCCTCAGCACACCCAAATCCGACGACAATGTTGCCCTCCCCTTCCAGTTCACTGGCGGCTTGGGTCTCCAGACCAAGACCATCGGTTTCATGCTCGCTGTCCAGGGAGTGTATTCTATGATCGCCCAACTTTGGCTCTTCCCATTTGTCGTGCGGAACTTTGGCACTCTCCGAACCTTCCGCTTCGTCCTCTGCGTCTGGCCTCCTCTCTACCTGATCGTGCCTTATCTCATCCTTCTCCCCGCAAAGTTCCAGATGGCCGCAGCCTATGTTGCATTGATCAGCAAGATCACCTTCCATGTCATGGCCTTCCCCGCAACTGCCATTCTCCTCGCCAATGCCGCTCCCTCTTCCAAGGTGCTCGGTTCCATCAACGGTGTGGCTGCCTCCACCGCCAGTCTGAGCCGTGCTTTTGGACCTACAGTCACCGGTTTCCTCCACTCCAAGGGTCTCGAGAGTCACTATTCTGTGCTCGCCTGGTGGGCTTGTGGCATCGTTTGTGTGATCGGTGCCATCCAGAGTTTCTGGATGGAAGAGACCGACCCTAAGGAAAGCACCCCGCAGTCCGAAGAGAAAGCTGGACATCACGACTCCAAGACTCAATTCCAAAACTCGTTCTCTCCCGCTGACAAGGAAGACGCCAAGCCGGAAGAGGAACAGAGACTCCTCTCTCTTACCCGCACCAGCCTCGATGATGATTTCGATCTTGCCAACATGAACATGAAGCTGGATGTTCCTGAGCGACCACGCCCAGTGGAAGCTTAATTTATGTTTCTTTTCTCGTCTATTTCATTTTGCATTTTTCACTATCTCATATCTACATTTGGAGGCATTTTTGCGTTTTGATCATAGCCAGTTTTGCATATTCCTCGGTCGGGTTTTTGTTTTTGTTCGTTCGTTTAGACCATGATGAATTTTTTTTTCAAGCTTGGGTGGCGCAGTTTATAGACTGGATGCATGATTCACAAAAAGCATGAAGCTTGCTCTTTTCTCTCGTTTTCTTTTCATTTACAGGCATTTTGTTGGGTTGGACATTTTCTGCGATGATACTCATGCATCTGGGAGGCTTTTTTGTCGTTACATTTTACCTATCTCTTTTTTTAGTTATCTGGACAATAAGTCTTTACTTTGCATGCAATGGGATATGAGGAGATTCTCCTGATTTGGTTCTGCTTATTTCTCTATGCGTAAACAGTTGTAAACATTCAAGTAAACCCCACGTGACACATGCGGGGTATGTGGTACAGTACAGTCCTCTCATCTCTTCTTGTGTACTTGTACATACGGAGTCGAGAAGACGCAATCCATGCTCCCATCAGGCGATCAATACCACCTTCTCAACTTCATACTCTAGCTCATATATAGTGAAGGACCCTTAGTATTATTCCAGTCCGGAATTGAAAGCCTCGGTTACAGGCTGTACCTGACAGTTCTTATCGGCCCAATCGGAACCGCCGTTATCTGCCTGTCAAACGGGCTATCGGACATGACACTGTAATTAATACAGGCATCGGTACATCCCACTTGCTACAGGAGCAGAAGTTCAATTGACCATGTCTGTGCTGCTTCTTACTTGCTGACTGACTTCTTTCTAATTGAAGGATTTTGATAGACTACTGAAAGAAGGTATAATCAAGATGCCAGACCTGAAGCTGACCCTTATCATAATTAATCGTGATTGATTGATAGTGACCGATACGGGCTTGTCAGTGCCAGAGCACGACACTAAACTTTTTTGACAAAAGAAATATCCCCAAATACTCCGGTTCGCCTGCGCTTCAAGTCGATGTTTTCTACTCCCCCCCCCTCTCCTCTGCCTTCAGATCCCACGTTGTGCCCGTCAGCCCGACAGGCATTCGCTGAACTGTCCGGTGACTTTATGCTTTCCAATAATACTATGCCCTGCGACTCGACGAATCGAATGCAAGTACAAGGATACCGGGCTGCATTATCATTTGCTCTTTGATTACTGATACAAGGAATGCCGCTAGCTAGTCTGGATGCTGGGATGAATGGTGACTACATGTCTTTACTTGCGCAGACCGTCGACTCGCAAGACATGATCCTGGTTTAGCGCTGTTTGAATATCCGAAAGTACCGTGCCGTATAGTCCGTGATGCTTGACGCCGCTTTACCACTCACGCCAATGCCGGCGGGAAGGAAACGATCGCATATTCTCGCTGCCGAGATGGACTCAACCCCAGCCCCAGTCGACCGTGTCACAGCGTCCCAGAATCCTCGCCAACAGTCCTCGCCGGAGGGGTCTGCGCCGTTAGCATCAGCACATGCCAGTTCCTCTGCATTCCGTAATGTTTCCGCCTGTCATCGATGTCGAATACGCAAGAACCGCTGCGATCAACGTCTTCCTCGCTGTCAGTCATGCGAGAAGGCTGGGGTGCCTTGTGTGGGTTATGATCCGATTACGAAGCGTGAGATCCCGCGGAGCTATGTGTACTTTCTCGAGGCGCGCGTGGCGTATTTGGAGGGGGTGCTGAGAGAGCGAAGTATAGAGTTTATGGATGCGGTGGCTTTTGGGGAGGAGGTGGCTGTTCATGCAGAGGAAGGGGAATCTGGTCTGGCACATGGTGGGGGTATTTTGCATGGGGGAGAGGTCTTGCCGGAGGAAAAGGGCCGATTGATGTTGAAGCAGAAAGAAAACCGGGAAGACGGGAATGCAGATGTTGACAGAAGTCGGGACGACGACAAAGATGATAATTGGAAGATACACAACCTAGTATCTAACATCGGGATGGTCTCAGTGCAGGGAACATCTGATCCGCGATATCTTGGCTCTACGTCTGGTATCTCCTTTGCTAGGGTGGTTTTCGCTGCGGTTAAATCCTCCGTCTCGGGGCATGCCTCAGAGCGTGGCCCTATGCGCCCAAGTGAGCGCCTTCCTCATAGTGCCACAGGCACGGGCACGAGCACCATGCGAGACTCTTTCTTTGGACTGCAGACAAGATCGATGATGAAGTGTGCGACATTTCCGCAGCGCGATTTGGCAGAGAAGCTAGTCGATCTATATTTTGAGCATGCGAATCCGCAAATGCCTATCCTCCATAGGGCTGATTTTATGGAACTTCTGGACCACACGTACGCGGTCGATGAAAAAAGTCGTTCCCCCCGAAGTTTATATACTCTTAATATCGTGTTTGGCATCGGCGCGGGAATAATATTCGAAGATAAGAGTGCCCCGGAAGATGATGAGCAAGGAAGTGGCAGACCACGGGCATCTTCTACACCAAAGAGACAAAAACTTGCAGACCATCAATGTCAACCGGAAGAGTATCATGCGTCGGCAGTTGTGCATCTGGAATCTTTCCTGGACAGTTCCGCGACAAACGACGGTTTTGGTGGGTTGGAAGAATTACAGGCTGTGCTTCTCTTGGCTAGTTTTGCTCTACTTCGCCCTGTCGCTCCGGGTCTTTGGTACATTGTCGGAGTGGCGATGAGACTAGCTGTTGATCTAGGTCTACATTATGAAGATGGTACTGGAGTTGACTATGTCGGACAAGAAGGTGTTGACTGCCCTCCAGTCAAAGGTGAGAACGGAGCCAAGTTGCGCATCAATACTCACGAGCGTGGACGTCGCGAATGGGTACGCGATATGCGCCGTCGGCTTTGGTGGTGCGTGTACAGTTTCGACCGACTCGTTGGCTGCTGTGTTGGCCGTCCGTTTGGGATCAGCGACCAGGCTATCAGCACTGAGTTCCCGTCTTTGTTGGAGGACAAATACATTACCAAGTCAGGGATTGTGATGCCTGCCGATGGAGCACCAAGCTACAAACATGCGGCACAGCATTACTTCAAGCTGCGCGTCCTACAATCGGAAATCCAAGACGTTCTCCAGTACCAACAAGCACGCTTTGCCCGACAACGACTCCCGCACTCTGCCAACGTCTTCACCCGCTCTGATCTACCATCCCCGTTCCTCCAGGGCTTCGACTCCCTCCGCTCATGGCGAAAGGATATGAATCACCGACTTGTCGAGTGGAAGGAGACTGCTCCCAAACACCAGGAGACGGGAGTGAGGTTCCCCGTCGAGTTCCTGGAGTTGAACTACTGGCAAGCCGTTATCATGTTATATCAGCAGTGTTTGACGGCTCCCGCTGAACTAGCTGGGGAGCTCGCGCCAGCAGAGGATGTTTCGAGTCCGTCTTTTTCGAACATTGACGATGCGGAGGATGAAGATGAGATATATTACAAAGTTGCCGAAGCTGGGCAGAAGGTAATCAGGATCTACCGGTCGATGCACCGGTTGAGGCTTGTGAACTATACGTATTTGGCTACACATCACATTTTTATGGCTGGTATGTTATTCTTAGCCCTGCTCATGTCGTGTCCGTTGCTTACGCTTATTTTACAGGGATATCATTCTTGTATGCGATCTGGCACTCACCGTGGGTTCGAAGTCGCTTGGTAAGTCACATTTCTATTTTACCTTAACTGCTACTAATTGTGCAGACCCTCGATGAGGTAGATTTTACTGTCCTTGCAGCTACATCGGTTTTAGGCGACCTGATGCACAAGTGTCCGCCTGCAGAAGCATGTCGCGATGCATTCGAACGAATGAGCAAAGCCACGGTGCAAATGTCTCTATCAACTACCGGATTTGGACCCCAGGTCGACCTATCCCGGCACTCTCGAGCCAACGCACAACAGCCCGTTGGTGGTTTGTATCGTGGACCACGGTATTCGCGACGGTATAACCCCATGAATCAGCGACAGAGAATGTCAGGATCACGAAGGCAGACACAATCGCAATTGCAGGCGCCGGCGCGCCAACGGCCAATACCTCGGTTCGATATGAACCTAGAAGACTTGTTTGGCGGTGATATCAGCACCGTTGCTCAGGAGCGGTCTGATCGTAACACAAGGAACTTGATGCAGCCTCATTCGACTCGAGCGCGAGGATATTCTGAATTGTCACCAACGGTTGTGGTGCCAGAGCAGACGTCGCGAGTACCAGCGCCTCATCAACGAGTGGCGTCTATGGAATATACTGATAATTACGAGGATCATCCTTTTTCGCCTCAGCAGCCGCCGCCGCAGCAGCAGTATTACACCAATTCGTTACAACAAGGCACGTCTCCTGACCGCGTGACTACGAATAACTCCAATCAGCAGCCACTTCTCACCCCAGACCAGGAAGCAGGAATGAGCATGGATCTCCTGGATTTCGATCCCCAGAGTCAGTTGACCTTGGGGCTTGACGGTAACCCAGATTATGATGCGATCATGGCGTCCCTGGGGCCTGGTGTTGGACATAGTGTAGGGATTGATTTGGGTTTCGGAATGGCGGTTGACTTTCAGCATGATTGGAGTGAAAATGCGAATTATGATATGCTGGAAGGGTTCTTTTTTGGGGGTTCTGGATCCGGCGGTGCTGGGGCAGGGCCTACCACAGGGACAGATGGATAGGGCCGCCATACTCCAGAATTTTCTTTCCAGCCACATGTATTTGTCCAAGGCTGTTGGTTGGTCATGCGAGAAATGATGTTAAAATAAAAGATATGATCTCATGGACCCTTTGCGTGTATCCATTGTGTATCATAGCTGCAGCGATAACCAGGTACCTGTGTATACCCAATCGACCTAACCAACTCTATATACCAACAAGTACACCCAAGTAGCCCCCCCTGCTAGTTAAAATGAGGCCAACGCATTGGGCAGCAACCGGTCATAATTCGACCGTCGATGTTGGAAGTGGAGGGTGGAGAGTGGAGGAGAGGGGGGAAAAGCAAAGCAAAGCAAAACAAACCAAACAAGCCCAAATTCTTTCTGACCAGCAACGAAACAACAACAAAACAACAACAACCAACCAATACAGCCTTCCAACTGGTTCTAGACAACGCACACTTTACACTTAACTTATTGTGTTCGCGCTCTTTGCGAACTGTCTTTCTTTTCCTTGGAGGTGTGAGTTGTTGGGGGATAAAACGCTGTGGTAAGATCTCTGTCCACTGTCTGTCCACTGTTGTCACTGTATTGTCTACTCTGCTTCTGTGGTGTTTGCTCAGTTTCCGAGACTAATTATTCTGGATCCCTATAGAATATATCTCTCTAGTCTATTTCTTTCTTTTTCTGTTTGCTCTGAGAACTAGGACCGTTCCTGCGTCTCTCCGATCGCCTTTCCTTAACTGCGCAACTTACCTCACGGCAACCGACCACCGACCGGATACGAACCCCTCACGAATCTCCCAACTACATACAACCAGTCCCTGATCGGGAAATACTATGTTGATAGCCCTGTCGACGGCGGAAGAAAATCTCGTTTTCTGCGCCGGTATACCTGCTGAGTGTTCGAATTGATCTTGATTTTATATACGACCACTACTACTGTCGAATTCGGCGAATGACACGATACGTGCTTTAATACCGACCTGCCGTGACAGGTCGTGTGCGACTTGCGACTCGATCGTTATATTATTTATTACTGGACACGTCAACGACTCAGAATATCTGAGACTACGTTTTCATAATGGTGAAAGCGGACGTGAGGAGGGATTATTATGCAGATTTGGGTCTTGGGCCCAGTGCGGAATTGGAGGATGTTAAGAAGCAGTTTAGAAAGCTAGGTGGGTTTTATGCGCTTGGATCTATGTGAATACTGTCTAACTGATGCAGCTCTCAGATATCACCCCGATAGGAATCCCGGGAAGGAAGTCGAATTTATCGCCAAGTTCCAGGCGATCCAAGCGGCACATGAAATCCTCAGTGATCCTCAACACCGGTTGAGATATGATACGGATCGGTTACGCGCTGGATATGGCAGGCAGTACGCCGCGCACGCAAGAGCGAATACTTCACGGAGGACCCCTGCCAGCCACAGTTCTGGCGCCTCTGCAAAATCGCAACCGTTCTCTGCGCGTGGGCAACAAACGAACCATGGACCGTCGGCCGGCGCCCAGAGATATTCTAGCTATGCCAAGGCAGCTCCTCAGCAATCAGGGGGGAAGAAGGATGATGGACAGACTCGGGCCGACGCTTTTCGCGGATTCCAGGGTATGAAGAACGGTAGCCCGAACGCGACTGGCTGGTCAAATTTTGATCCCAAAACTGGTCGATCGGGTGCAAACAAGGCCAATGGTGGTGCATCGACCGCCACACCGAGAACCAAGTCGGCCTATGAGTACTTCAAGACGTCGGCCAAGCCGACAGAGGGTGCCGGAACGACTCGTGCTCAGTCAAGTAGGAGGAAGAACGGGTTTGCACCAGGGACCGCGGGTGGTGATGAGCCGATGGCTGCAAACACTTCCGCCTACACGAGCACGCCCCGGGATTCGCGACACTCAGGCTACTTTTTCGATAACTCTGTTCCTTCACCCACCGCCAAGAGAGCAGAGGGTTCAGAGGAACGAGCCAGGAGTCAGTATGCCAACGCTAGTGGAGAGAAGACGTTCTTCTCCAGTGCATGGCTCGGACGTGACGGTACTCGTCGTGCCTCGCGGACAAATCCACCCAGCCCGACACCCCCACCATCGGAAGCAAGCAGGCATCGGAGCGTCAGTCCTTCTCATTTAAAGACGAATAGGAACCGGGGTTACGCGCTTTCCACGAGCTCAAGTGATGCCGACGACGACGATAGCGACACCGACAACCCATATGAAAGGAACGTACCATCGCCATCTCACAAACCCAAGGCAGTCCCGAAGAGCAGGATGCGACGACCTCATTATCAGAAACCGGCTGACCCACGGGACTGGAGTTCCGGAACTGGTGAGCAATTCTTTCCCACCCAGACGGTCTTCCGTGGCCCTGGTCCTGGCTACTATCAGTCCTACTACTACCACTACTACCAAAATCATCCTCACAACCATCACCCCTGGGACAACCGCTATGACTATCGGAGACCGAACCCTATTTACGATAACGCGTATCGCTGTACTAACTGGGACTACCTCAAAAGGACATGATTCGGATAGTGCTGCTGCTCCTAGGAATCCACTTGCTGGGACTTTTGCGTCGGCCAACTTTCAGCCTGAGAAGGATCCGTACGTTCTTCCCTACAATTGGTAGTTGTTCACAGTCTTACTGTCTATAGGAGCCAATCTAAAAGTAATAGCCATGGGAGCTTGAGACAGGAATTCTCTGCAAAGGACTGGCAAGATGCTTCTCAAGAGGGCTGGTTCGGGTTCTTCATGCCTAAACCATCGGAACCAGATACCAATCGAGCAGCACAGAACCCCAATACTCGTGGACGGCCAACGACCCGAAACTCAGCTTCATGGGTGCGACAGTCAGCAGGCCTTTCGGACCAGGACCAGGACTTCTCTCGCTCGGGGTCAGCCGCTCAGCAACAACCTACTCCATTTGCCGGAGCCAAGTTCTCAGCAGACGACTGGGTCGAGCAGTTTAAAAATATGTCCTGGGCTGCGCCAAGAACCGAAGGCAAACAGACCCAGGCCAATGCTGCTCGTGCAAGGAGCCCTAAGAAGCATACGAGGACGGCGGCTTCTAAGACACGGCCGACTCCGCAGCCTGCGAGTGTTGCTACTGAAGCCGAAGAGGCCGAAGCAGCCGCAGAGGATAATGAACATCAGTCGGATAAGATAGATTTGGGTGGTGAAGCTATGGATCTGGATGATGATACCCCTGCAAAACCGACTGCCGTACCACCAGCACCTGAGAACAAGCAGCCACCGAGCCCACAACCATCAGCTAATGTTGACAAGACTAAGGAACCCGATTCCAAGGATTTCAACCTGAAGGACCTCAAATATGCAGCACCGTTTATTAGCTCGAAGGGAGGCATCGACGACCTACAGGATATCAGCGTGACTTTACCCTTCGAATCGCGCGCTAAAGCTCCAAGGACAACTGCACGCGACGTCCGTCCTCGCGAACTAGCCTGTCCAAACCCGCCCAAGCGACCACGACGTCCAGCCTTGAGCTCGCTCGGTATCGGAACTCAACTGATGCTTCCTCGCCCCGCATGGGAACGGTACGTGGCAGAGATGAAGACGTACATGCGCGAGTGGAACGAATTCAACCGCCGGATGCTACGCCATTTCAATGCCCGCCAGGAAGCCAACGAATCTGGTATGGCACCTGGATGGATAAGTGCAGTTGGCGACTCTTCTCGACTCAACATCAACCAAGATGACCCGGATGTTGAAGATAACAACAACAACCCTGATAACGAGGATAGTGTTGGCGATCTACTACCAGGAAGCGCCAAAGGCGGGTATACCGTGTATTTGCGCGCGATCGAAGAAGACGTCAAGGTCCGGAAACATTGGGATGTGGCTTGTGAGTTGCACCGGGAGTGTATATTGGAGTTGGGGGAGTTGCGCGAGTGGATTTTGAATGGAGGGAAGTTGGTTTGAGGGTTTATTGTTATCCTTATTGGTATTTTTTAAAAGTTGGGTGGTTTGGTCTGGTTGCATTTGCATATGTTTGGATTGGCATTGTGGCATTGGTTGGCGTTGGCTTGGTTGAGTCTGGCTTGGTTGAGTGAGTGGTGTATTATGAATACCCATAAGTATAATAGGATTACTCTGTTTCTCTTTCCATCCATGATTCTTGAAGTGACCTACCATGTAGTTCATATCAGGCGAAGCCCTAACCTAACCCTACCCGTTTCCGACACCGGTACATCATTCTGCCCCAGGCCAGTGAAATCCCGAAAACGGCAGGCCCCACGCACGAGCCCCGCTGTGACAATATATATACCGTAATAATTCCCTCTTTCCGTGGTCCGGCCTCACCGCAACGTAAAATACAGTAAAATACAGTAAGATACAATGTCCGTGCCGGCGCTGAGTCATCGGGCCAGCGGGGCAGGCAATATAACCACATCTTCCTCCGCAAAGAACAACCGATCGCGGGTTTCTTTTGCCTTTGGTTGATTTGACGGTTGCGAGGTTTCGCTGCCGCTCCGTACCTTTGAGGTTTCTTTTCTTCTTAATCATTGAATTGAATTGAAGTGATTCTGTCTATCTAGAACCATGGGGATTACGATTGTTCTCGGTTCGCAATGGGGTGATGAAGGTGAGTGATATATGGGGTTTTGACTCAATGAGTCTTGGACGGGAAGTAAAGGAATGATGCTGACGATGAGCAGGAAAGGGGAAGATCACAGACATGCTGTCGCAGGAGGCTACTCTCTGCGCTCGTGCCGCTGGCGGTCACAGTAAGTTCACCTATAGGCGAAGGAAATCCAGACCGGGATTAATCTTGGTTTTCCTGGACAGACGCCGGCCACACTATCGTCCACGAAAACATCACCTACGACTTCCATATCCTCCCTTCCGGCCTTGTCTCCCCCAAGTGCGTTAATCTGATCGGCGCCGGCACCGTCGTGCACGTTCCCAGCTTCTTCAAGGAACTGGCCGCCCTAGAGGAGAAGGGTCTGACCAGCGCCGGCAAGCGCATCTTCATCTCTGACCGCGCCCACGTCTGCTTTAACTTGCACTCTGTTGTGGACGGTCTTGAGGAGGCGAAGCTGGGCGGTCGCAAGGTTGGTACTACGGGTAAGGGTATTGGACCTTGCTATAGTGATAAGGCGTCGCGGAGGGGTGTGCGGGTTGGTGAGATTCTCGATGAGGCGCTTTTTGAGCGCAAGCTGAGGACTTTGGATGCGAGTTATCGCGCGAGATTTGGGGAGTTGGAGTATAATGTTGAGGATGAGATTGCACTTTTCAAGGTTTGTTTTTCGTTTCTTTGAATTTGGGAATGGGGAATTAACAAAGGATAGGAATTCCGCAAGATCTTGAAGCCCTACGTCGTTGACCAACTTACCTTCCTGCAAGAGTACAAGAACGCCCCCAACACTCTGGTTGAAGGTGCCAACGCGCTCATGCTCGACCTTGACCACGGTACCTACCCCTTCGTCACCTCCTCGTCCACCGGCCTCGGCGGTGCCATCCAGGGTCTGTCTTTGAACCCCACTAGCATCACCCACATCGTCGGCGTCGTCAAGGCCTACACCACCCGCGTCGGCTCCGGCCCCTTCCCCACCGAACAGCTCAATGAGCACGGCGACAAGCTGCAAAGTGCCGGTCGCGAATTCGGCGTGACCACCGGACGTCGCCGCCGCTGTGGCTGGTTCGACCTTGTTCTCTGCCGCTACTCCCAGGCCATCAACCACTACACCGCGCTGAACCTGACCAAACTCGACATCCTCGATGACTTCGACGAGATCAAGGTCGGCGTTGCGTACATCCTGCCCGATGGCACACGCGTTGATAACTCGTTTCCCGCTAGCGCTGAGGAGCTCGAGAAAGTCCAGGTTGAGTACGTCACTCTGCCGGGCTGGAAGAGCAACACCATGGGTGCAATGAAGTACGAGGACCTGCCGCCTAACGCGCAGGCCTACATTCGGTTCATTGAGCAGGGTCTCGGCGGTGTTCCTGTCAAGTACATCGGCACCGGTCCTTCTCGGGATCACATGATTGTTCGGGACTAGACACTTTCTGCCCTGTGTCATGGTGAAAAGTAAAAGAAGAGGTAGAGATGGATGAGGGAGTTTGTCGTTGTTTTATCTTTGTGTATGTATGTATATTTTTTTTTTTTCAAGACCCCATATCGACGAATTTGACGATTCTTTCGTGTTTGGTTTTTTCTATAGACGAATGGATGGGCGTGGTTTCATAGGGCATTGCTTTGTATTATGTTTATGTTATTAGGTCAATTTGATAGACTATTTTCTCATCATTAGTTTTTTGTGGTATTCACTCGTAGAAGACTATTGGAATTCTCGTCGTCTTGCTCATTTCCCCTCTTTTCTGTCTTCTACTCTTACCATCGTCATCCTCACTCATCATCTACCTTCGTGAATTGAGAGACCAACCCTGTTACATTGATATGACAAAAAATGAAAATACCAGAACAGCTTGAAGACAGTATACATACCAAACCCAAGTCAGTGGCCCCGATGAAGACATGAAAGTGCAATTAGCTGAGAAATCCTCCACAACAAGACCAACACAATTTACGGCCCTAGAATATGCGGCGCCGCAGGCGCATCGAATGACCGACTGCAGACACCAATAGCCGCGGTATCATAATAAGCGATCAGGTCTCCACTAACACCCCGATCTCTGAAAATCCCAAGGCCCTCACTGAGCAAGAACTGACAAAGTACGATGCCAGACGTAGTCTACGATGCGACCTCGGAGTATACGAGACGTTCCTGCGAAACCTGAACTGGAGAGATATACTGAAAAACTTACACTGGCCGGCGCGACACAATCAGTGGGTTATAGAAGGCGAAAATATGGAAAAGCGGGGTGTTTTTATGATCCGGTGGACGATTGCAAGCGTAGTGGAATATGTATTCACGAAGTCAAGCCAAAGTTGATGATTTGATGCGACCCGTAGGCCACGCAAACTAGCACCTTTATTCAACTACCTCTAACTCGTACACGAACCCCAGAAGCTAACTATCTGGACGATATGGCAACGTGATATGTACAGATAGATATAAGCCGCCTGCGAGATCCCCAAAACGAAAGCAACCCTGCAAATAAACCACAAAGGAGAATAAAAAGTCAAAAAGACCGGATATACCGACTCCACTGAGTGCAAATAAGTATGCGTCCATGTAAGACGTCTTTTTCTATGTTGCCGCTTGCAAGAAAGCAAGTAAAGAGAATAAAGAAAGAGAAGAAGAAAAAAAAAAAAAAAAAAATAAAAAGAACGGCCGTATAAAGGTCGAAATAGCGAAGATCTAAAAAGAAAATAGATAACCAACCTTGTACTCCTGACTCAGTTGTCAAGTTCATCGGCAAAAAGAAGTAAGGAAAACAGGATGACGAGACTAGATCAACTGCTGGTAAGTGTCAGAATCAGCTTGGGTGGTCTTGTGTATTACTAGAAGGAACACCAGTGACTGGTGTCTGAAATATTTTCTTTTTTTCATTTTTTCTTGAGATTGATGTCGAGCATTTCGCTGTCGACTGCTTGGGGACCAGCCCCGACGCGTGTGCTCGCTTATTTGGTGGTGGTTCGCGGGTAAGCGAAAAGATCCTAGGCAGGAGTGGCTTGGTTCTGGATTCCGTTGGATGTAACCTGACGCTTTGAGTCTCCGTGTGGGACTCCCTGTGAGATGATCATCGGCATTAGTTATTCCCAAGTATTGAAAAGATATATCATCACCGTCGACATAAGGTATATCCCATATTCCCTCAAGATTCTGACGGCCTTCTGGCATGGACTTACTTCCAACGAATCGATGTTGCGCTTCTGGGTAGTTGTTTCGGTCTTCTTGATAACCCTTTTCTTAGGCCGGGTGGGGCGAGTGTCTCCCGACTCGAAAACATCACTAGGCAAGTCGAAGCTGTTCCGGGTTAGAGCAAACAAGGCCGCCCAGACGACAAATACTTACTTGCGCACATGGATGATCGACAGATCGTTGATACCTGGCTGGAAACCAGCCCAGGAAGTACATGTCGATTTGAAGATTTGAGCGTCGGTCGAGATATCCAACGACCGTGATGCACCTTATAAAGTCAGTGGATTCTCAAAGGAAAAGGGAATTCCGTACCTGGCTCCAACGGCTTCAGTTCCAATCCGATATAGTAGGTCGTAGTATACATAGTCCGCGTTTCCCCGTTGGTTTTCTGCTCGCCCGTTTCTACGTTCTCAGGATGCTGAATACCATTCTGGGCTGCGACCTGATGGTTAATGTCTGCCACATCATCAGTAGTCTCAGTCTTTGTCCCTTTCGCCTGATACTTCGTAGATCCGTTTTTGACTGCCTCTGCTTCCTGGTCATTGCTGACGGTATGTGTGCGCTCGAAGCCCTTTGGAAAAGGGTGCGATACCGCGATAGTTCCTTTCCTGTCCAGAGCTCCGACCAAGTGTCTCAACTTGGATTCGACCAGACCAGACCAGACGGCTTCCGCTTCCTTTGTTTTGCTGGATGCAGTTATACTGAGATAATACTTGTAGTCATTCGTAAAGAACGAGTGACGGGCGAAGAGATCATTCCAATTCATTTGTTTCATGAAAATCTTGTCCACAATATCACCGCCCCGCGCGAGCTCACGAAGAATGACCGCCTTGGTAGACAAGGAGACGTTGTGGGTGGCACACATGGAGGGATAAGCTGGTGTGATGATGGGCATTAGGTGAAATCGATCGCCATGGTAGATCTGACAAAATCGGTTAGTCTGAGGGCAACAGCCGATTTGGCACAACCGAACAAACCTTTGGATTCCAAACTTTAATCTGAAGAGGCCCTTCTTCAATTGGCTTTAGCAATACAGGCTGAGGCCAGGCCCATTTGTTCATGATCCGAAAGAACTTGCCAACAATCACTGATCCAGTTGCCTGAGGATACAACTGGCATACTCGGGCCACCAGCATGGCCCATGCGACACCACCAGGGAAACCAACGATGTTGGCATATATAGCGCGGCCTGTTAAATACTAAGCATTAGTCTTGAACCGATTCATCCATGCTGAAGAAAAGAAAACCACTTACGCTGCGCCCAAAGTTTGATGGCGCGGAGTGCCAAACGGAATGTCTTCTGCTGAGGCACAAGCTCGAGGATCTCGTCAGTCACACGGGTTCCATTAAGCGAACGAGCCTCCCTTTCATCCAGGCCCCTGAGGTAATCATTGTTCTTCAAATCAAGGTTAAGCGGAATCGAAGGGACGATCAGACGGGCAAAAAGTAGATCGATGCTGATCCCGGATAATTCGAGCTTAATGATCGGGACAAAGGCGTCGGGAACAGGTGTCATCTTCTCGACAGCTCCCGAGGGAGCCATCTGTTCAAGGATGGGAGGGAAATCGGAGAAGAAGTCCTCGATGGACACATGTTTCGGACCAAGGACCAACGTATCGATATCCGACCCTATCATACCATCAATGTTAGATTATCCAGGAAGCGTCTAATACCATCCGCATAGGTAGCATACCCGGCCCATAAACACCCAGCCGATAACTCCCAAAGGTAAAGATCTTTCCTCCTGCTGCTTCGACCGCGGCTGGCGATAAACCTTTCTTGCGACTCACGGACTTGATGAACTCAATGGCGACACGCTGGAGCAACTGAAGCGCTTGGTTTCTATGAGCACCCATGCGTCAGCATATCCGATACATTCACATATTAACCCCCTTTCCAATCCGTTGTCCATTCGTCTCAGTCGCCGCCACATCTCTTACCTCCGCTCAGTCTCCGCAGGGCTTTCAAAGTTATTCTGCCCTTTGAGTTCGGCAATCAATTCATCGTTCGCGGCAAGCTCATCAGGAGTAGGAAGAACAGTCGAGATCGGAGGAGTAACTCCCCACTGCCGAACAGGTGGTGTTGCCATATTGTCGCGGACCTGGCTATTACTAGAGGCACATGTACGGACTTGCGCCGATCGAGTAGAATACACGTAAAAAACAAGCGAAGAGTGCGATTAGTAAAAGAGAGAAAGCAAATGAATTAAACGAACAGCAGAAAGGAAGAAGACGAATAGTCAAAAAAGGAAAAAGAAGAGAACGGCGCGATGGACGGTGAATGAATCCCCAGGAGCGAATGTCGATAGAGACCAGTCCAGCCACAGCCAGAGGTTTATCGCCTGCTGACTCAGCTCAGCCACATGACTTGCCGCTTTTGGACAGCAAACATTCTACGAGTGTTGAATAACACCGGCTCTTGCTACATGTCAGTTTAACCGCATTATAACTACTCAATTCTCAGAAAAAAAAAGGGATAACTGTCTATCCAGCCATTTGACATCCTCCGGATTCTCTCCAGGTCCGCCAGCCCAGTCTACAACGCAACAATCAGCCCAGAGAACCACATGAAAGAAGTGGGATACACTTACGACCCCAGATAGATGGAAACATATTCAGCTTCCCAAATCCCGGCTTCATACATGCGACCTCGTATTCTGAATCTTCAGGGCTAGAATTCGTCTCCTATCAGTATGATTCGATCTGGTAGAGGCGTTTAACATACGGGAAATAGAGGTCTGTCTTTGACGGCAGGACAAGTGCCTTGGCTCGAATTGACGCAAGCGCCTTCTCAAAATTACCATCGTATGGCACTTGTTTTGAGATGTCGCCGTTTTGCCAGGTCTGCAGCATCACCAGCAGGTTTTCCGGGTCTGGACGAACCGTCAGTTTCAACTCTTTGACCCGAAGTATCGACTTACGTTTGGACAGCGCCCACTTCTCCCAATAATTCTGCATAAAGTCTTCCAGCCCTTGAAAACCGAGAACTGTCTCATGGAGCCTTTCTCGGTAGAAAGCTTGGCTGAGTCCCCTGTGGAACATGTCAGTACACTATGCGCAGTGTTATTCATTGACGTAACCCACCACCCAGCATAGCCTCTACCAAACGCTTTCAATCCAACCTCCCTTTCACTATCCGTCCAAGTCCTAAACGTTTCTCCGGTACCCATAACACCATCCTCTCCCGAGCCTCCAGACGGTACATGCTTCGCCGCCAGAAGAGCCGTCTTGACGCCCTCGAGAAAGACCTGGTTGTGAAGAGCAGTCCTGGCTGATCCGCAGAAAGGAACAACCAAGTCCATGAAATTCGGATACTGAGTCGCCCATTGGTAGGTCTGAGCTGCGCCCATCGACCATCCCAAGACAGCGCGCAAATGGCTGAGGCCCAGATGCTGTGTCACGAGGGTATGCTGGGCACGGACGTTATCGTAAAAGGTGCACTTGGGGAACGGACCCGGAGTCTTTTGGTTCGAAGGTGACGAGGATTGTCCATTGCCAAAGAGAGCTGGGATGATAATAAAGTATTGGTTGGGGTTGAGGGTTTTGTCTTTGCCAATTAGCCAGGCATTATCCGAAATGGCTAGAATATCTAGTCAGTATTCTACCCTCCACTTGTAGAAGGCAACTACATACATCCGGAGAACCAGGTTGGATAAACAATAGCTGGACTCTTGCGATCTCCAAAAGTCTTGTATGCGATATGGGCATCGAGGATCTTCTCTCCACCCTGGAGCTCCCAATCCCCGAGCTTGAAGATATCGTAGTCTTGCTGTGACATAGTAATTTTCGATGTAACTGGTTTATGACTAGGCAACTAGTATTAATGCAAACATGGCCCTTTATAGTCTGAACAGTATTGGAAATGGAAGCTTTCTTATCTGGTTAACCCCGCATTGTCCGTTGGCAGTGGCATGTGACGGAGTATGATATCCTAGTCCAACTATGTATATGTACTATGTCCATAGACCTCACATACCCTGATTCTGAGCGAGCTACGGGAACTTCCATACATAATTCTGGACAAGAGCCAACATCATATCCACTGCATTGTTTGGGATGCCGTTCACTTATTGCGGGGCACTGAGAACTGAATATCGGCCCGGGGATCGGTAAGTGTAGCGGTATTGCCACACACTTTGTTTGAGAATTTGCATTGATTGGGGCGTGGATATTGAGCTTAGCTCACTACTTTATGCGTGGCGATACATGATCCCGCCATGTTCGGCTGGGTGACGATAGAGATCCGATAACGACTTACCTGAATGATTTATTTCGCCAGCTCTCAACATGCGTCCGCTTCCTGCGAATATTTTACGCATTCTCAAAAGATTCCCGTCTTATAACTTACTGTAAGTTCTGACCCGGGAGGTGGCTATAGCATCTGAATCGGCCGATTGCTATCAAAGCCAAGCAACATCGACTATTATAAATCAAAAGTGCAGAGCTAACATATTTCCAGAGCTCGTCAACCTGCATTATACCCCTTGTCAGTGAACAGATTGATCAGCCAAACGGTAACCATGTTCAAAGTCGGCGACGATTTCCAGAAGATCCAGGCCTCGCGGCCGGAGTTCAAGCGTGACACCGAAGTTACCTTCACCCAGCCCCCGAATCCCGAATGGAAGACAGCAGACGGTGCCAACGATGGCGGAGAGAGCCTTAAGAAGAACCACGTGGAGATTGACCCCCATGAAGAGGGGCGGCCGGTAGCGTCCAACTACAAGCTCCTTATCTCAGGAATCGTCCCCAGACCGATCGCCCTTATCAGTACCAAGTCCAAAGATGGAGAGACGACTAACCTGGCGCCGTTCAGTTATGCCCAGGTTATTAACCATGATCCGCCGCTTTTCATTGTGGGATTCGTGGGGTCGTTGGACAAGGCGAAGGATACGCTTAAAAACTTGGCTGAGACAGATGAGTGTGTGATCAACATTATCTCCGAGCACTTTGTTGAGGCGGCCAACGCGACGGCTATTAACGCCCCGTATGGTGTGTCTGAGTGGGAGACTTCTGGTCTGCATCAGGCGCCGTGCAGTGTCGTCAAGGCCGCCCGTGTGAAGGAGTCGATCTTGTCTATTGAGGCTAAGCTGGTTAGAACCGAGGAGTTCGAGAGCCGCACCACGCCTGGTAAGAAGACGGGTGTGCTGGCTGTTGTTGAGGGTGTCCGATTCTGGGCGCGGGAGGATGCTATCAATGAGAAGAAGAGCATTGTCGACTTGAAGGTCTTGAAGCCGATCAGCCGTCTGGGTGGTATTTCTTACGGGCGGACTTCGGAAGCCATGGAACTCCCCCGCCCCAATTTTTAGATTTTAAGCGATAGATCTTCTCGTCCAGAGTTTCGTGAATGTATAGATACGCTTTGTGCCATTACTGTGCCCTATCGGCTAAATCGTACATAAATCGGCTGGTTGACCGCTTAAAAAGGATTCTTGTGACCAGAAACATCGGAGAATTTGCGCCAATTGCTTGACCAGATAAAAGCCAGCATGCACTGCACATGTATCCTGGGAATTGCTAGATCTCAACGGATTGTGATTGAATGGGGGATCTTACCCGACCCGGGTGGACCTCATCTTCGGTGTGTCGAAACACCGTACAAAGTAAGACCCCGTATTTGCGGAGAGGAAGTTCTCCGTCCGGAGAGTCTGGAGTAACTAGTCCGGAGAAGGTGGATTCAGCCGATCTGTCTGGAAAGGCTAAATCAATTGACTGCTTTCGGGAAAGCATGTAGAAGAAAAGGCCCAAAACCCGTTAGTCCAGACTCGGTTTCATAGTCAGCCCGACTCTCTACAAATTGTTCCTTCATCCCCGTTCCACCTGCAGGAACCGGCGTCCAGAGCGGCCCATCTCAGAAGCATCGGGAATCAACACATCTCATCGTGCTGACATTGAGAGTCCTTCCTTCGGCTTCCTTGTCTCTGTGTTGAACCGGCCCGAATGAGGGCAAAAAACGCACACGGAAGACGATCCGTGGGAACGAGGGAGGTTTAACACGGATGATTGTGGGATGGGTGGATGAAGATGCATGGACAACCGTCAGCGTGCAAATCACAGCAGAATTCAGAGAATCATCTGATATTCCGAGTTTTCTTTTCTTTTTCCTTTTTCTTCCTTTTGTGCGTTCTGTATTTTCAACCCTTGTTGGACTGCTGTAGGTGTTCTCATTGGCGTCTTAAGGTACTCTCTGTAGTGTAAGATTATAAAGAGCAGTGGAAAAGAACATCCATGGTTGAGGGCGGTCAGTCTCGCTTTTCTCCAGGAACAGCTTCGGATCTCATCGCTATATCATCATCCATTTTCTTACTCCGTACATCGTCCTCCTCCTATCTACCACCAATTCTTACAGTGTCGCTATCATTGTTCTTGTAAGCGCCCGTGATTTGTCCATGGATATTTCTTCTGTGTGGTGTTCCCGATCACAAAACGTCCCGTATCACTCAACACCAAAGCTCCTAGACCACGGCCACGACCACTGCAGTCCTACCATCCTCTACTACTGTCGCCGTCGCTCACAACAACCAGATTATTTGCTTCAGAGCTCAATCAACTGTCTTCCTTAAGCTGCAAGTTCGAATGCCCAATGTTCTGCGATCACGGATGATTGTTTGCTCGCAATGAGCCAACCGTCTTCCATGAAGAACGGCTGTGACGGCGTTGCTGCTTACCCTGTTCCGGTGCCTCCGCCTAGACAGATCCGTTTCGTCTCGACGGATGGTCAACCGCAGACGAAACGGCGTCGAGTTAACGCAGCGTGCGTCTCCCAATTCGTTGTCGTCTTAGATGTCACGGTTCGGTTTGCGGCTTGCTAACTCAGAGTCATACTTGCACAGATGCCGCACATGTCGCAGGCGCAAGATACGTTGCTCGGGCGAACAGCCAGGTGAGTTGTCGGGTCTTTTATATCGCTTTTTGGTCTACCTTTGGGGTATGCTGACTGGGCTGAACTCCGCTTCTAGTTTGCAAGACATGTACCGACTACAATCATACTTGCCTGGGATACAGTGAACCTCCTTCTCATGTTCGGTCGCAATCCGATAGTGCACCGCGACGCCCTGACCTGTCTTCACTACATTCCTCCACTGAGGCGATTAAACCTGGAAATGCTCGAGCAGTGGAGAGTCAGTCTCCAGATCCTCCTGGGCAACAGAATGGACTACCGCGTAAACGCAGAGCGTCCGAGACACACAAACCCACAACAGGCCCCAAGAATGCCTTCCTATTCAAGAATATCTCCTCCCGTACTGCCAAGAATCTTGGACAGCAACAACATGCAGCAGAAGATAGTCCCGGAAGCAGTACGTTGAGCGATTGGCCTATCCCGTTTATTCCCTAGGCTCATGGTGGTATAAATACTGACATGTTTGCTTCGCTGCATGCAGGCCGCAGCTCCATAAGCGCTAATCTTCGTGCTCAAGTACCATATTTCAGGTATTTCGGCCCAACTGCCATTGTCCCAGGCTTCAAGCAAATGGTTCGCTCATTCATATTTGATAAATATTTTCCAGCTGATTCTCTAACACCACATATAGCTTGTTGAAATTCGAGGTTCCCGGAAGAGCAACACATCATCAGACTCATCATCATTCCCTTCCCGAAGTCCAAAGCCCGCTGGCACTAGACCGAATACTATGAGCGCCATATCCGATAGCAGCCGGGACGACAATAAGTTACCCTTTTACGACACCAACGATAGCTTACCTGTTAGCAATCTTGTGACCCATCTGTGCGAATTGTTCTTCGAGCACCTTGGATGCAACTTTCCCTTTTTGCAACGAGACAGATTCCTTCGGGACCTCAAGGACAAAAAGGTTAATACGATGCTCGTTAATGTGGTCTGTGCACTGTCAGCACGATTCTCCCCACATCCGTTATTGGGCCCTCCACAGTCGCTCACAGTCGATGGCTATGAGGAGCCACATGACTGGAAAATGTCTGATCGTGGTCATCCGTTTGCCTGCAGGGCCAGGGGTGCTTTGGTCGACTCTCTGTCATGCCCAACTCTCTCGGTGGCCCAGGCGTGTCTGCTACTGGCCTACGAGGAATTTGGTTCAAACCGAGACAGTGGTCTATGGATGTATCTGGGAATCTCAATCCGGATGGCCCAAGATCTGGGCATACAGAAAAGGTATGGCCCACACGGACCAACTGATGAGTCCATTAGCGAAGAGCCGGACGACGATCACTGCGAAAACTCTGAACTGTCCAACAGCCCTGATGAAAGCGTACAAAATATCGAAGATTCTAGACGAGAGCGTGAAGACACTTTTTGGTGTATCTATTTCCTTGATCGGGTGATTTCATCAGGCACAGGCAGGCCAGTGACGTTGGTCGACGAAGATATACAAGTGTGCTTTCCTGCACAATCAGAATCGGTGGTTTCGAATGGTTGGCCAGCTCCGTTCCCGCCACTTATTCGAATTATACATCTTTACGGAAGGGCCACCGATATCATTAATGGAATCCAGGACGTCAACGATGTCACGGATGAGACGGTGAAGCGGCTGGCCGGTCTAGAATCAGACTTGACAGGTAAATCAAGCTGCCTCACAATGCTACAGGAATGTATTAAACTAATGAACGGTTTTTATCTTTTTTAAAGGCATTTATTCGGCATTATCCTCCAAGCTCTATTTCGATGCAGCCAATCTCCAGCAGTATGCGATGGCCAAAGAAGGAACGAGTTTCATACTTTTACATCTTGTAAGGAATCTCCGTTTACATGTGATTATAGCTTTACGTTGAGTCTCGACTAACATCACCTATCAGTGGTTTCATGCCTTGATCGTTCTACTCCATCAACCAACCCTATTGCATTCGTTTGGTGGCACTATCCAACAGCTTTATCCAAACAGCAGACCACTGGCAATGTCTTCCGCTAAGACTATCGCGGATATCGCCTCATTTTCAGAGTTGATGGATAGCAAAAGCTTTGTTGGAAATCCGTTTACGAGCCAGCCCATGTATATCGCGGCGTGCGCATTTCTGATGGAAAGTGCATATTATGCGTCACCAGACTCCAAAACCGGCATCTCTCCTCAACCGCTATTGGCTAACCAATCCAGCGGTTTTGTGATGCCCAATATGGGCTTGGCAAGCGGATCCGAGCAAAGGTCTATCGGCGCCACGCAGCACCATCTTCTTGCTAAGTCCGCCAAGGACAACTATCAGAAGTGCTACAAAGCCTTGAAGGCGCTCGAAATGTATTGGGATGGTACCAAGTATATTCTGACTGTACTTGACCAGAAGGCCAAGGGAATCGTCGACCCTCTGTTGTACACGGCGGAAGAGGTGGGAGATGCTCCTGTGCAATCCTTGGCTACAAGAAAACGGCAACGACGGTCTCCATCGGGTGTCCCATTGAGACCGGACTCACAAGCTACACCTGATGTTGTTCCTTCAACTGAGGGGAGGATAGCAAGACTCGACCCCAGCCAAGGTGCGAATATTTCATTTCCGTCTTAAAATCCATGAATTTACCTTGCTAACACTCCGTTTTCTAGCGATTGGATGGGCCCTTACCAACGCTGCGGACCCTCACAATCCTAATTTGAGTGTCTTGTACCAGAATCCGGCAGCACATACGAATTCAGCACCGACGAGACCAACACACAATTCCCAATACAGCCATAGCTATCCCAACACTGGGCAGAGTTCGAATTCATATTCACAATCTATCGAGTCCCCCAGACACGTCCATACGACCCGAAGCCCGCCTATTCTTTCAATTCACGGCATTCCTGCATCGGAAGCCAATCCTTATCTTGGTTTGAACGCGTCATATCCCTCATCTGGCCATTCTTCGTCGACATACAACCAGAGCTTACCTCCGTCTCAGCTTGGTACAGAGGCATCGGAGTTTCATTATCAGATCCCACCAGGTCCGAATGATCATCAACCTGGTGATTACTACCACCCGGGGTTCCATTCCAGCGCAAACGACGTCTTAATTGAAAGTCAAAACATTGACATGAACATGTTACATGACCCAGGAAATCTCCCGTTCCTCAATGGCGATGGTCTTGCATGGCTGGAGTACCTACCACCCGACGTTGCCAGTCTATTTGGAGAACATCCACACTACCCTTCTTAATTTGTCACGGCCTTTTAGTCCTCCCCGCTCCTCATATTTAGCGGAATATCTTGCGGAATTTTCACGAATTTACTAGCAATTGGTACTACCAAAGTATTTATAACTTAATGGAGGCGGAAGTATCTGGTGTTGGATATAGATGTCTTGTCTCACGAGGATTACGCAGCGTGCAGCGTGTATTGTTCTTTTTGTTTATCTTTCTGGGTTATGATTGTGATATCTTTTGGTTAGAGATGATGCTTCGGAGGGCAAAAAAGTAGTGCCTTTGTTTTAATGTTTTGTTGCTTTTTGCTACGACGTTTCTATGGGAATATGAAAGTCACCTCGGTATAAAAGCGCACTGGATTCATTCTAAAATTTCTGGATTTTGTGTATTCTTACCTTACAGGGGTCTATTGTCTCTGATTCCGATACAGGCCTACCCTACCTACAACCTGCAATATACTTTGAAAGGATGGTGTTAATATCGGAGATGCTAGGGCACGCCTAGATCGTTGCCCGGCACGACGGGCGGTGAAACAAAACACCATCAACAACCCCGATTAAGTGAGCACTCAACGAGGGGGATTGTTGATTAATTTGCGAAGCATCTCGAACGTTATGCAAATGATTTCTTTTCAATAATCTTGTGTCGTGTGGGAGGTATCTAACATTTTTCATCGCCTCTATTGTTCAACATCCGTTGATCGTAGTACATACTTGATCTACGGAAGCTTTCTCCGAGGAATCCACATTAAAAACGGTGTGGACAGCTGTATGGGACAGGGCTGAAGCAATGGAGGAGCCAGTTCGTGCCTTGGAGTTTCCAGCTCAGCGAGCGTTGATGGCTTCAGGGGAGCAGCATGATTCCCCCGTGTGCTCTCCAAGCGGAGACGAATATCCATCTCCGTCCGCCACAACTCCAATTCTACCGGATTATGACAAGGTTGATTCATTAGAGGGAGATGAGCTGAGGAGTGTTCGTGACTATGAATACCATTCTTCGGCATCTTCAACGGGGCATTCGAGTGAGCGGGATTTGGAGGATGAGAAATTGCTGTGCGCGCCCTCCAGCACGTCGAGTCACTCGTCTGTATCTTCGATTCCTCCTTCTGCGCTTGTTCATTCGTCCAATGCTTTAAAATTGCCAAAGGCTACTGGAACGCGTCAACATGCCTACCGCCGCAGCGATACGTTTCGGAGACAACATTCGGTGTCCTCCATACAGATACATAGCGATGATGAGTCCGATGAATACGAGATGTCGTGGCGTGGGAAAAATCAGTGCCGTTCCAAATTCCCCATGTGTTCTCCGAGCTCGCCGCCAAAGAAACAGCTGCCGTACTATTCACGTAGGGGATCAGCCAGCAAGCAGAGATTCAAAAGGGAATATCCGCTTGTTCTCCTGCATTGTAACCTGCTTCCGCCTTCGCTTCCTGTCATCGGTTATACCGGAGCCCCCAACCAGAAGATCCTAAAGGAAGCCCTACCTATGAAGTACTACCGACGTTGGAAACTCCTAGAAGAAAAAGCCGGCTCAGGAGTCCTCCGTGAGCGGGGCGTCCTTATCTCCCACCCAGAAGACGCCTACGATCTTCTCGAGGAGCGACTACTCGAAAGCCTTGAACTCCAACAACCGCGTCTTCACCATGGCCACTTCCTAGAACAACATGAATACGACTCCGACAGAGACGATGGCGCAACAGATGACGAGCAGGGAAAAGTATGTCCAGACTGCGGTGTACGAGTCGTCACCTGCAATGATCAAAACCGGAAATGGGAGATCAAGGTGTTTGCGGCAAACGGGCTAATGAAGGCTGGTGCGTGGGCTGCGGCTTGGAAGGAGATGGAGAAGGTGGATGTGGAGGTTGGGTTGTGGCTTCCGAGGGACGTGAGAAGGGGGCTTCAGAAGCGGTTGATGGAGGATGAGAGCGAACATAAACTGCTTTTGGAGCCGAACGAACCGGTCGGTGAGGTGAACTGGGGGTCGCATTCTCCGTCAGCACAAGAAGAGGCGCCGGGCCCATTGACGGAGCACAGTTCTACTGCCAATGATTCTTCCCTTTCTCTTGCCTTATCACCAGGATCACACGGACAAGAGCAGGTCTCTTCGAAAATCAATCAAAAGTCAGCGGAGGATATCGACCTCCGAACATTGCTAATCAACTACATTCGCGTGCTGGCTAGTGATCGACGCAATATCACAATTGGAATTCTCAGTATTTTTGTTGTGTTCCTGGCCATCGGCAGTGTCCGGGTTCCAGCTTCAACTTCCTCTTCGGAACTCCAAGCGTTTCCAGAGGAGACGATTGCCTTTGTTCCAACGTCCATTGTGAGTATGACGCAGCACCAAGCTGCGAGTGCAGCTACGTCAAATGTTTTGGGTTCTGTTCCAACTTTTGTTGCAGACGAAGTGCAAATCTCTTCGGCAGAGAAAAAAGGTACTGCAAGTTCTCAGGTTTCATATTTTGAGATCCCCACTAGCTCTACTGAGCTTGCTCCTGCTTCTATGCCTACTATAGCCGAATTACAAGATCCGTCTGCAGATGCGGAAGAAGCAGACACCACTGTCCCAAGTACAAAGAGTTCGGAGGGTTTCAACCAGCCTGGCACTGGGACACAAGAAGCTTCCGCCAGCTTTTATCAGTCCAAAGAGCCTACGGTCGATTTGATGCAACAAAAATCCGGTGAAGCAAGTGACATGACTCGTACTGACCTAGAGCACCGACTCTGATCGCGAATTGCCGGGAAAGGAGGTAGATGTTCAAATTGAATCCCTTGAGTTGGCAAAAACCAGCGCATCTGAGAGTAATGTAGCAGAGGGTATTGGAGGGATTGTTTGAAGGTCACGATGTTTTGGGGCGTGTTTATTGACGATTGATATGACCGAACCACTGTTTTTGTTTGATTCTGGATGCTTTGTCTTGTTTTGTCTTTTCTTCCTCTTTTTCTCTCTATTTTAACTATGTGTGATACGATCAGCTATAGAATGACCTTACGAAGATATTTAATCAATGAAATCTACATGATAATGCCTTTACTGCTGTTATTTCGACCATAATAAAGGTTCGACCACTGATTATGTGATATACGAGTTGCTGATATGGCCGCCGAGACAAATAAAGGGATACATTCAAACTTTTCTTAAACACTTGGGAAGATTTCTCATTTACTTTCTTCGTGAAAAACCCGCCTTTGAAAACCATACCTATACAATATTCCAAAATCACATAATTTAACAATGACACATGGATTGGGTGTAAAATCAGATTCCAGAAGCCCAGTTTATCAAAATGGAAGATTATTCAGAAGATTCGTGAGCGTGAAACCCTTGCTACAAACTTGGAATCTAAGCACACGGTATCTTCGTATGCAGCAATGCCAACTATCCAAATCAAGAGGAGGCCGTGATTAAGATCCGCTTACAGTACATTGATTTGCCCCTTTTCCTCGGGGCAGACATTATAGCCATGCGCACTCTCTTCTAAAACACACGCCTTCTTTAGTGTCCCATGCCCTGGAACAGCATTCGCACCTCGTCGTGAAAGAGCACAGCAAACTAAGCTAGATATTTGACAACACACACTACAAGAGATCAGTGCTCTTGGCTCCCTAACAAAGGCAGGTTGCTCGTAAAGTCCTAGATCATTCGCCTGGAAATATGAAACCCTGGACAATGACCATGCCTGGGTCCCGGGAGGATATGTGTATTATATTCTGATGGAGAGAATGTGCCAGAGTTCAAGCCGCCAACTACGTGGGAGAAGTGGGTGGGTGAGGAAAACAAGCTCGTCTACTGCTTTTGTTTTAAAGAAGCATATTTGTGAGTGGCTTCTGCTTGGTCTTTCTTATGTTGTTTGTTAATGCTGACTTATCTTTTTTGGACAGAATGTCTGGCTTACGGCAGGGTGTATCATGACGGAGGCATTTGGAGTGTTATTTGGGATCGAGAGAAGCAAAATTGGCAAATATACTTCCTATGAACTACATGGAAGTCCTCGTCTACAAAGAAGCCTCTTTACAGCTATCTTGTGGACTGGGAGATAGCGCTTCCGACCACCCCCAAGGATGGCTGGCGTGACACCAAATATTTCTTCTGGGAACTGGCAGATCTAGCTACAGCAAATCTTTCATATAAGTGAACAGGTGAATTCAAAGATATCCTAACATTTATTATTGGAGTTTGCGTACGATATTGTTTTGGATACAGTCCCCACCCAGCGGCGGCAAACGAGAGACCAACACGACCAAACACGGCGACAGCTACGCATCTGCCATGTATACAGACACGTCAATTCGATATGACACATGCACTCGTATAGCATTGCTGCAGCTATTTTTGTTCTTCATGCCCGATCTCACTAGACCGGACAACAACACAGTGGCAGAGATAGTACTTTCGATCCTGAACATATTCCGAGACATTCAGAATCCAAGCTTCTCGAATCGAATATTGAGCTAAGCAGTGGAGCTTAAGATCCGCTAAGATTATATTCGGAGCCGCCCGATTGGGCTTAAGATCTTTAACTAGCCACGCATGGACGAACTATTGGCCCCGATGAACTTAAAGCATACTATGGAGCGCTATGGACTGCGCTGCGACCATCACCGCCCCTCCCCTTACACACCAACGCATAATATACACTATTGTTTTGGGAGTTGTTAGCGGCCAATTGTGTGGTGCTCGTATTCATGTCCTCGGAAATTTTTTGTTATGCAGGATTATCGAATCATGTATTCTAGCTTGCTGTTGAGAGACCTGACCAAAATACCGCATTGCTGGGCCCGAACCGTGATCTAAAGTGGATCGAGGTTTTGTTAGGGGCACATGCGTGATGTGATGAAGGGATACAAAGCACAGGGCAACTCAGCTGGGGCCAAGGGGGATTAATCCATTGGTCCGGTTTAAATTAATACTTGTAGGCGCTGCTCCCTGCGTTGGTCGCTTTTTTCTTTCCTTCGGAAACCCTAGGCAAGTGACAAGCGGAGGGTCGCGTTACAAAAGATAGGACACCATGAAGCAATACGGAAAGCTAGCTCTGCTGGCTGTTATCTGCCTTGCGCAATGGGTATCTGGTGAAAATGGCTTTAAGACGGACGATGCGAGATTGGTCCGGTTTGATTTGAATCTGACTTGGGAGGATTATAACGGTGCTGGGTTTACGAGAAAGGCGATCCTGAGCAATGGTCAATTACCGGCGCCGACATTGCGATTGCGACAGGGAGATGATGTCGAGTTTGTAGTTAAGAACCAGATGCCGTTCTCGACTACGGTTCATTTTCATGGTAAGTCTCCCGTTAGTTTATGCTGGTCCAAATCTAACGACTCCAGGTATCGAGCAGAAAGGCACGCCATGGTCCGATGGTGTACCAGGTCTTTCCCAGCTACCAATTGAACCCGGTGACCAATTCATCTACAAATGGAAGGCAACCCAGTACGGCAGCTACATCTACCATGCGCACCGAAGAGGTCAAATCGACGATGGCCTGTACGGAGCCATCCACATCCTGGCAGACCACTCAGTGGAGAGGCCATTTGGCAAAATCACAAAGGACCCGGTTGAGCTTTTGCAAATGCATGAAGCAGAGAAGAATTCGCAGCCAATCTTGTTTTCGGACTGGCGTCGCTTGACGTCTGAAGAGACATACCGCACTGAACAGATTACCGGACTGGATGGATTTTGTACCAACATTATCTTGATCAACGGCAAGGGCTCTCAATACTGTTTGCCCCGGGAACAGCTTAATGCGTTGACGTCGGCTGCGCAAAAGATGTTACTTAGGGATAACACTGTGACGGATACCGGATGCATGCCTCCAATTGGGATCCTTGAAGGCCACTTCTGGCGCAACACCAGTGCAATGCCTAAGAGCTTCTACTCTGGTTGCCAGCCAACTCAGGGCCCGACGGAAGTTATCAAGGTTAACCCAGCAGCACGTTGGGTGAGCTTCGATCTAATGACATCCGCTGGCGTCTCGACACCCACGGTCTCCATCGATGAGCACAGTATGTACGTCTACGCGATTGACGGCCGGTACATCGAGCCCATGAAAGTCAATGGAATCACGATCAGCAACGGCGGACGCTACTCTATTTTTGTCCGGCTTGACCAGCCAGCAGGCGACTATACGATCCGCGCCCCGAACACGGGAATCAACCAGATCATCAACGCGACAGCCACTCTGTCCTACGACACGTTACTCAAAACCCAGACAAATCCCTCCAGGCCCTGGGTCAATGAAGTCGGCAGCAACACAACCGCTTCCGCCATCCTCTTCGACGAAACAAAAGTCATCCCCTTCCCCATCCTCACACCCGCCCTCTCTGTCGATAACACCTACAAACTAACCGTCGACCACTTCAACGCCTCCTACCGCTGGACCCTCGGTAACACCTCCTTCTCCATGTCCTTTGAAGACGCAACCCCCCTCCTCTTCAACACAACCTCCATCCCCACAGACCTAACAATCACAACCCGCAACGGCTCCTGGGTCGACCTAATCATGGTTGTCAAGTCTCCCGTCCAACCACCCCACCCCATGCACAAACACTCCAACAAATTCTTCGTCATCGGCCAGGGTAACGGCGATTTTAACTACTCTTCCGTAGACGAGGCGATGCAGCATATCCCCGAGAGTTTCAATTTCAAGACTCCGCAGCTTAGGGATACATTTAATACGCCTGCGGTGGAGTCGGGGCCGACATGGTTGGCGATTAGATACCAGGTTGTTAATCCGGGGCCATTCCTTTTACATTGTCATTTGCAGGTGCATTTGAGTGGGGGGATGGCGATTGCGTTGTTGGATGGGGTTGATAAGTGGCCAGTTGTGCCAGAGGGGTATCGATTACCGGTTTTGGAGGATTAGATGTCGTTCATCGGTGTTTTGTAGAGGATACAATTGTACGAGTGTTTATGTATATCTATATAATGCTAATAATTTCACAATCTCTTTGATTTCTACTTGAGTTGAATTCGGTATATATGCTATGTAAAACTGCGCCTGTGGACCGAATGTCAAACCCAGCAGGAGGAAATTCATCGCTCTGTTTGCAGCCATCTTGGATCGACAGGGAATACAGCACGTCGGGCTTTTCCACCCCTCGTTACGCTGGAGTATGAGGGACAAAGAGAGACCGATAAGCAGCGAACGGGACCTTGAGGGCTATGAGCGATCTGCTGTTGAGAATCATATGCGGAACATAATCGCAGAGCTTTGCAAGATACCTACCGCTCGAGATGAATTCCGTTTGGGTGATGGAGTCCAGTTCGACAGCCATGCCAATGGCATTGATCTACAGACAAACCAACCATCAAGATCCGGATCTTCCAGGCCTGATCAGTATTGCATACACCGCATTGACGATGGTACTAGCGCACTTCTTACCACAGTCGAGTACAAGCCTCCACATAAGCTACCTGTTGAGAGCCTTCACAGAGGTCTTAAGTCCATAGACTTCTGGGAACAGATGGTCAAGGCTCACGGTGTCCTAATATCGAGGACGAGAAAGCTGAAAGGATCATTGGGTCGGTGATCGCTCAAGAGTACCATGTGATGATCCAGGAAGGACTCGAATATTCATATGTGACTAATGGACTCGCATTGATCCTTCTGCGGGTCCCCCTATGACGACCTAGGCACTCTGTATTACCATCTCTGCGAACCGAACTTAGAAGTGAACCCAGAAGATGATCAGAGTTTTCTGCAGCCAGCAACAGCTATCGCTCGGGTATTGTGTCTCTGTCTGATGAGTTTTCGCTCACGTCTTCGTAGCCAACAGTGGCGAAACGAAGCAGACGCGCAGCTCCCAATCTGGAAGTCTAGCTTTGGTAGCTTAGATGGCACTTGGTCTACAGTCTCCGAATTTGAATCGCCACAAAGTATCCCGAATTCAAAGCACACTTATCCTAGCCCCAAATCCACCACATCCGAGTTTCTGCCGCCGTCGTCATCCTCAGCGGAATCCCCTACCGCTGAGGGACGCCGAGCGCCAACCCGGTCTCGGCCTGGCTGCTCACCTTTCACCGCAACACACCATGATAAATTCTCAGATTCAGATTCGGATTTTCAAGCTTCAAGTCAACGAAAACGTGGTTTTAGCAAGGTTGGCTCTTCTCCGCCGGTTCAACGAGTGGTGCGCCAGGCGACTTCATCGCAGATTTCAGACAGCTGACATGGGCAGCATAACGCACGCTTTTGTACACAGCAGTGTCTACATGGCCTGCAGCAGGGTGATCTGCTCGATGATGCCTGCCCGAATGTGATGCTCCATAAACAGGGTGGAGACGGTAGGCGGCACGCCATTGATTTCACAACTTTGGTGCAACTGGTGAAGCGACAGCTGGGTGACAATATCGACCGGAACTGCACGCCAATGGGAGACTGTGAAGCACCAGGAGCACTGTTCAAGCTCACCTGTGCTGCATATGGGTACACTGTTGTTGGAAAAGGCACGACCTGCTGGTGGCCGGAGCTCTTGCGCGAAGCTGAGGTTTATCGTGTCCTGCAGCAGGCTCAGGGTTCTGCAGTTCCTGTTTTCCTGGGAGCAATTGACCTAAAGAAAACCTACTTCCTCCATGGGGCTGGAGCAATTCGGCATATGCCCTCAAGCAGCAGCGGAACGTGCTGGGGATAGGAGCGTTGGCATGGGCAGACAAAGTAAAACCAGGCACGAATGAGGTAAATGTGCGAATGAGCAGAGAAGGATTAACAACCACTGATTTGCCGATGAAATAGACCAATGTGATGAAATCGATTAGTTTGGTGTTTCTGTACAAATATTCCGCAGGATCTATGCACTAACATCAGAGTCATTCGCCTTGAGTTGATTGTCGTAATGACATTTTATCCGAGTTCTACATAAAGATTGCGGCAGTTAGCCTCGCCAGAACCACCCGGGGAGATATTAATGCCCAATCTTCTTTAAATATAGCAAATCGTCGACCAATCCAAACAAGGATAAGCCTGATATGCTTCCAACATTACAAGGACAGCATGAATGGATATAAGGCGATATCCTTTAGCGCTAAAGTCCACTGTATACCCAACAGCTTAGTATCCATCGCTAGCCCAGATCTAGCAATTTCATCTCGCCCGATGTGGCAGCGTGTGTGCGGTGCCCTTTGCTTTTTTGTTAAGGCCAACAATTCATTCCACTTACTTAGTAAAATTTGCCCTAGCTAATATTGCCAAACTCTAGCACCCGCAGAATCTGATTTGCCAGCGCGTATTTTCTTTCCCTTTAGGATAGTCTCCACGAGTCAGCCGGCCATTCTACAACACACGACACGAATATAACTAGCGTATGAATTGGATGACTCAACAAATGACGATCGCGCTGAAAGCCAAACCATCATCTTCCTCCGAACGGTGGTTTTCCCCAGAACGGAAGACACAACAATCCGAAGTCAGCAAGGCGCGCAGGAAATAAGACCGGGACAGTGATGAGCAGCGGCCGTTTCCAGTGCCACCATGATGTACAAACAGCAGCTTGACTAGATAGGCGCCTTCGTTCATTTTTCCTTCTCGGGACGATACGACGACCCAATGAATTGCCAGGTGTTGGTTGGAAAGGCCGAGGCCGCTTAAGCCATTCCATGTCCTCCAAGTCAACAACCACCAAACTGCGGGTCTGTTCATCCCACAGCATATTACGCCACTCTTTGTCTCTGTTTTTAACACCACACTTCTGGAGAGACTTCAGAGCTTTCTCTCGCTCTTTGTGGAAGAAATCCAAATTTTCGTCTTTGATTATCCGCTGAAGCCCAGTTCCAGACCAGCTCAGGATCATCATATGCGCCATTACCTGACTCGTGGTACCAGTATGCGATGCTTGGCTCAAAGTCGCCTAAACAGACCGGGATCTGATATCCTTGCAAGCTTCGGAGCTTGCGATAATTGTCAACTTCTGTTGTAAGGGCATGCTGATTCTCCTTCGTTGTAGCCTTGATGACTACGGTATACCCATGAGACAATAGAGTCGCTTTCATGAGATACCCCGTCCGACCACGGATGTGTAGCGGCTCAAAACCCTTATTTCGATTCTGGACAAGTTGATCGTGCAGCTTGCGCGTGAATTCCCGCGGGCCCATTGGATGCTTCTGGCCGCTGTGATGTTGCCAGTTAGGGCACTTTTTATCCAGAGGACCCCCATTGACCATACCGCGGATACAAGCCATGGTGCAGTATGGTCTCTGCATCCTTTGAGAAGGAGTTTGCTTTGTTCTTCGGTCGGGTTGTGCCCGTTTGCGTCCGCCAGTTGATAGTTGTTTACCTTTCCTGCAACTCGATCGACTGCGCGCGGCTGGTGCGGTGGATGGCGAAGGCATATCCTCATCACTATCACTGCTTTCACTTGGCGAGCCTGCCGGGGTAGATACGCCTGGATTACAGCGAGCATGGGAACGTGTATTGTGTTTCTTTGGATTCGGTTTCCAGTATGAAGGCTGATAATTCGAGGGCGGCGGCTCCTTGCGAATTGTTTCGGGAATATCGCGCAAGAGGTCCAAGTATTCGACTTTCCAGGTCGAGAGCTGTTCATGTGCGGTATTGTGCCACTCTTGGGACGGAGCTTCAGCGGCCAGCGCTTGGAGTGTGAACGCAAGCATCTGGCCCACAGCAGTCTGGTGAAGACAGCTCTCATCGCCTGCCTGCACGTCTTGATTTGGGATACACAAGTAGTATTGAACTATTGTGGGATCCTCTGGAATATGTAGAAAGACAAATGCCTCCCCTGTCCGAATACACCCGTTCTGTATCCCCAAGTCATGCATGTATGAGAATATCTGAGTGACAACAGCGGCAACAAGGCGGGTGGTATGAAACTCAAATGTGTCTCCTTCCTGATCAACAACATCGCGGGCCAGGTCCATCTCGTGCAAGCCCGCGACTAGTTCCGCGACCATAAGCTTGTGAAGGGCTTTAAACTCCACCGCATATACTGGTATCTGGCGCTCGTCAGCCACGACGTGAACACAGAACTGATCAGCACGGCGATTGCGCCGCCTTCGTGAGCGAGCCCTTGTCTGACTTTGACCCATTTGTTTCCCCTTCCCTTTTCTTCTACCTCTCCCGCGGTTGGTGTTTGTTGGTTGACGGGGTGCGTCGTCAAGATGCATCTCCAGACTGTCATCCAGTGAGGTTGAGTTCGTGCGGTCATAAAAGGCCACTCGGCCCTCAATACCAAACTCCCGTTACAAAGTTTCATCGCCTCGTAATGCCTCCACAATCTTTTCAACAAAGTTATCCACAGTGTCTCGCTCGAAATTTCGTAAAGTCGCTTCTGAGTAAATCGGTCGGTCTTGAACATTTGTTGCGACATAGTCTAGCTGGGTATCAGAAGGAAAGAGCGGACGTGAGGTGAAGCCGACTGCACGCTCAAATTTCTTCCAGATTTGCTCCTGGATTTGAGGGAAATCAAGCCATGGAATAATCCGCTTGGGAAAAAGTCGATTGACAGGGTCAGTCACATTGTCTTGGGTCGTCAGGGTCGCGTTCGTCTCGACTCGGATCGTCTGTGACAGAGATTCGTGGCAGCGATCGAGAAGGCGAAATAGAGAGTTGGGTTGCAATCGATGTTCTGCCTCTTCCTGGCGCTGTTCCGCCTCTTCCCTTGCCCGTCTCTCTTCCTCCAGTTGACGTCGTAAATCAGCAATATCGTCCCGCATAACTAGCGGTAAATCTGTCTTCAAAAAGCTAGTGGATGACCCGCTGTTAGGACACCATACATGACACAACGCATGACAGGAGTCGCGATGTGGCATCCGAGCACCAGTTTATGTTCGATTACTACTCCAGCTAGCGCGGATGCTTTATGCCTTAGGCCTCAAGTATTTCCTGCAGCTGTTGACATATGATTGGCGGGACCAACCCATCAGTGCTGCTCAAGACGCCTTGTAAATACGTCATGCAGAACGCGTTACCCTGAGTTTCATCTCGCCGAAAGTACGAATGTGACAACTTCCAACAGGACTACACTGATTTTGAAATCTCAATCTGCCCCCAGGCAGCGATGTTGCTTTTGTAAAGACAAAGATAAGCCTGATATGCTCCGACATTACAAGGACAGCATGAATGGATGTGAGACGGTAAACTATACTTTGATGCCAAAATCCACTACAGAACGGTCGTCCTACAGTCACTATGCCCAGTCAATGGCAGGATTAACCAAACATTACCCGTATTGCTCAAAGCGAGGTGTGAAATCAGCGGTATGGATATGGGTGAATGCAGAATATAGGAGGGAGTTTGGCAAGAGAAGAAGATGTGGGAGGAGATGAAGTCAGAAAAGGGAAGGCTTTTTTATATTGGGTCTGGGATCACGTGACCGATCCTTTGGGTTATCAACTTGATCCTTGTTCCTTCCTGCATTTCCATCGCAACCCGCTATCCAATGATTCTGCCTTGACTCCCCGCATAGTCACGTGAGGCTGATGTGGCTTGGTTTGTAACACTACCATCGGATGATATCCAACCGTTTATTACCGAAGCATCATCTAGCAGGCAACTGCTAAGCTCTACTCCTGATTCTGACTTCTCTCATCCCCTCACATTTCCTTCCTCTCTGCAACTCGTTGGCCCTGGTCGCAGGAAAGGCTACTTCCTTTACACAGACACGAACAAAGATGATTTTGTTCATTGGTGGCTACGGACAGCTTATGGCAGTACATCCGGAAGTTTAATTGGTATCGACGTGGGCATCTGTCTGATGTTTGAAAACACTTTGACCAGATAGCTTCTTCCACTGACGGGCTTCCAAATGTAATGTGTCACCGATGCGGTAAGATTTTCGATCATCTAGGACACAAAGACCGGAACAAACTTGATGGGAAGACATTGGAAGTGGGAAAAGTGTTGAAAGGCTGGCAACCAGGCTCAGCAACCTAACATTCGGCAGCTTCTACAAAATGAGGTAGACCCTTAGTATATATTAAATGCTTAAAGATCAATAGGCTAGTCAACCTGCCAATCAAGCCCAGGCAATCAGCAAAGAAATTTGGGAAGAGGAATTGATCGTTACCATCACTGTTCTTCGGTTTCCGTTCCAGGTCGTGGAGCATCCGCAATTCCAAAAGTTTATATGACTATCTCGTTCAGTCTTATCCTTGAGTGACTTTCCTTCAGAAAGAACAGTCCAGAGACGGCTCCAGGGCAATATCAAAGAAAGAAAAAACGTTTACTGCAGATGCTACCACTAAAATCGAAGATGTTTATTGCACTAGACTGTTGGACATCCCCATTTCGACAAGCATTCATGGCCGTCACTGGTTTTTATTGATGAAGATTGGAATTACCGCGAGATCCTTCTAGGTTTTGAACCGCTTCATGAAACTCATTCTGGTGCCAATCTTAGCGCAGTGCTTCTGACTTGCTTCAACAACATCAAATCGTGAATCGGGTGCTTGCAATCACTACGGACAATGCATCGAACAACACCACTTTAATGTCAAGTATCCATGAATCAGTCCAGTCGCTTGAACTTGGTAGTAATACTGCCATTGTCTGAGTTCCATGTATTGCCCACGTTATCCAGCTCAGTCTTAAACAGCTCCTTAGACAAATGAAGGCAACTCCAAAGAATGAGATCAGTGAATTGGATTTGTCGGATGCTCGGCTACAAGCAGCGCGTGTAAGTGCAAAGCAGCAAAAAAAGGGAGATTGTTGGCACCCTAAATAAGGTCAGATCTACTACGGACCCTTAGATTATATCCACTGACCGCCTTTAAAGGATCGGAATTTGGCAATCTATATCAACGCAAGCCCTCAATGCCGGGAATCATTCCGTAACCTCCAGACAGATTCACCAAAGCTGGTTCCAATCCAGGACGTCAAGACTCGCTGGAACTCTACCTCCCTGATGCTCCGGCGTGCTAAGCGGCTACAGTCTATATTCAATACATTCTGCTCGGAATATGGACTTGGGGATCTCATGCTTGACCAGGAAGAGTGGCGTCAAATTGGTTATCTACTTTGGATCACTCAGCCCTTCAAATTTACGACTTCCCTCTCGAAGACCAAGGATATTACTATCCATATTGTCTTTGAGATTTATAACAACCTATTTGACCATCTTGAGAAGTCAATCCACCAACTTTGACAAAAAAAAAAAAAAAAAGTTCCCTGGAAACGTATAATGCTTACTGCGCTTGATGCTGCAAAGCATAAACTCTCAGAGTACTACTCGCAGACTGATAAAATCCCTGGCGATCTCTTCGCAATCGGTACAATACTTGCACCAGACATCAAGCTTCAGTTCTTTTCAGGCAAGGACTGGAATAATAGTTGGCGCCAAATATATTTGTTGGAGCTTCGAAGACTACCTTGAGCCATATGAACAACGCCTTACGGACATACGGACGTCCTCGCAGACCCAATCGTCGTCTATACTGAGATCGGAGATTGAAATGTTTCTAAAGGGATTAAAACCACAACGATCAGGCTCGCGCGATGAGATCACGCAATATCTCGAGAGTGGTATGTATTGTCTTTCTTTAAATTTACCCTTGGTTAACACTTATTATAGATACCATCGAGATTTCTCCTCATACATTCTGGAAGGAGAACCAGTATAAATATCCAGCACTTGCAAGCGCTGCGCGTGACGTTCTCTGTACCCCTGCAACGACAAGCTATATTCCTTGAACTCAGGCCTTGTTCTTCATCAATGCAGATTTCTCAAACATTCTGTCAGCTGTGCCTGTTTTGGCAAACACTGCTTCGAACTCCGAAGTAAAGGAAGCCTGGAACTCTTTCTCTCCACGTCTAGCTATCCAGCCGAGCTTGCGAGCAAGATCAGACTTTGACGGAGAGCTATTTCGAAGATTTAGTAAAGCTCTATGCCATCATACCGTTGCATTTATCTGGTCCGTATAGGGATCAACTCACTTGGAAGCAAAGCCCCGACCGTACCGCTCTACAGGAATTGGTGGTCAGATAATCTTTTACCAATGTGTATCCAAGTTCGCAGAAGAGGTGCTTGATACCATAGGACAGAGGTCCACATTTTCAAGAATCGGCTATCCAACATGTAGTCGGGCATGACTGCCAGCACGAAGTTGGATGGTCACGTTTTCATTGACGTGAAAATCATCAAGGGTGTGGTAAGAGTGGTTCCCTAAATAAATTATATGGGAAACCGAAGTATGACATGATTACATGGGGTATTAGGCAAGGAGCCGAGAAGGAACTATATATATGATTATTTGATTGTGGTGGATTAGAGGATGAGAGAATAGAAAGGAGTAAATAGGCTTACTGATGCGATACAGATTATTGAATGATAGGATCTACATTTTAACTAGTTTAATCGTCATAATCCGAATCACTCATCCACCCAGTCTCATACGATTCACGAATCTCGCCCAGACCATTAACAATAGTTTCCCGCTCGTCAATAGAAATAATCCGAGTAGCGACCGTTTCCATGGCCTTAATCCGTTCACCCGTCCGCGACGATGCTGTTAGAGAAGAGAGCACTTGGATTCCATTGTTCGTATCGGATACAGGAAACATGTTTCTGGGGAAGCTGTCGAGGATAGGGAAGCGGAGGGGTGTGTGGAAACTGTTGTTATCGATTAGTGATGGTCAAAGTGAAAGACAGATAGTAGAGCTCACCTTTGGAACATGGGCTGTGAATTGTGAAGCCGCAGTTTGCGGCGCATGCCAAGGTCGATATCTTCAGTTGGAAGACCGTTGTTGCTCTTCTCGGGGTCGATCCCGCGCAACACCTGAACTTGATTGAACATGTGGGATTTGCTGCTGTCTCCTGAATCGTAGCTGAAATCCACGTCAAACTCAGTCTTGACTTGGGAAGATTCGTCATCCGAAGGCTCGGCTCCGTTGGTCGGTTTTGCAGCAGCCGTGTATTGCGCTTCGCCATCCGTAAAAATGCTGGATTGTAATTCAAAAATCTTGTGGATACCGTCATCTCCAGCCAGCGAGGATTCGAAATCACGGTACGGACGAAGTCGAGATGGTAGGGTTACGGTTTCCATAGCAGAGCTGATCAACGCTGATGTCTGCCACTCCGATTGGAAGTCCACGTTGAATGTGTTTGGTAGTCGATGAGGGGGGTTAATAATAGGTGTATAGAAGGATGACTGGGGGGAGATTGAGTATATTGAACGGGCCTTGTTTATGTCGCGCTTGATTTGTTGATGCTGCATCTGGTTAATGGGATTCAAAATGATAATTTAGATGGGTACTGACCCTTTGCACCTTGGAGCCACTTTCAATAGCCCACACCCATATATTCTTCTTACCATATTCGTCGAACAGCCTGTCCATATACCGAGCAGCAAACCCACCCCAAGCGTCATCGGCATTTGTGAAGATTTGCAATGCACGCAACTGATCACATTCCTCCGCGAAGGGTCTCACATCCCGGTCAATTAAGTCGTGCTCCTTATCAAGGTCATTAAACAGCTCCTCGCCCATCTCCCAATCTTCAAAAGGCATCATCCTCGAATTAAGCTCGTAGTCATTTAACTGCACTATTGACCGAGGGTGGTAGAATAGCCGGTTGTAATCTGACCAATACCGGACTGTTTCTGATGTAAGTTTGGGAGCTGGGAGCCCTGCATCCAGGCTCTTCTGATAGTCACTTTGGAGGATTGTTGGTTGTTGCTGTATAACTTCTTTTCCGTCCCTGATAACATGAGTCATTGCCCTGTGGAACTTTTCAGTAGAAGACTTACCAGAGACCCTGCCCCGGGTTAAAATCCTCGCTTAGTTCATAGAGAGCATTGGACTGCCGTAATGTGCCAAAGCCACCCTTGAGGTCATATATCACCGTCCGAGGCGTGTAAGTTTCTGATCCATCTGCCCCAACGCCGGGCCGGAAATGAACGTCATGATCGACCGGGGATTCTTCGCCTTCTTGGTACGTGAAATAGGATTCCTGAGATGAGTTAGCCTTGCTCCTCAACCCTCTCCTTCCCTAGTCATACCTGAAGGTTCCAGAAATGCGTGGCCAGGTGGTTGGCCCGTTGCCCTAATTGGAGGGTGACGATTTCATGCATTTCGTCGTCTGGATACTGAGCCAGCAGTATGTTTTGGTTTCAGTTTTAACAGGGAAATCTACTCACTATATTGTCGCTAAGATTTCTCGATTATCGTGGTGCTACTTTTTGTCGCTGGATGGCGGGGATCAGTAAGCAGCGGGGCCTCAATAAAATGCGGAAACGCTAGTGCATATTAAATAAAACAGCCAATCATATACTTGTAAGATCTTTAATTTTCCCACGGAAGCGTGACTTTTAAGTAGCTATCGACACGAGATTTTGTCATTCTGAAGCAATGTTTTGCATCTTACATTGTCTAACACGCCTAATTCAATAAAAACCCTAGCAAATAGTTAACTGTCAATATGAAGCACTGGAATGTATCAAAATGAAGAACATGTGCCCATGTCACGTGATATAAAAACCGTCGTCCCAGCAACAGTCACGTGTCGTCCCCAAAGGAGGCCATAAACGGTAAACAAGAGTCCGTGCAGTCACGCTCCACCACGCGGGAGATCCCTTTTTGTTGACAAGAACCGTCACGCTCCGATCCTGCTTCAACTCTTTGTGCCGTTGCTTGTCATGCTCACTACAGTGTCTGCTTGACACTACAAACCTTTTACAGCAGTTGCTACAGAGAGTTCACCATCATGGACTCACCATCAGCCATCCTGTCGAGCCCCGCGAAGGTCCTGAACCCCGTGTCACCAGAGCGCATGAATCAACAAACGATGCCCCCCTCCCCCTCACCATCCCGTCCGTCGGATATCATGGGTGTGCACCGCAAATCGAGAGGCCTGTCTGACGTCCAGGCAAAGGTCGCGTTTTTGAATAATCTCTCGCGTGGGAATAGTCCCTCACCCGCACAAACACAGCAGTCAGCAGGAAACACTGCAGCACTCCAGCGGGCAATCCTTGGGCGCGAAGAAGCAGAGTCTGCGTTGCGGATTGCGTCGGAACAGCTTTCTGAAGCCCAATCACGAGAACACCGGATAGGCGAACGACTTGAAACCTTACTGGCAGAATTACAGTCCGCAAAAGAGCGCCAATCTAACGAGAGATCGATTTTCGAAAAGGAGATTAAAAAAGCGAGAAAAGACGCTTTTCGAGCTGGCTCTGCTGTCGTGAAGATCCAAGAGGATCTCAAGGAAGCCCGAGCGGAAATTAAGAGCTTGAGAGAAGAGACCCAGGTGGAACGAGAGGCCAAGGATGAAGCGAAGCAGGAAGCCTTCGAGCGTGCATACACCCTTGAGGGTCTCATGGAAGAAATGGAGGTCCTCAAGAAACGTCTGCGAGCATCCGAAACGGCTATCCACTCGAACAGACTCGAAAGCCGGGCCCAGAATTTTGGGAGAATGTCGCTCGCAGATGGAGACCTCGCCTTGCTCACGACACCAACACCAAGGCGTCCCAAGAGGTCTGCTGATGCGACGATTTTGTACTCAACGAATGACTCGTCCACTCAATGCACTCCTCCCAAGCGCCCACGGCTATCCGACATCACCCCTAAACAGGAGGAGCCTCAGAACCAGCAAGAAGCCAAACAACAAGATCTCCAGAACGATATGATTGAGGAACTTCAACGGCTGCTCGACCACGAAAAACAACGTCGTACCGATGCCGAAGAGATGATCCACTTCATGGAGATGGAGTGTCAATTCAAGCGATGCTCTTGCCGTCTTGCAGAGGATTCCGAAAACACTTGCATTCACGAGACCACGTTGTCCCAGAAGAAGCAAGAATCTGAAGTCAACGAAGCGCCGCACGGGAAGAGGGAACACATCGTACCTGAACCAAGCAAGACACAACCGGCTCGACACAGTCTGCGTAGATCAGTGCACAAGCCTCAGCACGCCATGGACGTTGATAATCAGGTTAAGCATGAGGAAGATATGGAGGTTCCTGTGATTGCCTTTTCGCCTCAGACGGGAACCTTTCGCGCCATGCCCTCTCCCCAAAGACCGTTAGAAAAGACCTTCATCCCGGTGCATCCAACGGCATCCGAGTCCCACGCTGACGAAGAATCATTCACTCAATTGCCGTTGGCACGGGGACCAACTGAACGACGGAGCAACCTGCACGACATTGACTTCGAACGCTACCCCCATGCCCCGCCTCAGGTCCCTTCCCGTGTCCCGTACACACCCTCCCCGTCGACAGCCCTGAACCGGGCCACACAAGACTCTCGAATGTCAGCAGAACAAAGCACTGAATTCGAACTCGACACAAGTGGGTACCCCATCACCAAGCGTGTCCCTTTACGCCCGGAATCCCGCCTATCCAACCAGTCCGCCATCGTTCCCGGAACACCCGTCAGCCGCGAGGAGGCATTAGCACAAATCCGAGCACGGAGGGGAAGAGCGAACAGCACGAAACGATCCGCCAGCGCTGGTGAAGGTCTCTTCAAGACAGCTGCACCGGCGGCTAGTAGTTTGAACCGGCATCCTCCGCAGAATGAAAGAAATGACCAGAGGAGGTCGTACCATCGGTGATATACTTGTCTTCAGCAAGTTGACACGGTTGAATGAACGTGAAAGGTCATGTATTCTTTTGGAGTTCTGTGTTGGGTTTGATGTCCTTGGTCGATACCCCGGGTGCTTTGCTACCGGTATGGCGTTTTTTCTTGTTGATGGAATCTTTTTTGAATTGATTTTTACTTGCATGAAATACTCTCATTCAAAAAGACTTGTTTTTATGCATGGTGTTGGATGGATAGTCTGTTTACATCTCTCATGGTTATGGTTATGACCATCCTCACTCTCTTATATAATTTCCTTTGTCTTGCATTGGTTTTGGTTATTCATGGTTCTTCGATGTCAGTATTTTATTTTGGTTATTAGGACATAATTTATGACTATCTATTTTAGAAATCAGTCCCCGAGGAGTCAACATGTGTCACAACCTGGCTTCTCTTGTATCGTACCTAAGGTTCTAGTTAGTCGTATTTCGAGACAGGATACTTACCCTAAGTGTCTTCCAAGTGATCGTATGCTCAATGCCCCTCCGGGTCCGGTTCAGTAAGTTGTATGCATCGATGGGTATATCGCCCCCTCCAGGCTCCGTAAGATAATCGACAGGTAGGAACGGTAAAGGTAACGAATAGAGAAACAAGGCCAGCCGAGCACGTACGCTGGGTTGTTGGTTAAGTGCGGACGAGTCAGAAACTAGAAGGTAACTAATGCTTGATTAACTAGATTGATTGCGAAGAATTAAACTAAGTACATGAATGAGTGTCCTTATATATCCTCCGCTTCTCCTACCATCCCGTATACCCTCTGTGGTCGACGGTATGGTAGCGTATACACACTCGAAGAGTATTGTCGTTGATGTCTTATGTCCTGGGCTTCCCTGGATATATAGTTTTTGGGTGAATGTGGTAGGGTTACGTCCTGCGATCTGTGTTCGAGTGCTCATTGAAAGCGAAGAAACTCGTCTTCGGCAGGCTCATGAAACCATTCTATCGCTATAAGTGACTGTTAGAACAGCAACTTCCTCGATGAAGCCACCCCCTCCCACGTGCGATTAGGCGCGTTGTGAGTCAAGGAATGATAGTCCGTGTCTTTAATATACCCAAGCAATCTATTTCTTATGAACTGTCTTAAGACCCGAATCATTGCCCATCATGCGGGCGCTATCTACTTGCTCAACGCGCAAGGGAACCGGAGAAAAAGGCTGCTCAACAAGAGGATCCTCACCAGAAAGAATCCGGTACCCTCTCCCACTTTTGAACTGAGTTAGTCGTAACGGCCAAACTAGTCTTGTGCTTACTGGAGGCGGGTAATGATGCTTCAACGAGCAGATTTGCCCAATTTCTCACCAAATTGCCCCATAATTCTTAGCTGTCCTCTCTGTATGTGGCTGTAGAACTGCGATGTCTTCAATGATATCACCTCTGTGCACGACTATAATCTGCTCAAGGCATGATTAATCGGGCAAAGGCATTGTATAATTCCTGTTGATATTTGACATACCCGAACTCTCCTGCTTTCCGTGACTGCCTGGAAGTTCTGGGTGACGATGTTTCAACGAGCCCAACTGTGCCCAGCCGTTCACCAATTTGCCTAATGTCTATTTAGGCGCGGATGATTACATACGGGAATTGTGTATTCGAACACGGAAAATAGCATAGCCTTTCTAGAGATCACCGTGGATATACCCCGTCTGGAAGACGGGGTATATTTCCAACTGGCTCTCACTGGCCTTATCTTCACTAGCTCATCATCTTCGGAAACGCCCTAACTAATGGCAGAATGCTTTCGCCCATATTTGTCAAAGGGGGTACTCTGGTCTCACCGACGTAATCCATTCTTAGGAATTGACTATGCAATTAAAAACGCGGGGCTACATATTTCTAGAAGTCTAAGACTACCCCCTCGTCTTCAGGAGGCATATGGCGCTTTTCATATTCATCGAAGCTTATCGTAGCTATAGTTTCTTTCGAGTCAGTGGATTGTTCAATTATCCAAGCTTTGCAAGCTGTCTATAAATCGGCTTGGACCTTCTCTGTAACCTTCGGTTCAACCCAAGCCCAGCCAGTCAACTGTAGGATAATCTGGAGAGAAGAGCGAATTTGTCTCAAGCATCTGAAGCCTCCATCAGGTGTCCTATCGTCAATTCGTAATACCTGCGAAAATGCCCCTTGACGATACCACTCATGGAGTGGTCGAGGCGGACTCCTTTTCAAGGATGGCGATATCATCAGTTTACGCTGCCTTGTGAATCATGAATTCTCCCTCCCCCCACCGACTTCCTCGGGCTAGCGAAATCTCTCCGCCAGAGGGATGGATTGCATCTGCTATGTCCGACATGATGTGTCCAGCAGTTAGGACAACATATCATATGCTATAATTCGTAGATACGTTGGTACGAAATAATAGTTCAACTGTTACTCAAGGGCGTCATCTGTCATCTTGTAGAGCCTGTCCTGACCGAACTCCCTATTCGTACAAATATATCCACGAAGGATGCTAAGCTTGTAGCTCGCTATTGGTACAACCACGTCCGCCAATGGAGGCGCTTGGTCCCTTTCATCGTCGTAGATATCCTCATTTACGCCCTTGTACGCTATAACAAACGAAATGATACCAGATGAGCCAGCATTAGTCCAAAAAGCCTTTCCGGATTTGTCCTTGAGGACAAAAAGTCCTTCGACTGCAATATCCGACAGGACCCCGCTCTCGTACGACCGTCCAGGAACATGCATGCGATAGTGGGAATAAAGATTTCAAAAGTATGAATCGACGTATACGTTTTTGGTAAACGCGACCCTTTCCTTGTAATTGGGACGGAGCTCCTTCGGTGCCATCGACCAGGCTTAGTATGTACAAATGTACAGACTGCCGCCGTGGTACGTGGGCCAAGTCCATCTCATCAGTTGTGCTTTGACTTGTGGTCTTCCAAGAAAGTACCAAAATGCACACTCCATGTAGCCGTTGCCAATAATCTTTGTTGAATGGTATGCGACATGGGGTAGTCAGGACAGGGCGACGGATCGTGGGTACTTCGAGTACCATCGAGAGTGCATTCTCAAAATCGGGATAGATGTGAATTGGATTGTACCTATCAAGCTTGTGTGTGTTCTAGAGAGCAAACGTATTGACGAGAGAATTGCGAAAGATAGTGCCTATCATCGAGTTGTCAGTACATGTAGAGACACATTGCATTGTGTCTGTGAATGATTGACGTACCCGGTATAGTGAATGTCCAATGTCACCCCCAAGATTGGATCCTGCTAGTCACCCTCAAGTGATTTTAATGAGGGCCAATTGAAGGGAAGAGGGAGAGAGTATGCATAATGGTTGCTTGAATCCGCCCCAAAAGAAAGGTGGCTAATCACCGGGGAGGGTCATTGGTCACTGCTCTTCTGGCATTGGGTGGAAAGCAAATAGTGCAGAAAAGCCGGAATACAAGAAATGATTCGATTGAATTGTGTTTCTGGAGAATATGGAGTGGTGTGGAGTGACGGAGTGACTACTTAGGGGAGGTGGCGGCCATAATTTAGGGTAGCCCGGTACAAGGTACAAACACGCAGTAACATTCAAACGGAGACGGGATATAATAAACGAGTCAAACAACTGACAAAATGTGTAAGAAAAGATAACATCATAGATCTCCAACACTCAAAGCACAGACAAGCATTGTAACCCTCCGAGTGGCTGCTGCTATCACACCATCACCGCTAAAATCCCACCATCTCCGGTGGGCAAATAATGGCCACCTTAAGTATCTCCCACCCCTCCTTTCCCTGATTTCTTCTAAACTCGCAGCGAGAACTGCTTGAGGTACAGATAATCCGGCATGTTGGCGTCAACCGTCTTGCGGATAATCGCTGCACCCTCCTCGCCGAATCTCTCCCGCCATTCAGCATCGAATTCTTCTTCGGACTTGGCCTGTTTCTAACAATATCATTAGCTCTTCTTATATTTTGTTGTTGCTGTCGTCTCGTTGGTGCTCACCTTCTTCTTGGCAGTCAGACCCTTTGATTCGATCGCATCGTTGTGAAAGCCCCTCCACTTCTCGAACGCATCCTTGGCAAATTGGTGGTCCTCGTCTGTGTCCCACTCCAACAAGCTCGGATCATAATCCAGTCCCACGCTACGGCAGAATGCTTCGATGGTTGGTGCCGGCTTCTGGAGCATTTCATCCGCGTCAACTACGCAAATATCTGCGCCCGACTCCTTTCCTTCGCCAATTCCACTGACGACCGGCTTGAGACCTTCGCCGTTGGCACTCTCGTCCTCATCATGGGTGGCAATGTGAGGACCGACTAGCCCGACATTTCGAAGGTATTCAAATATGCGACGGACCTCGTCGTATCCGGCTTCCGACGGGTCATAGTTGGGGAACCCAGTCACCTCAGTCAGTGGCGGGATGGTGCAACGATAATACGAAGGCACACTGAAATGAGGATCACGGATAAGGAAGGCAAAATGGAAACGTGACCAGATCTCCGTGGGCATCACGGTGGGATTGCCCGGTTCGGCTTCTGTGTCATAGGGGTAGGGTTTGGTTCCCTGCTCGTTGATGGTGGCCATACTGGGTTTTACGTTGTTCCCGACCGGGACAGCAGAGAGATCGACGCCGCTGTCAATCTTTGCGTGGCTGGGACGAGGGCTCTTTTCCGCATGAAACCCGTTTGTAGCCTCGTTCTCCTTGCCGTTCTCCTCCGCCTTGCCGTTGACACGTCCGGTGTCAACGGCCGTGGCATCACCATTGGCATGTTCCTGGGTGCCTACGCCACGTTTGACTTTCTGGAGGGACGGAGCGATGCTGGCGGGTTGGCCGTTGGGAGGGATGAGGTAGTGGATGATGTCCTTGATGAAGACTCGCTTGCCCTATTGAGGTGAGTGTCCATCCGGCTGTAGTAACGTATAACCTTCCATTTTCGGAAGAGTAGACAAGTGTAGAAACGCAGTAAGAAATGTAGCTGCACGAATGCCCAATTCATCGCCAATGCTCACTTGCGGGCACTCGGGGCATTCCGGAGTGTCAAAAAAGCAACAGATGCGGGGGAATGAGACGTAGAAACAGCAAAAGAAAAAGATAAGGAGAAAGAGCGTACAAGAGAAGCTTCACGATCAAGTCTGTCCAAAACGGTTTTAAATGTCGATTTGCTAAAGCCACTGTCTATCCGGGCCTGTTCATCATTTTCGAATCTCTCTGAGAGCCTCTCGGGGCCGTAGTAAAAGGCATCGCCAAAGGGTTCATGGACACATTGGATGTTATTCCGTTGGGTCATGAAAACCTGATATTGTCAGCATCACCACTGTAAAAACGTGATACAATAGAGTAAATACCCTCTCAAATGCTGTCGAGCATGCTCGCGGGTGGGTTACAACAAAGATGGGTTTCTGCGACATCTCTGCGTCTACCAGGGAATTTCACCTCTGGAAAGTGAGTGACACTATTATGCTGTTAAGAGGGAATAGCAAATGCTGTGTCCTGCAACAAGAGGAAAAGTGTTGTCGTGTATATGGAAGATGGATGAACAGAGAAAGGAAGGCTGAAGGAAGGACCGGTTTTTATATGGGGGCACAGAGTCCCGAGGAGAGAGTACAGAGACACAAAAAAATAAGATCGTATTTTTGCCTCTCTTTCATTTCAATTTCCGCCGTCTCGACCACGATCCAGACTGCGGCAGTTGCTCCATCTGCTCCATAAAAGTTAGAGTAGTTGTGTATATCTTTTTTCGAGTCCACTGAAGACTCTGCCAATTCTAAGCACCCGGTTGGTATTGCCATTTTGACGTCATGAGTCCTTGTACCTGTTGGGATTCACATTCAGAGATTTCTGGTTTGCATTGAGATAATACAGTACAATTGAAATATCTATACAATGTAAATGTGTAGTTCGGCATACTTACCATAGTACTATGCCACCCCTGTACAATATCTGAAATAGCGCACGACCGGCCCTACGGACAGACGCTATTCCTGCAGGACTAGCGACCCATCGCCGTCTAGTCTAAATGAAAAGAAAAATCACTGCTAGCCTCTTTGTGTTTCTAAATTTCTGCTTTTGTACGCTATAGGTCCTTTCCGGGATCATTCCCGGGAAATAAAAAATCTCTCATCATGCAGTCTCGCACGCACTGTCCCCCTGGTGATCCTGTGCCACTGGTAGCATGACCCGATTAGAAATTTCCCGAATGGGCACCGAGTAACCAGCAATTCTTAATTTGGTATCCATCTGCCTGCCTGCGCCTCTCTGTGGCCGGTCATATCGCCAGGTCGGGCGTGTTCCGGGTTGAGCCTCGGGAAGAGGGGGCCACTTGAGGCACTGAAATCCCTGCACGATCAGCAACATGGGAGTGGGATGATCCGGCCTGTTTTAGTCTTTCCCAACAAGCATTGATCCCTGGTACACGAAGAGGATGCCCATGCCTGAGTTTATCTGCTGCGGGGATCAGGTCAGCTGTGGTCATGTTATGTCATATCACGTGACTACACGTGACATATCACGTGTAGTCGAGTGATAACTGAAGCGGGGTCTCTCGGATCGTAGCTCAAAAGGGCAATCGGGAGTCGATTATTCCGGACTAACGAGGTCTATATGGAGAGGACTAACTTGACGAAAGATGTGTATTGCCTAACGAACGTACATGCGCGTACACAGCTGATTGAGTGCTTAATCTACAATATGTGTGCACACGTCGACTATAAGAATCTCCTGGCCTCGCTACTCGGGCCAACTATTTATCCGATCAATCCTTATCAATAACAATGCCAGGTGCTAGATGCTTCTGGAAGGCGGTGGAAATTCCCCGTTGCGTCACGACGTCACGGGATCTATCCATCCTGTTTGAGCCCCTCGTATATATGACTGCTCGCACACTCGGCTTCAATTCTTCTTTCTGCATATCATTGCTCAATTAGCTGGCATTTTCTTGCCTAGTCAACTTACTACACTCTTTATATCAATTTTCTTAGGCATATACACGTCGCTTAACTATCCTACCTACATTTGAAACCAACATCTTTGCTAGCCGCCATGAACGGCGTCCAATTCACGGACAGAGCCAACAAGGCTCTGCTAGACTCCAGCAGTTTAGCTGAACAATACTCCCATTCGCAGATCCTCCCTATCCACCTCGCTGTCTCCCTCCTCAACCCCGCCCCCGATGAGTCCAAAGACCAACAAGCCACCGCCCACCCGTCGCATGATGGCGCATCCGCACCCCTCTTCCGCCAGGTCATCGAACGGGCACACGGCGACCCTCAACTCCTTGAACGCTCTCTCATGAAACAACTCGTCCGATTACCTAGTCAAGACCCTCCGCCAGAGACCGTCAGTGTGGCCCCCGCATTGGCCAAGGTCATCCGCTCCGCGACCGATCTGTCCAAGACACAAAAGGACAGCTTTGTTGCAGTTGATCACTTGATTTTGTCAGCTTCACAGGACTCGCAGGTCCAGCGTTGTTTGTCGGATGCGAACATTCCCAATGTCAAGTTGATTGATACGGCTGTTCAGCAGATCCGGGGCACAAGGCGGGTTGATTCGAAGACTGCGGATTCTGAGAGCGAGTCTGAGAACTTGAAGAAGTTTACAATTGATATGACAGCGTTGGCAAGAGAAGGAAAGATTGATCCCGTCATTGGTCGTGAAGAAGAGATTCGACGAGTTATCCGGATTCTCAGTCGGCGGACCAAGAACAACCCGGTGCTCATTGGTGAGCCTGGTGTTGGTAAGACGACAGTTGTCGAAGGTCTGGCACGTCGTGTTGTCAACGCCGATGTTCCCGCCAACCTGGCCCAATGTCGTTTGCTCTCGTTAGATGTGGGATCTCTGGTCGCGGGAAGCAAGTTCCGCGGAGAGTTCGAAGAGCGGATGAAGGGTGTCTTGAAGGAGATTGAAGACTCCAAGGAGACCATCGTCTTGTTCGTGGATGAAATTCACCTGCTCATGGGTGCAGGTTCGAGCGGTGAGGGTGGTATGGATGCAGCCAACCTTTTGAAGCCCATGTTGGCCCGTGGTCAGTTACACTGCATTGGTGCTACGACTCTAAGCGAATACCGCAAGTACATCGAGAAGGACCAGGCATTCGAACGGCGATTCCAGCAAGTCCTGGTGGGAGAACCCTCGCAATCCGAGACCATCTCTATCCTCCGTGGTTTGAAGGAGAAGTACGAAGTGCACCACGGTGTCAACATTCTGGACGGTGCTATTGTCGCTGCAGCCACTCTAGCATCGCGTTATCTCACAGCTCGTCGTCTGCCCGACTCTGCGGTTGATCTCATTGATGAAGCCGCTGCCGCCGTCCGTGTCACACGTGAATCCGAACCCGAGGCGCTCGACACTCTCGAGCGCAAGCTACGACAGCTCCAGATTGAAATCCATGCTCTGGAGCGCGAGAAGGACGACGCCTCTAAGGCACGCTTGGAGGCCGCCAAGCAAGAGGCCGCCAATGTAACTGAGGAACTGCGGCCTATGCGTGAGAAGTACGAAAGTGAGAAAGCACGCAGCAAGTCCATCCAGGACGCGAAGATTAAGTTGGACTCACTCAAGGTCAAGCGTGACGAGGCTGAACGATCTGGTGACACCCAGACTGCGGCCGACTTGGAGTACTATGCCATTCCAGAAACCAAGACGTTGATCGAGAGACTCGAAATAGACCGAGCCCAGGCTGATGCAGAGCGTCGGGCCCGCCAGGGTGATGACAGCGGAGAGTCCCTGCTTGCGGATGCGGTCGGCCCTGATCAAATCAACGAGATTGTCGCACGCTGGACAGGCATTCCCGTGACTCGCCTCAGGACTACCGAGAAGGACAAGCTTCTTAACATGGAGAAGTATCTGGGCAAGCTCGTCGTGGGCCAGAAGGAAGCCGTAGCCTCAGTTTCCAACGCCATCCGTCTTCAACGCTCAGGCCTTAGCAATCCCAACTCACCACCTAGCTTCCTCTTCTGCGGACCATCAGGAACGGGTAAGACACTGCTTACCAAGGCACTTGCGGAGTTCCTATTCGACGACCCCAAGGCCATGATCCGCTTCGACATGTCTGAATACCAGGAACGTCACTCCCTCAGCCGCATGATCGGCGCACCACCAGGCTACGTCGGCCACGACGCTGGCGGCCAGCTAACAGAAAACCTCCGCCGCCGTCCCTTCTCGATCCTGCTGTTCGACGAAGTCGAAAAGGCCGCAAAGGAAGTCCTCACCGTTCTCCTCCAGCTCATGGACGACGGCCGCATCACAGACGGCCAAGGCCGTATCGTTGACGCCCGCAACTGCATCGTCGTGATGACCTCCAACCTAGGCGCCGAGTTCCTCTCCCGCCCATCATTGAAGAATGGCGCCATCGACCCTCAAACCCGCGAACTTGTATTGGGTGCCCTGCGGGACTACTTCCTCCCCGAATTCCTCAATCGTATCTCCTCCACAGTCATTTTCAACCGCCTCACAAGACGCGAGATCCGCAAGATCGTCGACCTCCGCCTCTCCGAAGTCCAGCGCCGTCTCGTTGAGAACGACCGCAACGTCACAATTTCCTGCACCGAAGAAGTCAAAGACTACCTCGGCGAATCCGGGTACTCACCCGCCTACGGCGCACGGCCACTCGGCCGCATCATCGAGAGAGAAGTACTCAACCGCATGGCCGTTCTTATCTTGCGGGGCAGTATTCGCGACGGCGAAAATGCGAGGGTTGTCATGGTTGGTGGACGGATTACGGTTCTGCCGAACCATGAATTGCCGGATACTGATGAGGATGATTCGGATATGATTGATTCGGATGAGGTGTCAACGGATGGGGATATGGATTTGTATGATGAATAAAATGCTTGATTGGGTTTATAGATTTATTGTGTATGTTGACGAGATATGATTATGTGTGATGGTTTTTTTTTTTTTTTTTGGCATATATCTGGCTTTTGCATTATTGCTTCTTATGTTGATACTTATCTAGTTTTATATAACAACCTTTAATATATTCAACCTTAAAAATATATATCCACAACACCACTTCAGTAGACACTATATCAAAGTACTAAGCACTACTCGTAGAAAGCTGCTTCTCCCTCCACCACCTCGCAACCTCCCCGGACTGACAAAACTCCACCTCCCCAGCCCCCTCCCACCCCCTCAACCATCCTAAAAACCTCTCCATCATCCCAATAACATGCGCCATCCCACTAGTATCTGGATGCATCAGCACCGGGAATACAGGCTCCTCCTCATTTTCCCTGATCCACAGAAACCGATCCTTCCACATATTCTCAATCAGCCGCGTATCAGTGTACCCTTGCGAATTGTGCACGTGTGGCAGGAATTGCATCGGTGTCATATCTTCCATGTAGTAGTTGCAGGGGATGCAGACTAATGGCCGTCTGTCTGGCTTTTCGGAAGGGGAGGGAGAAGGGACGGGGTGCATCCAGGAAGATGCGGCCAGGGAATAGTCGATTGGCTTTAGGGGCGGACGGCGGGGTGCGAAGAATGGGTGGCAGTCGTGGTCTGTTAGGGAGGCGTCGTATTCGAAGTTGTGTTCCTCGAGAAGGTCGAGGGTTGATTCGCGGAGTTGGTAGAGGGGTGCTCTGTAGCCTACTGGCCTCTTGCCGGTGAGTTTAGTGGCGATGGCGATGCATTTTACCAGGATGTCTCGCTCCTGCTCGATGGTGAGTTGGTATGCGCCTTCGTGTGCGTAGCCGTGGAGTCCGATCTCAGCACCGCTTTTGACAACCTGGTCGACTTCGTCGGGGAAACTTTCTGCGGAGTGTCCTGGGATGAACCATGTGCAGCGGTCTACGAGGTGGAGTTTCTGGAGCATGCGGACGAGGCGTGGGACGCCGACTTTGGCGGCGAAGAAGCCTGCTGAGTAGTCAGCTAGGACGTTGTCGGGATGGTAGCCAGTTCCTAGCCAACCGGAAACGGCATCGAGGTCGATGGAGATGGCGATACGGATTTTGTTGCGTTTTGTTAGGGCTGGGGGGATTGAGGAGTGTGTTTCTTTGGGTGCGGAGGGGGTGTTTTGTTGGGGTAGGTTTTCTGTGCTTGTGAGAAATTGGCCGGAAATGTGTCCGGCTGCGCGGTGCGAGGATAGAAAGGCTGTGGTGCGCGCTATGGCTTCTGGTTTGGTGGATTCTGGACCATCCAATGCAACAGCATTGATCGTAGCGTTGCTATTCAACTGAGAAATATCATTCTTTACGTGTTGGATCAAACCATTGCTTATTTCAGAACCAGTCACGACAATAGCCAAATTATCCAGTTCTTTGCCAAGAGACTTCTGTGCAGTTTTCGCGGCGCACAGGAAATGCTTAATAGTCAAGAACGTTACCCGGGCATTAGCCTGGTACGTCTTCTCCCAGGCATCCAGGGACATGTCCCAAACGGGGAATTCCACAATGGCGTTCGTGCTGGCGATTAGGATATTGATGGGACCAAAGCGTTTGGTAGCTTGGGAGATGCTGGATTGGATGGCTTGTTCGTCCGTAGCAGCGCCTGTCACGATATTCAGACGCGAGTAGCCGTCTGAATTTGTGACTGAGTCTGGGATGTGTGAATGAAGATCATGGGCTGTCACTTTACAACCATGGCCTGTTCTAGTTAGCTTGCTATCCAGCAACTAGGATAAACTTACCCAGAAACTCCCCCACAAGCCTCCCTCCCGTTACCCCCGCGGCACCGGTAACAAAAACATGCAGACCTTCCAGACCCAGAAACGACGACGAGGTTGCCATAGTTATGAGCTAGTCGGGGTAACGCGCATGCAGGGTATGATAGACGAGCGACAAGCTCCAACTTAATCCCCTGCCTGTACTCTGTACGTAGAAGTACACCGCACACCGAGCGAGTTGTTGATAGACGTGGATTGTCAAGAACTATCTGTTGCAAGGTTAGTACTAGTAACTTAAGTGCATGGCTGTGAGTGGATTCGGGCTGTACTTGCGGTATTTGGGAGGTGTAAATTCTGTTCTGTATTTGGATTATATATAATGGATTGACTGGTGTGTTTTTCATGTAGAGGTACTAGAGGGACTTGGCAGTGTTGCTGAGATGAGGATGTGATAATGGGATGTTATTGACACGCGGGGCAGTCACGTGTGTTTACGAGAAGAGGCGATACATGGAAAATAGCAGCAACGACTGTGATAAAGCGAACTACTGGTTTCTCCGTTGAATACGGTCAATACGTTGGAATGGAGTTACTACATACAGATACATGTGGACGCTGTACACAATACTTCAATCGCACAACCAGCTATTCACCAAGCTCATAACACAGGCATTTCACCTTAACCCTTCTCCGGAACCAAATAAGGTAGGTCCCAAACATGCACCTAAAGCAAGACAGCAATTAGCCCCAAGACCACGTGCATGCACTCCAGTTCCAGCTCTACTCCAAAATCTCCTAAATATAAAACTGTACTAGTCCAACGGTCAACAAGGTCACCTCCACGACAGCCCCCGAACAAACTTTGCACAAGCGACTCCAAAGCAAAGTTTAATACCTTCCTCTGCTAGACTCCACTGTCTCCGGAGTGCACGGCAACACACGTTTTCCCACAGCGGACAGAACAGTATCCCACTTAGAGATCACCGCGCAGATCCCGTGAACCGGTCAACTCTCCTCGGCAGGCCGGTTGAGGATAAATCCGGATAAAATAGTTACACACGTTTATTTGCGACAATATGTGTCCGTATCCATGGAACCATGAGAATCCATGTCCCAGGGAAATGAAACTTGGTACACTTGCAGCGGCGAACCATGGGATCAGTGATACCAGCGACACGCGGCCAAGGCATGCAGACATGTGCCAACTACATTTGACAGCCGGTTTTAGGTTCGACGATTGGTAGAGTTTTGAAGTATGTTTGCTGGTGTTTCGGATAAGAGTTTCTGTTCTTGTACACTTGGATATCGCATCGCATTGCTAGCAGTGAACAGTGTTCAATAGGTAGTAGTGAGGATAGACATGTCGGCCTACGAATGAATGCCAGCCAGGGGTTCTGATCGACCCAAGGTAATTGTCTGTATCCAATAGTGATCCAAATAGCAGTGAATACTCCAACACGTACTATGGCCAAGCTGAATGGTCGACTACTCTGACGTATGCTTTGCCCCACAGGGGTTGTCTGCGCGTTTATTGGCTTGCTACCAGGCACAGACCGGGAGATCGGCAGGACGCTAGTATATTTGGTACGTATTTTACCGTCCTGTATTCAGCTGGGTACGTGCCCGAGTCATACGTTAGTAGTTAGGGTTGAGATAATATGTGCTTTGGAGGATGGGGGAATGGTAAAACAAGCTCTAATACTCTTAGGTTTTTGTATATCTCTATATACACGTATAATTATTCCAGAGTGTATCCGTATATCCAGACCGTGTCCGAAGAAAGAGAACAAAGTTTCGTCCCACATGCAGATCAGAGGGCAAACTCCACCACTCTCAACCCTCATTGGCGGATGAGAGAACTCGTGGAAAGGCCCATAAAGGTATCGTATCATCAGTCCATAGCTTAAAAAAAGAAAAAAAGAAAAGAAAAGAGAGGCCAAAATTATATACAAGAAGGCAAATATATAGTGGTTCAGTGTATGGGGGAATAGGTAAAAAGGAAGGTAGGGAAAGAGGGGACAATTAGACCTGACTTTCAGCTCGAGTCCGGTTCGCTTCCCACTGATCCAGCGCCGGTGGATGCGAACCACGTTCCACAGTCACCGTAACGTCCTGCCGAATGTGCAGTCCCCGCGTCGAACCGTCCTCACTGTATTCCCGGCCCTCACTCGGCTCCGGGCTCTCACTGATCTCCGAGATGACCTTTTGCGGCGGCGTGAATGGCATACTCCGTCGGTAGTCGTGCATACTGTGCATACTGACACCACCCCGACTTGGTGGTCCATAAGTGGATCGAATCGCAGAGCCCTTGCTGAACGTCCACCGACCAGAGCGGTAGCGGTTTTCTGTGCGGCCGCGGGATCCACCGGTCCAGCTCTTGAGGGAGGGGAAGACATCGCGGAGGAGGGACCAGACAAGGGGGATGTTGGTGACTAGGACGGCGACGGTGGCTTCGCGGAAATACCAGTTCATGTAGACGTAGGAGATGAGGCTGGGGACGAGACAGTAGACTTTCGTGAGGATGGCGGCGACGATGACGAAGGCGCCCATGCCGAAGATGATGAGGAGAATGAGTTTTTGTCTCACAGGGACGCGGACTTTCAGTAGGAGAGGAATGGCGATGATGAGCATGAAGATGTCGGCGGAGATGTGGATGCAGCCTTGGATGATTTCGTAGTATTGGTACGACGAGCATTGATCTGTCATAAGTTAGTATAAAAGCATGGACCAGAGAGCGGTTGGCATACAGTTTGGCGTAGGCACGGCCCAGTAATTCGACAAAGGCCGGCAGATGAGAAACAACGTCAATTCAGTCGCGATAAATCCAAGGCCAACATAGATGGCTAGCCAGTTGATCCAGCGTCTCTGGTGCAGTCCCTCACTACAACAGTTAGCACATATCATGTTGATCGTATGGTTGGCAACATACGTAATACGAGCGTAAATCACGAGCATGCAGGTCTTCAGTGACCAGATGGCCCCTACAAATGAATGTTCGCTCACAAACACCCATTTGCTTCCTTCAACTCGTTCGTTGTAGATCTCCGGCGTCAAGTTCCTCACATCTTCGTCCGTCATCAGATTCGATCCGCCGCCGGAGACCACCTTATTCAGAGCCACGCAGAGGATGGTATACCACAAGACAGCGAACAGCATGACATAGTCGTCGGCTTGGAGGTTGCGAATGCCTAATCGACGGATACGAGCGGTGCTAGTTCGTCAGTACCACCATCCGCATCTAATTGTACACAAGGCGAGGACTCACAATCGCAAACACACGCCCAGCATCCCAACTGCATAGAGAGCCCATGTCTCCCGCGCAAAACTGCGGGCGAAGTCCGGACCGAGACTGGACATCTTGTCGGCTCTCAACCTACCAAACAAGGGAAAGAGAAGATTAACGAAAGGATCATTCCCAGTAGAGCCAAAAAGGAAAGAGAAGGAGAAACAAGAGCGAGATATGCGGATACATGCAGGATATAAGAAGGGTGACCTACATTTCCCGGGCAGTCAGATAAACTTTTCAATGTGATTGGACCTGATTCAGCCAGAAAGCGGAATTAAAGGTAGGGATCATGAAGGGAAGATCATGAGAGAATTGCTTTTTGGCAAGAAAAAGGAATAATAATATGTTAGGGATGGTAGACATGAACCAACGAGCGAAAAGGGCTGAAGCCGAGGGGCGAGCTTGACCCATGGCTCACGGACGTTGATTATTGGACCACCTGGGGGCGGACTGGCTTTAGGTCAGGTACCGCAGAGTACAGTACTTCGGAGTACGGTTTCTATGTCTGCAATTCTATTGGCAATGACAAACTTTTGCATTGGCGTTTACCGAGTAAGAGCAGTAGGTGCTCCGAATAGAGTGCTATGTACATAGTGGCATTGATTGGTCGCGTGCTCAAGGAACCATGACTCCACGAGCACCTGAATCACCTTGCAGCAAGCTGTTCCTAATATAGTTAACACCCTGAGTCCCTGCGAGCAACAATTGTCATCGCAATAGTAAGATACATTAATATCACTCATCCTGTGTGTGGAGGATTGTGGTATTGTACTTTGTACTGTGTATTACCGATGAATGCCACTTCATGACTGGTGGGCCTATGGGCCTGCATAGATTAGCGTCAACTTTAAAAGAAAATATCCATTTTTGCCTTCTGTCACGGTTACCGTATGGTAAGATTAATACAGACACCAATCTCTAATTTCCCCAACCACGGCAACTGCTCTAATGGTTATGAGGGGGATTTTCACTATATTGAAGAATACCTTGGGTATAGCACCGTGTACCAGAGGATGCCGTGGGATCATGTGTTGAGATTCGGTCACACTCCGGTTCTGGAATGTTGTCCAGGATAGAGCATGTAAAGCTTCGTGAACAGTGGGGACTGAACTTTGCCTAATGCTCCAAATCTAGATTTTGATTAGTACAGGTCCAAGATGGGATCATTAGTAACTTGCTTTTGCGTCTTTTCTTTTGATCCAAAAACTCGCATCCTCGATGTAATTCCAAGATATGGATGACCACGGCTGTTTTATTGAACTTAATCCATTATGCCACCGGCATCGGATCAGATAATCTCCTGTCAGTTAACTCTGTCTCTGTCATCGGTACTCTGTTGATTCCCCGTGCTTGTACTTGTAAGTCTGTATCCTCGGTGATTGTGCGAACTATCCATCCAGCATCCCTGCACATACAAGAAAAACCCCGAAATCTAGCACAATTAAGAACAGGGATGCAGGGATGAGAAATGAACACAATCCTATTATGCGACAAGCCCAGCATCGCCACCAGAATTTCTAGAAACCTCCCGCATCGGTCAATCCACACGAGCGTCTTCTCGATCAAACTCTCAGGAAAAAGAAATAAGCTCAAGTCCGGCGCTGCGGGAAGCTGCCAGTGAGCGTGCCGTATCGCACCGTCGTGCAGGGATCACTGTCTTACGATTCAGGAGCGACTCCACGACCCCATCCCATAAAAGAGACCCTTTACCAATGGCTTGCTGTCGGGTATGACGGCGGTAATTGTAGGTTTGGAGGACAAAGAATTGGGCAAGACAAACAGGCGGATATTACTCCGGAGTAGAGCGAGCACCGACATTACACGGAGGACCCCGTGCTCCGGCATGAGATAAATTGACCGATCTGAGATTCGGAATTGCCGATAATACGAAGCTCATGGAATGCTACGGAGTACTTAGAAGACACCCTGGTCGGTGTATTCAACCTGAACATCGGCTTCTACCGCGTGGCTGACAATTGACGTATAAAATCGCCGTACACCGTATTGATAGGTCGGATTGCATGATGGCTGAATCCCATGGTTGTTTATTCCCCTATCAGAATGGGTTGTTGATGTTAATTGCCAATTGTTACTAATTACCTTATGCTGTGCTAGCGCTATCGTATTTCGTACTCCGTACTTTGGCACAACGGATGGCCAGTGCTTAGATAGAGCCATCATATCTCTGATAATCAATCATTGTATATTAGTTCCAAAGTCACAATATGGATAATGAGCGCGCTCTTTGTATAATATCCGAACATCACGGCATGTACCCCTAAGTGACTTGTGACTTCGAGAAAATTCGGTACATGAAGCAAAAGCAAAACAGGCTTGTATGTTTTTGATAAAGTTCACAAGACAATCGCAACGCCACCACCTTGTAGCCACCAAGCCACCACCACCTCAACGCACCATCATCGCCTCTAGTATCTATAGTACAAGACTGCATCAGTCCTGATAGAGTTGCATCTGTTCAAGCTCCCCTTTTAGGAAAAGAGCATTCTCCGCGTCCCCCGTCATGATTCGCTGATCCTCTTGGGATGTAGCCCGTGGGCAGCCGTATCCCGGCGGCCAATTATCAAGTGCCCGGTGGATGCTCGCCTTTGCGCGTAGAGGGATATGTTTCTCCGATTGGGCATAGATGCGTACTAAGTTTCTTCAAATCCACCCAGACAGTTTCCACCAGTTCCACAACCCCAGCTGCACGCACCCAAAAAGTGTACCAGACACCCCAAGTATAAACCCATCGCCTTATCTCACTTCTTTCCTTCTTTTTCTTTTTCTGATGCTGCCCAACGTTATGCAGGCTGTCATGTCCGGCCGTCACTGAACCTTACCATAATCATTTTGTTTCGTCTGCCATTCCGTTGTTGTGCTGTGTCGTTCTTTAACCCTTGTGCTACATTATATCATCATTCCCGCCAACTCTCGCCTCTCGTGAACCCCTTTATCCAACACCGTTGATTTCGCCCTATGTACAATAATTTCTATACTCAATCGTTATTCGACTAGTCATTACGTCGCATTTATTGAATCGCCAAAATGACGACAGAAAATTTCACCCCAAAACCCGAGGAGAAAATGCAGACCGTCGAGGCCGCCAGCGAGGAACGAGCCTCCGGGGAATTAGTCAACCCATCGGGTCATCGCCAGGAACTCGAACGGAACTTCAGCTTGCTCAGTATTTGTGCCGTGGCTGTTACAACCGGAAACACTTGGATTGCGCAAGGTGGCAGTGTGACGACTGCGCTGAGCAATGGAGGACCGCCGGGTGTGATCTACGAATTGTAAGCTTCTTATCATACACTCCACTGAGATTGCATATTAACCGCAATAGCATTGCTGTCTCGGTTTGTTACTGGTTGGTTGCAGCATCTATTGCGGAGCTGGCATCTGGTATGCCTTCGGCCAGTGGTGTGTACCACTGGGCTTCGATCACAGCTGGAAAGTATGGTCGTCCGTGTGGTTTCTTCGCTGGTTTCTGGAACTGCCTTGCTTGGATATTGGGTGCTACTTCGATGTCGTCGATTCTCGGTCAACAAACCGTTTCCATGTACGCCCTCATGAATCCCGGCTTCGTACCGAAACCCTGGCATATATTCGTCAGTTTCGTCATCTGCACATGGGTCTGCTGCTGCATCGTCCTGTTCTTGAACCGCATTCTTCCATACATTGGTAACCTGGGCATGTTTTTCATTCTTGCTGGTGTCTTCGTTACGATTATCGTCTGCGCAGTCATGCCCCACGTCAACGGCCAGCCGTATGCGACCAATGACTTTGTCTGGCGCGAATGGCAGAATAAAACGGGCTACGAGAGTCAAGGGTTTGTCTTCGTCGCAGGAATGCTCAACGGTGCTTACAGTGTGGGAACTCCCGATTGCTCCTCGCATCTGGCGGAAGAAATCCCTCAACCCAGCCGTAACATCCCCAAGGCCATCCTGGCCCAGATGAGCGTTGGCTTCATCACCGGTATCTTTTACATGATTGCCATCTTCTACTCGATCAATGACCTCCCAAAAGTCATCTCCAGTGTCTACGGTTTCCCCCTTGCCGAGATTTACCACCAGGCCACCGGAACCAGAGGCGGAGCTCTCGGATTGCTGATCGTCGCCTTCTTGCCTACCTTCATCACTTGCTGCGGCTGCTACATCACCGCCGGCCGTACGCTCTGGACTCTTGCTCGCGACAGAGCCACTCCCTTCCCCAAATGGCTCGGCCGCGTCAACAGTAAGATGCACAACCCATTCAACGCAACCCTGGTCTGCGGCGTCATCATCACCATCCTCGCGTGTATCTACGTCGGCTCGTCGACCGCCTTCAATGCCTTCGTTGGCTCCTTCGTCCAACTCTCCAGTCTTTCCTACTTTGCCGCAATCTTCCCGCATATCCTGACCCGTCGGTCGTCGTTCCAGCCCGGTTTTTTCTGGATGAAGGGAATAATTGGCTTCATTGTCAACGCTGTTTCCTGTGTCTACATCATTGCCTTCGTTGTCATCTTCTGCTTCCCCTACGCTCTGCCGACTGATGCCGCTTCGATGAATTACGCCTGCTTGATCACTGGTGGCTTGACGGTCTTTGTTGGAGTATGGTGGTTCTTCCGGATGGGATCGTACGAGGGGCCCAAGAACATTCCCTTGACTGACAAGATTGTTCTGGATGATGCGAGGTGATCTCAACCGCCTACTTTGTTTTGTTTTCTGATCTACAACTTGTCATTCCTTCGTTCATACCCTTTTTGCTTTTTGTTTCCCCTTCTTCCCCCTTGCTCTGAAATGGACGCTTTAGCTGATATCTAAAACTTACGAATTAATGTTCCCTGATCACCCTTAAAAGCGTGTTTGCGGTATAACATGGCTTGTATACAGATGATGATTTCTCATTTCATTAATATCGACATCTTTGCGTAGTTAATAGTCAAGCATTCAGATATTATATTTCAAATTCGTTCTTGAGTCTACTTCAAACCATCTCATAGTCCAAATTCATCCCAATCCGGTAATATTCAATCACGTGTCCACGCTCCTCCGCGTCTCGCGCAACGCGTCCGCCAACATCCAATTACCACAAACAGAACGAACAGCGAACAATCAGCTTGAAGACTGTTTTCACATTGCCATGGTCTTCAAGCCCTTCAAGCCTCCTTTAATAAGGAAACCACAACCGCAGCCGTCGTCGTCGAATGAAATCGAGACTGAATCTGCCCCGAGAGAAACCATCACCATTACGGATGACCAGAATGCACCTCCGGCTAAGAAACAGCGTTTGCAGACAGAGTCAGCTCCAAGGAGGCCGTTGTTTCAGGTGAGGAATCAGGGTGGGTTTGGTAGTGATGAGAATGGCGAGAAAGAAGATGAGAAGGAGGCAACTGGAAGTGGGGATGGGTCTGAAGGGGAGAGGTTTTTTAATGTCTTGTGGTATGGATATGCCTTCCTTAATTGACTGGTTTCTTACTATATGCTAATGGGTATTGTGTATAATAGGCGCAAACCAACCACCAAAAAAAACAAAACCTGGGACGGAGACGGTATCCTAATCACCCGCGACGACGGCTATGCCTATCTACAAGATATGTCAGGGAAGTACATGGGCCGTGTAATCCACGGGTCGAAACTCGAGCCCGGTACGATGCTGTCAACTGGGAGTAAAGAGATCGAGGTTGATTCTGAGATCCCGAGGAAAGAGTACCTGTCGGGGAGGGTTTTTCTTGAGAGCAATACCGCTCCAGTGGCGCCATCTGTGCCTACGAAACAGTTCATTCCTTTGGCGGGTCAGAATAAGCTGGGGACGAGGAATGCTGCTACGGCTGGTGCTACTGCCAGGTCGACCAGTGCGTATAAGACGCCTTTGCTGGAGACGACCGTTTTACCGCAGAAGAAAATTCTTCCTACTCCACGTCATGATCCGAAAGCGCCGGGGGCGTTGGTGATGAAGCGACCCGATTCAGCGCCGAAGGGAAAGCAGATTGTGGATGTCGTTGTTGATCCTATTTTGTGCAAACATCTTCGCCAGCACCAGCGGGAGGGAGTACAGTTTCTTTATGAGTGCGTGATGGGATTGCGTTCGTTTAATGGTGAAGGCGCGATTCTGGCGGATGACATGGGACTGGGGAAAACGCTTCAGACGATTGCGCTGTTGTGGACGTTGCTGAAGCAGAATCCAATCTATGAGAGTCAGCCTGTGGTAAAGAAGGCTCTTATTGTTTGCCCGGTAACACTGATCAGCAATTGGAGAAAGGAGTTTCGGAAGTGGCTAGGGAATGAGAGGATTGGAGTCTTTGTCCTCGACGACAATCGGAAGCGATTGACAGATTTCACGAAGGGTAAGGCTTATAGTGTCATGATCGTGGGATATGAGAAGTTGAGGACTGTCCAGGAGGCACTTACGAGAGGCGCTGGTGTCGACATTATTATCGCAGATGAAGGTCATCGGTTGAAGACGCTGCAGAACAAGAGTGGTCAGGCGATTCAGTCGTTGAATGCTGCGAAGAGGGTTATTCTCTCTGGAACTCCTATTCAGAATGATCTGAGAGAGTTCTTTGCGGCAGTGGACTTGGTTAACCCCGGTGTTTTGGGGACTTTCAAAGCTTTTGTTAAGGAATTCGAAACGCCAATCGTGAGAAGCAGACAACCGGAAGCAACGCGGAAAGACATTGAAAAGGGCGAGGCTCGTGGTGAAGAGCTAAGGGAGCTCACGTCGAAGTTCATGCTGCGTAGGACAGCAGATATCTTGGCCAAATACCTCCCACCGAAGACGGAATACGTCCTCTTCTGCAACCCTACGCACGCCCAGGCCAATTTCTACAAACACGTCCTCGCCTCCCCTATATTCCAAAGCGTCCTTGGAAACTCCGAAAGTGCGCTACAACTCATCACCATCCTCAAGAAAGTCTGCAACAGCCCATCCCTACTCTCAGCGCCGAATGGCAAAGATACACCTAGCGAAACAATCACATCCCTCCTCTCCTCCATACCCCTCAAACTCGCCCGCCTCAACAATTCCCCCGGCATGAGCGCCAAAATCCGCGTCCTCGACCAACTCCTCCACAACCTCCGCACCAAGACCTCCGAAAAAATTGTCCTCGTCTCAAATTACACCTCCACCCTCGACCTCCTCGCCAAACTCCTCTCCTCCCTCTCCCTCCCCTTCCTCCGCCTCGACGGCTCCACTCCCGCCACAAAACGCCAGTCCCTAGTCGAAGATTTCAACCGCCTCCCCGCCTCGGTCTGCTTCGCCTTCCTCCTCTCCGCAAAGGCAGGAGGAACAGGCTTGAACCTCATCGGCGCAAGCCGTCTCGTTCTCTTCGACGTCGACTGGAACCCAGCGACTGATGTGCAGGCAATGGCGCGGATTCATCGCGATGGACAGAAGAGACACTGTCGGATCTATCGTGTTTTACTGAAAGGTAGTCTCGAGGAGAAGATTTGGCAGAGACAGGTTACGAAGATTGGATTGGCGGATAGTGTTATGGAGCGGAAGGATGGGGTTGCGCAGTTTTCGAGGGATGAACTGAAGGATTTGTTTCGATTGGATGAGAGCAGTCTTTGTCAGACACATGAGCTGGTAGGGTGTGAGTGTGGAGGGTGGGGTGTCCTTCCTCCGAACAAGGATGAGCCGGAGGACTCCTCCGCAAGAGAATCATCGGAGCAAAACAAAGAAGATAACGACGACGAAGATGAAATCCCTGACCTCCCCGACTTCCCAACCCTCCTTAAAGCCTCCGAAGTCGACATGGAAGAACAAGAGCGCCTCATTCGCCAACGCCAACGCGTTCGGCCATCCAGATCCAAACGCAAACACGACCCTGACTCTGATGACAACGAAGACGAAGAAGAAAACGAACCAATCAACCAAAAGAACAAAATGCAGAAATCGCTCGCTGCGTACGCGCACATCGATCCCCTCTTGATGTCGCAGTCTAAATTCGCAGAGGATGATATCATGAAGGTGATTGACGATGACGATGTTTTGTTTCCGTTAGTTCAGGAAGAGGATAACCGAGTTGGGTTTATCTTTAAGAAGAGCGGTGCTCTTCCTAGCAGTGATACGATTGGCGATGAAGCCGTAGATGAAGCTACTAAGAAAGAAGCTGGAGAGAATTCAGTCTCTATTCCCATTATACTAGATTAGTTTGTTTATCACTTTATCACCTGTGTTATAAGTTAGCATAGATGGTGGTACTTGATATGATGATACCCCTGACTGGCATTATGTCTCCTTGTTTGTATGTCAAAGAACATGGGTTTATATAGAATGAATACAATGCAATATACCAAAGTTATATATGTAATATCTCGACTTTATACAAGTATCAACACCACATGGATGGAAACCAAGGATAAAAAAAAAAAAAAAAAAACAAATGGGGTATGATCAAGGCGCACATCTATGTGCAAAAAACGAGACATAATAACCACATAAAACACCGTAAACCATCAAATCGCATAAATCAATCACTCATAAATCAATCCACAATACTCCATCAAACAAATCAAATCAAATCAATACTTCAGCTTCCCCACCAACCCAAACGTATACGCCGCCTCCGCCTCGCTCTTCATCTGAATCATATAGATCTTATACGAACCTCCCGTAACACCACCCTTCTCCGGCATCGCACCACCAGCATGTGCATCCTCCCACACAGACACAGCAATACCCGTTCTTGCCACGCGCTCGAATGAGCTCTCGCCCAGACACACGTCAAGCAGAACCTCGTTGCGCGTCTTACCGCGAGCCACAATGCGTTTCTGGGGTTCTTGTAGGCCGCTGCGGCGAGCATCTGGGTTGTTGGTGTTGGTGGCATCGCTGCCCGCGGTGTTGGGGCGGGGTGCCGATGATGATGCAGGAGCGGGCATGATGGTTAATCTGGCGGCACCCATGTCACGCCACTTAGTTTGCGTCTCGCGGACGTACATGCGGATCTTGGCGTTTGATAGACCGATACCATCGACACCCTTGATAGCTGCTGCGATGCGGCCGATTCCTGATGTAGAACCCCCGGCTGTGCTGGAACCGTCTTCTTGCCCGTTGCGCGAGGTGACCGTTGACCGCGTGATGTTGAACATCTTGCTTCCGTTGCCGAAGCGCTTCAGGGCGGAGAATGCACTGCTCATGGTTCCCACGCTGCTTTCGGAGTTATCGGCCAGGGAGCGTGGGGAGGACGCTGAGGCGCGGTAGCTCTTGCGGCGGCGGGGCCAGCCGAACATGCCCCCGGCGGTGTTGTTGGAACGTTCTAGGGGGTCTGGCTGATCGGCAAAGGGGCCTCGGGCGTTTTGTAAGGCGATATAGGTTGGGTTGTTGATACGGGAGTTATTGATCAGGCCATATAAGACTTCGCATTCGTCGGCGTTGTGGGAGCGGAACATGATATTGTTGCTCCAGGTGACCTTTGATCGATCGGTTGGCGGCGAGCGAATGCTAATGTCGATGGCCGTGCCACGGCGGATGGGCACCAGTGGTGTCAATTCGAGAGCAATCATGGGCCGTACTTTACTGGATTGCGCGCCATCCTCATGACCAGACTCCGAAGGAGCAACACTCATCTCGTAGGCTTCAATTAGGCCAGGGCTGACGATGATAACACACTCGTCAGACAGCAAGCTCTCCCAGGTACCCTTGTCAGACCAGGCAAAGATCGATGCCATCACTCTAGAAGACTTTGTGGGCTGCGCGGGCACAGTTCGATACCCGACTTGAGACGCAGAATGAGATGGGGAGATGCTACTGCCAGAGGGAACGATGGATGCCCGTTCAGAAGGCCTGAGAGGATCACGAGGTTCGGTTGGCGGAAGAGTCGAGTCCAGCTCGTCTTCAGACTCAGATTCGTCCTCCGAGTCTTCAGATCCAGAGTACTCGGATGTTGAATCAATATCATACCGTCTGACGGTCGACGTTTCGGAGTTGGAATCAGAGTGAGAATCAGAGGCCGTGGATGGTTCGTACTCATGCTTAAGCGGCGATGAACCCCGTCGTCTCTGCTTTCCGCCAGTTGGGCTGAGAACAGGTGCATTCGCAACGCTCGAGCTTGGTGAACGGTGAGGCGGCGGCGGAGGAGGTTCGTCGCCGTCATCGGGTTGACTGGAACCGGAGTCTGATGGGCTGTGGCTCTCCCTCCTAGCTAGAGACTCGGGTAAATCATCATAACCCAAGGAAATTTCATCCTCCTCATCTGACGGAGAACCCAATGATTCAGTCACATGGGTGTAACTGCTTGCTGGACGAATCTTGGGGATGGAAGGCAGGCTCTTTGAAGGTGTAGATGAGACACGCGGGGATGGCTGAGCTGAGTGTTCAGCCTGGGGCGATAAGCGCTGCTGCTCCTTGTAGGACTTGGGACCTTGAACAGGACTAGGAGATGGAACAGGAAGCCTGCTCTCACTCTTCTTGGGCGTGGAAGGAGATGGTTTGTCTTCGGGACCTGGCGAGGGACTCTCACCAACACGCGAAACCCGTTTGGCTTTCGATCGCTTGAGCCCTGGAGACTTGTCGTCCACGGGAGTCATGGCCCGGGGATCTCTGGAATGAAGAATTGAAGGCTGAGGCGATGCTGTAGTAGGTCTAGCAGTTTCTGATACATAGTCTGATTGCCGTGTAATATCTGTGTTCAGTGAATCTCGTGATTCCAGCGCGAATGACGATCCAAAAACACTTGGTTCTGTGGACGGGTCCTTGGGAGTCAGGGAGCGTCTGGCAGCACGTGAGGTTGCCTTTTCACCAATAGGAACATCAAGGTGTCTCGGGCTTGGAGGCGTTTCTTGGATTGTTGGAAGACTGGGAGGAGCATCTTGTTCTTCTTCCTGCTGTTGTTGCTGCAATTGCTTCTGCCGCTGCCTCGCGCGATCAATGAAACTCTGGCTTCTGCAAATAGTTGGCGGGATAGGATGCAACCCAAGCAACTGAATCCATTCGAATGCGACCTCTTCCTCTTCGATCTGGAGCGAGATGACTTCTTGCCAGGCCTTCGCCTGGCCTGGCGGACTGCGGATCATGACTACAACCTCGCCCTTGTTGTCACCATTGCGAGCTGAGACACATCCAGCATCGATAGGCGGGAAAAGCAACCAACGATCTGAGTGGTCAATCTCACAGATAAGTAGGTCACCACCAGAACCGTTAACTGGAGCATTGTCTCTCATCAGAAGTTCCGCGCGGCAGTCAATGACCTGACCACTGGAGTGGTAAAGGGACAAGTTGAAAAAGTCGCGTGCCCGCACACGTCGTGTCTGGTCAACAGTGACCCCAGCCAGGGCTCCGAGGGTGGCTGGGTCACGGGCACGGGTTGGATCGATGCACGAAGCAGATTCATCTTCTAACCTGGCACGTTCTTCCCGGGCACGACGGCGAGCCTCTGTGACAAGGGCTTGATAAGACGACGCAGTTTCATCTGCTTTGGAGGACGGTTGAAGCATGTTGATGCCTTTAAAGGTTTTTGCCAAATACTTTAACCGAACCAGAGGCCGTTTCAGCAAGTATGCCACGTCAACCTTCTCCCCCTCACTATCCACAATGTCGCCGTTTTCGTCCCGTGCCATTCCTTCATCTAAGCTCCTTGTTTCAGAGTTATTGTTATTTCCATCTTCTTTTTCATCATTGTTTCTCGCAGCCTCAGATTCGTTCAAAGGCGCCAAGTTCACAACAACATCCTTAAACCCCAATCTCCATGCTTTGAGATAGTCTCGATACACTTTTTGCGCTCCAGTAGCCCAATGTAACAGGGGGTCAACCTGGTCTTGGGGAATACGCTTGTGTAGTGACTTGAGACGCTCAATGGCCACCCCCATATCGACTATGGGCCTAGTAAAGTTCATCTCATCCTTAGGGTCCATGGAAGGCCGAAACAGACCAGCTGCAACAGCCGATTCTGATCTCGACAGAACGCATGTAAGAAGCACCGGGATGACGCCACCGACCAGCGTCTTGAGCTCACGCATGTATTTGACCTCATCTGCCGACAACTCCCTAAGCAAGTCGGTAACAGTGGCGTCTGGAGCGCGGCTCTTGTTTGACCGAAGACTTCTGGCAGATCTGAGACTTCGGCTCCTCCCGTTCGACCCGGACAGAACAGAGATGAGATCATCATGAGTTGTGAGCCGTCGCTTTAATTGTGTGGTAACGAGGGGCAAGGAATTGGGATCAAACTGATCGCGTTCTTCTGGATCTGGAATCTCCTGGGCCGGAGTTGGCTCGGCCTTCTCCGACGGACCTTGTTCAGTTAGTTCTTCTGGTTTCTGGGAATCCCCTGCCTTGTCCGACTCAGCGGAGGCAATGGTAGGGAGTCGATTTCCAGTGGTGGGAAAGGGTCGTTCACGTCCAAACGGAACGAGCGCTTTGTCATCAGGTGTCTCTACTTCCTCCGGGGGTGGAGATCCCGTCTCATTGTCCTCTGGATCGAGTTCTACACTCTTCTCGTGCACTTTCTCAGACGCTTCACTTTCCTTGTCATTGGCTGGGGATTTGCCCTGCTTGCTTTCTGACGACTTTCTCCTAGTCGATGGCGGAGGCGTATGGTCTCGTTCCCGCAAATTCGACAGTTCTCCAGTTGATTTCTCCTCGTCGGCTTCAATCTTATCTCGTGACCGTCGAGCGTGTGTACTCCTCCGAGACCGACTTTCAGATGGTGGTTCGGAATCATGGCTCCCTTCTCGTCTACGAGAATCAGGAGCATGCTGCCTATCCAAGCTGTCACGAGAGGAGTGCTTAACCTTGTTGGGCCTCATGTTCAGTGGCGCTGGTATTTCGACATCCGATTCACCGTCCTGTGTGTATGTATCCGGGGTGCCAGAGAGCCACGCCTCAATTCTTGTTCCTTTAGGCTTTGGCGGCTCCGGTCTCGCAAACATTTTCTTCGACTCATCTAGCATATGGCTGAAAATACCGCCCTTGGGTGGTTTAAGGGAAGTAGCAGGAGGGACACGCGGTTTCGCAGCGCTCGGATCTGGCCCTCGCGTGCGCTTTTTCGACAATTCGGCGAAGTTTTCTTCGATGGTTGCCCAGTCCATATCCGCCTCGGGGGGTAACGACTTTGTCCTTGATCGCTCTGATATCTCGGACCGTTCATCTGGTAAAGACCTTGCTTCCGTTTCCGGTCGGGAATATGAAGGTCTTGGTCGCCCAAGACGGTGGGTTTCATTACCGGTCCTTGCAGAAAGATCGTGGGTTGACTTGGACTTCCTGTGTTGTCTGACAGACTCCGGGGTCACAACGGTCCTGCTCCTTTCTCGACTCCGCGAGGCCGGAGATGGCTTGGACTTATCATTACTAACTGTATCCCTTCTATCCCGTGTGGGTGGTGGAGAGCCTAATGAATCGTTTGTGGTATATTCCGAGATACGCTTGGGCGGTGGTAACTTGGTCTGTGATGCCTTGGGCTTGGGAGCATTCCGGTTGAGCTTCCAATGTTCGTCACTGATGACTCGTTTCCGGGGAGTGCTTTCGCTCCGAATTTTCGAGGTACGTGTCTGTTTATCTCTCGCAGTCGATCTTTCTTGTGAACTATTGGCGTTTGACTTGTTCTCCAACTTCTCTTCGTCCTCCTCGTAATAAACGCAGTCGTTGGCGATGACTACCCCACCTCCTTGTTGTTGCCATTTGCGGACCTTCGAACGGACAGAATTTGTATCGTAAGCTCCCAACTGTTTCCCGATATCCACTGTTTTTTGCTTTGGTGCTGGAGGCCCTTTGTTTGGTGTTGTCGCAGGATTTCCCCCGCGATTGGAGGCGCGGTGCGGAGCGGGCGACGACATCGATATCTGCAAACACAATAGGGAACAATAGGTTAGCAGATGCTAGATAGCAAGTATCCGACGCATTTGTAGCAGAGCTGGGGATAAATGGGATTGTTGAATGGCGTTGGCTGAGACAAGGGACCAGCCAACGACGTCACCGGATGTTTGTTTATGAAACCCGATCAGAATGAGAGGTACTCACGATCTATCGGACATGCCCTGGGGCAGCAACGAAAGAGATACTGGTTCAACTGTAATGCCGCTCAGACCAGCAATCCATGCAGAAGATAATAAGTACTTGGTCGGAGTTGTATGGTAAAGGAAGTGTTCAAGAGGCGGTCAAATGGCAGGTCGGCGGTGCTGCCGGGGAAACGAAGCGCTGATGAGAGGGAGAAAGCGCTGGATCTGCGCCCAACGGCGATGGAGAATGCAGAGTCCAATGGCGCCAAAATAGTTTATTTTGGAGGCGATTTTGTTGTTTCACTCCGCCGCTTTGTTCTCATGCAGGAAAATGGTAGTTCTAGCTGCGACCTCCACGTGAGACTGTCACCCGGTCATTATCCCTCCATGAACTGCTATTCCGGTACTCAAAAAAACGACAATGACCTGGGAATGTGATCCGTTGTGCTACCGGAGACCGAGTTTTATTGTATTCTCTCTTTTTTCTTTTGCCTACGGGACCAGAGTGGGCCGATTTCGACCTGATCGCAGCCTGAATTGTCGTGTCCATAAATAACTCTTCTCAAGTCTCTAATGCACCGCAGAATGCTCCGTACTTTGGAGTACTGCAGATTATCATAGGCCCTCCGCTGCCGGCTGTATGTATGGGGCATTCTCTGGTATGTACGCAGGGATCTTTGGTCCCTGCTCGCAACGTTCTAGATTCGCATACCCGATTCTCCAACCACAGACCTCTATCGGGACTTGCGCTGATTCGCCGTCTCCTGCACGCGTTTCAAGGCGTTCGATATCGTACCGACACTTTGCCACAGGTAATCTATGTCGTGTGTTAGTATGCATTGAGGAAGCAGAGCAAGCGCCACTTACAAAAGGGAATCACGATCCAGATGAAGTTCATAAAAAAGTAATAAATCCAAAAGTAATAACCCTCTGGCCGACAGTACGACACTCCGTGGGCGTAGTGATCAAACAAGCTCGTCGCATAATACAGCGTATCTCCATACAAGTGACTCATGCAGACGATTATTTGCAATGGATGCCGAAGGGAGTGCTGGGCGAAGATCAAGTATGCCACCAAGTAGCAGAGTGGACCCCAGACGAACTGAGAGACATTTAGCAGTTCGTTCACATGCCCGACAGGTGAAGGTCAACTTACCACGGTGATGGTCTCCATACATAACACCAGCGTGTCCGAAGTTAAGTACCGTGAATCCGATAGAGCATATTCCTTCCACAATTGGCCAATAAAGTCCTGTCCGGATCCCATCCGATCATGATTTAAGATAAAATACCCTTCGAAGAAACAATGAAGACTTCCAGCTACATCCTATTAGCCACGCGTAGATGTATCGAAGGAGCCAGACATACATAAGACAAACCATAGAATAGCAAATCTGTCGCTATGGCGCAAACTGGATTTTGCAAGGCTGACCAAGGTCCAGGTTGTTCCCAGGAGGACGAGAGAGCTCACGCTGGCCACGGTAAGAAGCGTGATGACTGATGCTTCATTGGGAGAATACCCGGCAATCAATGCATCTAACGGATAGTAAGGATGAAGAGGAATTGCAGTAGCCATGGCGATTGTCTTTGGAGCAAGAAAGGAAGTGGTTGGGATGGAAATGCGTGAGTGACGAGGAAGAGTTCGGTCAGTCCGCCGGTGCCTTATATGCGAGGCAAGCAGGTACGTCTCTCCACAACAGGTCACTCTCAATGGCGATATTGAGTAGGGAGTACCAATGCCATTTGTTCTGAGAATGTCTTCAATAATTCTGGCATTGTCTCATTCATAGTAGGCTGTATCCATGGATATAGTGCACTAACCCAATGCGGCTAGTCAAAGCCTCAGGCACCAATTCCTCCCGATGGTCTCATCTAACGTCCATGCTCTTCTCTCCATGCCACCTTCAACCCCCTCCATGGAGTCTGGAAACTCCTTATACAACCTGTGTCTCGATAATGGCTCCTAATAAGCGGAAGTCCTTGGGGATTGAAGTGCCTCGTACGGCAGCTACCCTCGAATCGCCGCCCGGCATTGCGGCGCTCTTCGCGATCCGCTTCGATATCAAAACTGGGTGAATTCCTGCTCGAACTCCATACCGGAATTGAACTCCCTGTAGCTGACGGATTGAAATTCAAAGATATGTGATCGCCTGGAAGCGCTCCATTTCAGATGGTGTGTGATATCGTCGAACATCCTGATCGCAAACCGAAGCACATTAGCTGACGTCGTCATTGTCGGATAGTTGAGGTTGAAGGTGTCGTCGAGTATAAATCGCTCCCCTCGGGATTGCATAATGTCACAGAAGATCTGGTGTATGTTTACCTTGTCGCCTCTTTGCGCTGGTCGTGTTGTGTCTAACAAATGTCCATGTCTAGGTACTTCGTCCACGAAGAATACGCCGGTCTCAGCGCATTCATCAACCTACCCGCGGAGGAAGCCGAACGCAATGCGAAGATGTTCGCTGTTGGTGTCTTGGTCCCATTGAGCTTTGGAAGATTGGGAAAGAGTTGGAGACATGCCCCGAAACTCAAGGAATTGGTGCAGTAAGTGGTTTAGAACCGGGCTGCGTCATGCTGTTCACTGTCCTAACTGCAGTCACCATCAGACAATACGCACAAGATACGTCCAACAACAAGCCGTTAGACGAATACTGGGATACCTATCAAGTTCGAGGTTCCGATGCATTACCATCCGAACCGCCGCTCGACTCTCCGATCAGTGTCCGGTCCAATTGGCCTGGTTCCTCGCATCGCAATCGCGCTTTCAGCGACGCCATGGTGTTGGAACCATCATCGAGGCCGGCCTTGACACCATTCCACCCAGCGTCCTCCCTTCCGCATTTCGTTGACTCTTTCGGACCTTTGATATTCCCGCTATACAGAGCTGCACTTCTGCGCAAGAGAATCCTGCTCATGACTGAAGCGCCGGTCCATGTGCCCTGTAACTATGGTATGATGCTTGCGCTACTACAAGAAAAGCTTATAACTAACTGTATGATACAGTATACGATCTTTCCCTACTAGCCTCCTTACCCGATTCCGTCCTCCCTCTCCTTCCTCAGGATAATTTACCGACCCCGCGGCTCCGTCCACTTTTCAACATCGGCATCCATGACATCCCATACCTTTCTTCGTTCATCGGGCGCAGTCCCCGCGACAGCGAACAGGATTCGACCTGGATTGCATGCTCAACAGACAGCGTCTTAACCATGAAACCAGAACTCTTTGACGTCCTGGCTACAGTACCGGCTCCCTATACCAAGGACGCAGCGGAGAAGATATACCCCAAACTTACGGTGCAGGCACCTTCAAGACTGGGAACAGCCCCAGTTCAAACCGAGCTAAGAGCCACGCAACGAGATGCTCGCCGTTATACCAGGCTCCGTCAGGGACTGCGCCATCTCTCCCGCGACGAAAACTCACAATTAGTAGACCCCAGTGACAATGACGGCGCCAGTCTTAACGACGCAACCGACGATAACTCTGACACAGTCTCAACATTCTCATCAAGTCCAGTCGTCGAGCCCCTTTCCTGGGCCCAACTCGCTTACACCTCTTTCATTTGGTGGGCGTCAGCGGGTGAAAAGCGCGAAGGCCTCTCAGAAGAAGAGGAGGAGCAGCAAATTGAGCAAGATACGCGTCTTTTGGCTAGTGCGGAGAGCCTTTCGCACCCCAATCAGCAACCGAGGGACACAGAGCAACAGCCTCCGGAAGTCGCCCTGGTGGCGTACTTCCGCCGCCTGACAGCGCAGATCTTCATCATTCTCACGGATGTTGTCGCGCGGCATGACAGTGATGGGCGGGAGTCAGTAAATAATAACGCTCAACCTTACAGTGACGACGCCAACGACGAAGACGACGAAAACCCATCCATCACCATGGCCCGCCAATCCACGCAAGAAGGTGACGATGATCGATCCGCTCTGTTCCACAATGATACAGATGACAAAAGCATCTACGACTCCGATACTGTTCTCATAACCACAGAAGATATGACGGAGATGGGCCTTGATGTCTGGAGTGCCACAGATCGTGTCTTTGCAGAGGAATTAGTGCGTTTGTGGTGGGGTCGTCAAGCACGGATTGATAGCGCTCGCATTAGATGCTGCGGGATCACGATTCTATAGATGTGGTTGTGATCAGGGTTATGTCTGCTATCTTTATTGTATGGGCCTGTGTATGTACCTTATATCTGCTGCTATATTCACATCGGTGTCAATATCATGTTTGACCCAGGCGATTCACTGTAATAGCAAATATTCCACACTATGCTTATTGAATTAGGCGGAATAAAACCATCTTTCCAACCCATCCTCTTCCCAACTATCGCCTGTTTTCAATATTGATTCTGCGACTTCCAACACACCTATCAAAGCTCAGACGGTGAAAAGCAACCTCGTACTGAAAGCTTTCTTGTACATTTCTCTATACGATGAACTGCATCAGACATGTCATGAAAAGGGCACTTCAGTCTGACGATCCTGGACTACTACTACCAGGATCTCGAAGCCTAGGCCCAGGGAGATGTTGGACAAGTTTGTCGAGGTTATGCCATGAATGGCCTAGTTCCTCTATCAGCACTGGCAGCTGAGTGGCGTATGCAACTTGATTATCAACGAAACATGCTTTCCGGGACGAACTTTGGGACCAGATATAGAGAACAATTGAGACTTTATGGTCGAAACAGCGACAAAATTAAATGGTGATTATAGAATTAGTATCTGCAGTTCTTTCGGGGTAGCTTTCGTCAACCGAGGAGCTGGATACATACCAGGAAGGGCTAACAAATACGTCGCATTGGAGCGCACGAAAAGACGGAGCATGTCGCTCTGGACCGTGACAGCAGTTTTTCATTGACTGTCTTTGAAAAAGGCATTTCTACAGATGTTGTAATGGGCCATACGGTGCAGTGTTCGGGGAGAAGATCCTGAAGCATGTGGCCCGCTGGTTCTTACAGTTTCAACTTCTAGTTACTCTCATTGCTGTGGTAGCTCCTGTTTGCCCCTCAATTCAGACAATTCTGCTATTTGAAATTGACTGGTTGGGTTGTTAAATGATTGACCATGCCAATCACAAGCCGTACACAATTGAGGACGGTGTACTTCGGCCTATCAATATGTCGAATTGGAATTTCTTTGTGTCCATTCACACATATTACCTAGAAGGAAAAGTCGATATCTAGAGTTTTCTTTTTGGGTTACCGGCTAAAAGTCGGGTACACCTGTATACATGTTACAGAATGTGTTGGCGACTTCATCCTATGTATAGCATCGATATAGCAGCCATGCTCGAGTTCATTACAAAATGAAGCATTCATTGCATATATACAGCAAAGGACTTTATATTCTGATGTGCTCAATATGCAGCACTAGAATCATAAATCCCTGTGGATATAAACAAGCTTATTTCATACCATGGCTCCGTAGAAACCTCACAATTTTATCAAACCCCTCTGGCTCTTTGATCCAGTGCCCTTCATTCTCCGCTCCAGTATACTCATGCCATTCAACGGGCATACCCATCTTCTGCAAGATTCTACTTGATTGTCGACCCAGTTCGACGGAGATAAAGGCATCATCTGTCCCATGGAGGAGACACACGGGAAGGCTCGTTGGTGTTATGCTCTCTTGATCTTCGATGCCAGGAACGGTTCCACCCAGCACTGAAGATATCAACCGCTGGAACCCAGCCGCGTCAGCACCAGCAGTAGTAATGAACTCCTCGGTCTGTCTAGCAAACGGAAACCATCCACTGAATACCAGTACCCCTCCTAACGCCTTATTATTTCCTGTTGCAGAAGCGAGATAGTGAACAACCACCCACATCACAACCGCCATCCCCATACTCATTCCTCCCAGAAACACATTCCCAGCATCACCAACCAACTCAATATCCTTCTCCAATATCTCTAAAATATACTTGATCGATTCTTTCAACCCCTCAACCTGCAGCTCTTGTCTCTCCTCAATATTGGTAAGCGAATATGCATCGAACCACTCCGGTATTTCTTCCTCAAACTTGGTATCCCAGTAATTGCGGGACGTTGGGAAGACCCAGCGGACAGTTGGAAGAGTCGTTGGTAGATTTTGATTGTTGGTGGTGTTGGAGAAAAAGAGTTCTTCGGCGAGTTCACGGCCGAAGCTGCCGCGGCCGTGGAGGAGAATTATTGTATGTGTGTGTGTGGTAATTGGAGGATGAACATACGGTTCTGGGAAAGACATTTTCAATACTTTGTGATTTCTTGGTAAGTTGCAAAGTAGATGTTTGGAGGTGAGTTTGATAATTCTTCTTCTGTTATACGATACAAGAAGTTTGCCTAACGCATGGCATGCCTAGTTCTAAATGACAAAAAACAATATATCCACAAACCCACAGACCGTATACATTATGACCGCTTCAAATTCATCGCAGCACTGATACAAGAAATATGACTAAAAGCCTGTGGTGTATTTCCCATCTGCTCGCCTGAATGGTTCACCTCTTCGGAAAACATGCCCAGATGGTTGGCAAACATCAGCAAATTCTCGAAGTAGGAAAATGCATTCCTGCGCATTTCCCCCAAATGAGGGTATTCGTGTAGATGAGCTTTTGCCATGGATGCCTTCGTCTCATTAACTGATGGTCTCTGAACAGAGAAGAGAAACTTACTCGTGCCATGGCTTCGACAAGCCAGAAGGTGACCATGATAAAGGCGCCCTCTTTGCCATCGAGTCCTGTGATTCCTTAGTCCCAATTCTTTCATGCGGGAGAGAAGGTAGTACCATCATGAGCCATCGCATGATCATATCTGAGCAGCATCTTCGCAGTGGTCAATCCCCCAGCCTCGGGTGTCTGCAAGATCCTTTTTATTGTCGACAGCAGTCTAGGATCATCCGGCGCAGTGAAAAATACAAGCGGCGCAATAAGCACTGAAGCATCCATCATCTTCTTATTCTCATAACTCATGCAAAAGAATTTCTCGTCCATATTATAACCATGCTCCATCACGTCTTCATAGATCTCATCGCGCGTGACGCGCCATTCTATGAGCTCGGGGCATGGAAGATTTGAGCGCTTCTCAGCGAGTCGAATTGCACGGTCGAAGGTTACCCAGAGCATGATCTTTGAGTATACAAAGTGTTGTTTCTCACCACGGACTTCCCAGATTGACATGTCGGGTGTTTTATGCAGCTTGCGAACGCGGTTGACTATGCTTCGAATTGTGCGCCACTGGTCGTATGAAATAGGACCGACGTGCTTGTTATAGAGATAAATGCTGTCAAATAGCGCGCCATAGATGTCATGTTGAGTGTGTGTGGTTGCTGCATTGCCTATCCTGACAGGGCTGCTACCTCTATATCCCTCGAGGTGTGATAGTTCTATTTCAGGGATTGTAGAATCGCCTCGTATACTGAGGATAATGGGGAGAAATTGATCATTATTTGCGTGGGCTTCTGCTGATGGGAGGATGTTGTCGAATGTGAAATTCATGTATTGCTCGGCTTCTTCAGTGTATCCGCTCTTCAGAAACACATACAGTGTGAATGCCGTATCGCGAACCCATGAAAAGCGATAATCCCAATTTCGGGAACCTCCTATATCTTCTGGTAGTGAGAAGGTTGGAGCCGCCACAATTGCCCCTGTGGGCTTGTATGTGAGCAGCTTCAATATCAATAAGCTTCTCAAGACTTGTTCCCGGTAATGCCCAGTATACGTGCATTGTCGTGTCCAACTAGCCCAGAAATCAATTGTGCTCCTCTCTATTTTACTGATGCAGGATCCAACGTTGTCTTCTGGAACAGCGACTTCGTCATTATGGATGACGAAAGTCACTGACTGCCCAACGGAGAGTCGCAATTTGGTATATATCCCCTGTCCTTTTAGACCTTCTTTGTTCTGCAATTCGATCTTGAAAGATGGGGTTTCGTTTTGTCGTTCGTCGGCAATATCTGCATGTATGTCCACCCGCAGAGATTCTGTCGCACTCTTGAACAGAAGAGACTGTGTCTGGGCTTCATCAAATGCGCTTCCAGTCAGATGGCCAACAACTTCATGCCCATCACGCGCATAGTTAAAAGCCGGAAAAAACTCAACATCCATATCCAATTCCCCACGCGCACAAGTCACCGTCCTTACAACCGCAGAATGCCGATACCGCAACGCATCATCAAACTTTGCCTTATGCCGTCCATAACACGGACAGACACCAGTGAGGATATTATCCGGCGCCGTCTCTTGCCCGCTTGCAACGGGGAAGTAATCAAGAACGTGCACAACACCGTCTTCATGCATCCATCTCGTTTCCAGCATATTAGTGTAGGGGACGTATTTCTGCTTGCTGGATGCATTGCTTTCCGGGTTCGCTTTTATGGAGAAATACCCGCCTTTGGATTTGTCGAGTAGGCGGCAGAAGACAGAGGGCGAGTCGAAAACGGGCCAGCACATAAAGTCGAGGCTGCCAGATTTGCTGACCAGGGCGGCAGTGTGCATGTCGCCGATCAGGCCATAGTCTTCTATGGGGCAGTATCCCGTTGTGATTGGCATTGCTGATGTTTCTCTATGGGCGTCTGAATCCTGAATACTGGTGAGTGTCTACAACTTCGTCTATTTAAAGTAATAAGACTCGGGAGTCTGCTAATCGCCTAAAATACTGCATCATTGTATTATGAACTGTGTCTTTGAGTTTTGTGGAGAAATCAACATAATTCTTCCATCTGAGCGTCCAATGCAACATCCGATGATATCAAGACTTGATTTCTCGTTGCCACAGCCAAAAACGAGTCGTTTATATAGACAGTGCCAATTGTTAGATTAAGTAAATGTGGAGCATATTAATCAAGTTATATGCACAGATAAGACAATCTGGGTTGTATATGGACGTTAACTATGCTGGAGTGGATCAACCTTTGATGTCAAGAAACTGTCATTCCATGAACATCCCAAACTCAATTGCTATTTTTACTGCAAACAGTAATAACTCTGATAAACCTGTATTTCAAGGTGGCCATTCTTATTCAATTGCACTACGTCGAGGTTATCTAAAGTCATCGCTCGTGTATGACCTATGATGACCATCCCAAGACAAGCCCTAGCCTCAATGGCTAGTATACCCTGTCGCACCTTCCAGCCCTCGATATCCATGGCCACTCGTTCATTTTCATCTTCAGGTCCAGTTTTCAAGCAAGTATTATCCACACCTAACAAAATGAAGATTGCCATCACCGGCGCCCGCGGCACAGTGGGCAGAGACACCGTTCGGCTCTGCGCCGACGCAGGCCACCACACGGTGCAAATCGATCGTACCCCGCGCGACAACTCCGACGACATTCCGAACACCGAGCATCGAACAGCAGATATTGGCAATGATTATGCAGGTACGCTCAAAGCCTTTGAAGGCTGTGACGCGCTGATCCATCTTGCTGCTATTCCCGACCCGGTCGAGAAGGAGGACTCATTAGTGCATAACAACAATGTGAACTGCGCTTTCAACGGCTTCCGCGCCGCTGCTGAGCACGGTATTTATAAAATCTGCTACGCATCCTCCGTCAACGCCATCGGGCTCGCCTACGCAAATCGCCCCTTACGCTTCGATTACTTCCCCATCGACGAAGACGCGCCCCAGCACCCAACAGACCCCTACGCCCTCGCAAAAGAAGAAGCAGAGTACCAAGCACGTTCATTCGTCGAGTGGTTCCCTGGCATGAACATTGCCTGCCTGCGCATCCACGAAGTCGCGCCGTTGAAGGACGTCCAGAAAGAGCATGAAAGGAACTGGGACGAAGCTGCTGTGAAGCAGTTATGGGGCTGGGTACATCCTAATGCGGCAGCAAGGGCTTGTTTGCTTGCTATTGAGAGGTCGGAGAGGTTGGGTGGTTGTCAGATATTCAATATTATTGCGCCGACGACGACGCAGAAGACGGCTTCAGAGGAGTTGGCGAGGAAGTTTTATCCCAAGGCGGAGATTCGGGGGGATTTATCAGGGAATCAGGCGTTTTGGGCTACGGAGAAAGCGAATAGGATTTTGGGGTGGGTTCACGATGAGAAGGAATAGATGTAATGATGTTATTTCTCTGTCCTTAGTGTATAATTCCTTTCAGACGTTGTTTTCAAACGTCACCTTCCTTACTTCCTAGAGAGAACGACAATAATAACATCCACCCCACAACCATACAACGGTCGTTGGTCCTCGTCTGTATAATATCCTTCATCTGGTATTACCGTTGTATTCCCGAAAAGCGCATCGCCATTGACCGGAATCAAAATCAAATTGTTTGTTGGATTGACAACGTTGGCGTTTCTAAGGAAACGAACCATTTTTATCTCGACCACCTTGCACTGTAGAAATAAGTATATATTCTGCTTATGTCCAAGTCAAAAAATGGCTCCACTTACATTATTGCTTTTCTTCTTCTTCTTCTTTTCCAACTCACCTTTCAAATGGTTGAGCTGAGCTTCAATTTTGTAACCGCCATATTGCCAGCCAATCGAGTTTCTGTATATCTCGCATGCTTCCGAGTCTGCTGCGACTATCCGCAACTTATTGATGATCTCTTTAACATCTTCAGTGAGTGAAATATTCTGCATGGTGTTGGTGTTACCGATTTTCAGTATAAGAATAGGGGAATTGATATTGATAGAGCTTATGAGTTGTGGCAGATCTGAAGAAAACAATGTAACGAAGAGGATTCTTCACTGCTTATAAAGACTCCATCTTGGACTATCGGGCATCGGCCGGCATTTGCGTTTTGACTGGCAGGGTTGTTCATCCAGAGTTGTTTTATTTGTGCTTGCGCACACTCTGCACTGCTGCAGAGCCTGTACGCAGTTCACAACCCGACTGAGCGGTAATCAATGCATCCTCCAGGATCCGAACCTGTTCAGCGGCATTGTTTGATGAGACGAAGGTTCATCCCGGACCAGGATTGAATATGCCCGGCATCCAACAGAGTCCGGATCACTGCGTTATGTAGGTTGGAGCTGGCACTGTCTATGGATCGGATTTGCTGGACAAAGATTTGCAAGGCATAAAGCAATATGACCGTGCTTCATAAGGCGACCTAAGAAGTGAACCCCAGGGTTGGTTGTAGGACTGGTCATTTGCCCTGGAGATAAGTTTCATGGATAGGCTCTCGTTCGCCAGTCTGGTGTATGACTGCATTTGCATCTGTAAGCCTGCGGTTGAGTACCATAGGCCAGCAATCTTGCATGAATGGAATTAGAAACAAACATGAATAGAAACGGGTGTGAAAAGAAAGCATGTGAGTTGGTCAGAGAACACCCAAAAAGGAAAGTCAGGTGACATCATCAAGACTTCGACCAACTTCACTTGTTCCCTGCTGGCATACTAACAATACTACACGATACTGACCCGAAATAAACGCCATATATTCCATACCACTACCCAGCATTAGCACCACGTCTTGACCACCCAAATTCCAGATCCCTGGCATTACAGCATCACCGCCTCGGAAAAAGAAACACCTCCGAGCATCCCAGCCAACATTCCCACCAGCCTCGCATTATCTTGGGCCTAATCAACCCTGCGTTGCACTAAACCACTGAGGTCCAATATCTTATCTCTCTATTTTCGCCTAAAGCGCACTCTTCTTACGTCTGACTCTGCACCAGCTGGCTGGTTGCTCTCGCACACGCGCCACCATGCGGTTACAATCAAGCGTCTTCTCGTTCCTCTTCGCCGGCCTTGTCACCGCGACAGGCTTCGACTGCGCGCATATCAACCTGGACGGCATTAAATACGACCTGAGTCCACTTGGTGGAGTGCATTCGTTATACCACATTGAGGAGACGGAGGATTATGTCGTCAACACCACCTACGTGCTGAACATCTGCAATATCCTGAAGGGGGCCGCTATTCGGGGGAACCTCAAGTGTGGGACGTCGAAGAACAGTATGTCACTTTTCCCCTTTTACTAGCGGTTAAACGGGAAATACTGAAAATATAGTCTGTGGATTCGAATACAGAGACGCCGTCGATGGCTCCGATAGCGAAACGAAAGCGTTCCCCATCGCCGGTCTCGACCACCTAGGACATGGCGCCAAAGACCCTGAAATCACACGGTTGAAGCAACTCGATCCCGACCGCGAAGGACTGAGAGTGCGACTGGGCGGAGGCCAGTATCTCGACGACAAAAAGACTAAGAAGGATGCTGGTGCGGTGATCGAATTTCAGTGCGACCCCACCAGGTCCGGTCTGGAGGGCATTTCGACAGAGGAGGATACAGCAGAGGAACAGCTAAGGGCGAAGGAAGATGGAGACGAGTCCGGTGATAAATCGCGCAGTTTGCGGTTTCAGAGCTTCGGGCCTGCAGATAATGAATCCTACGTGCTAAAACTGGACTGGAAGACCCGGTATGCGTGTGACGACTACCTGAGTAGCAAGAAGGGCGGGTCTTCTAACCATTGGGGATTCTTCACCTGGTTTATTGTCATGTACGCTTTTCCCTCCCTCGATGGTATTCGCATCACTAACCAAGGCAGCCTCTTCCTTTGCATCTCCGCGTACCTCATCTTCGGCTCGTGGCTCAACTACAACCGCTACGGTGCTCGGGGGTGGGATCTGCTCCCGCATGGTGACACAATCCGGGACGTGCCGTATATCTTGCAGGATTGGTTTCGACGAGTGGTGAATACTCTTCAAGGGACAGGGTCTAGGGGTGGATATAGCGCTGTGTAGTTTCTTTGTTTGGGGGTGATAGTTGTTAGACGATTGCATGAATTGATGTTGATATTACCTTGACGCCCAATTATGCAGTTCGCGTAGTTTGTAGAAGCAAAGGCTGTAATATCCAAGTAAATATACTCCAATGTTAGTAACTTCAGTATCCCCCATGTAATCCATACCCTCAGAGCTCTAGCAACGCACCTCCGATCAACCGCCCCGCACAGACCACATCCCACGAATCCTCAACATCACAGAACAATCACCAAACAACTCAATCCACCACACCATAGAACAAACACCACCAAAATGATGCAACATCGCATGGTAGCCCTTCTCCCCTATCTAAAACTAAGCCTAAACAAATTACGCTAACAATTAAAAAAGCTCTCAAAAGAAGAAGAAGTCGCCGCCGGCGGCGAAGAAAACGAAGTCCGGCGCGAGGACCAGGAGAAAATCAACCGCTTTAGTCGACTTCATCAGCGGGAGACTGTTTTTGAGGCGCTGCTTAAGGGGAAGCAGGTAAGCCTTCTCCCCCATGGATTATGCGCTTGCATCGTTAGTGCTGGTGCATCGGGTTGTTGTTGTGTCCAATACGGGAGATGGGTATTAATAGTTGAGCAGAAAGACAAAGAAGACCTTGAAGAAGTAACCACCGAACTCGAACTCGCAGATGAAGATGAACTCGTTCCGTACGTCTTCCCCTTCTCCGATCCCTCTTAACTCAGGTCCAGAGTTAACGGACACAGGTACAAAATCGGCGACACATTCTTCCAACTCCCGCTCTCGGAAGCCCAGCAGCTCCTTGCCACCTCGACAGAGGATGTTGAGGGCGAGGTGACGAAGTTGGAGGATTCGTTGGGGGAGCTGAGGGAGGAGTTGCAGGAGTTAAAGGTGGCGCTGTATGCGCGGTTTGGGAGGGGGATTAATTTGGAGGCTTAGCTTCTTTTTTCCTTTTCTAAATGACGGCTAATTGATAGAAATGTGACTGTATTACGTGTATTCTATGTTAGGTGTTGTTTGGTAGCAACTGTAAATGTAAATATCAATTCTATTACTTGGCAGGGTATATGCAGTTCTATAGTACTTGTAAGTCATGGATGGTTAAATGCGTCTGTCTATGCAATTCTCATAAGCCATATCTCATCGCATGGGAGCAATAAATAAAGAAACAAATGCAGGCCAAGTACTCCGTTGTCCGTGAATGCATCAAATAATACTGGCAATCGTCATGCGCGACGAGCTCGACCGTCGAGCTATATCCTCACCCGTCGCAGTATCAGAACCGAGGAATGTCTCTTTCTTGACCTGTTCTTGGGATTGTGTCTCTGTCGCTCGTTCTTGTTGCTGTTGCTGCTCGCTTAGCAGATACTGCACCGTCCGCTCGATCCATTCCCATCCTTCCCAGTCCATGGATTCATTGCCTGTCCCGGGACGGGTAATCGGTGAGCTAGACACGTGCGGAGAAAGGACCTCTAATTTTGAGCCCGTTTCGCTGCCCTGCCAGACCCAGCTGCCGTCGCTGGACCCCTGCATGTCACCCGAGACATAGGCGATTAATTCCTCGTCACGGGACAAGTCGACAGGCGGGCCGGGACGGCGCACGCGATCTAACAAGAACCGGACGAAGAACGCCAGATAGCGACCGCAGGATGCGTTGACTGCTCGCAGGTCCCCGACCAGGGAACTAGCCTGTACGCACACCAGCGCAGCTGCATACTCCTGCCGGAACAGAAGGAATAGCGTACAGCGCCAGATATGCGTGCAGAGTATGGTTGTAGCTGCGGTGGCGAATACGGCACGGCCATCTTCGCCACCGGGAAGTGATTGCTGTAGGCATCGCGAAAGCAGAGTTGCTGTGTCCAGCGCTGCCGACAAGCAGTGGTCCAATGCGCTTGCTCGCGCATCTGCGGGGCTCATGGGGGACATATTATGCCGGTGAAGAATCAATCGTGCGTTTTGTAGGTAGACGATTGGGGCTAGTGAGTGCAGATCGAGGGATTGATCGGATCGTGGGTGGTACGAAGCAGGGAACGTCCCTAAACAAGCGTCGAAATGCCGTTCAAGTGTCTCGAGCGTTGCCGGCCCGATGGTCGGGCAACGTATTGTCCGGGTTAACTGTCCTATCGATCGGACAACATGGATGGCCGCTAGGAAAGGCGTAGTCTGCTGGCTGTCTGGTAAACAACCGTCGGAAATGTATCGTTCATCGACAATCGGACAGGGAAGGTCCACATCGCAGTCTTGATCGTTGATCAAAACCGGCTTTCCCATTTCCAAAGCCAAAAGTCTATCCTACGTTAGAAAACAAATCCGAGAACAAGTGCCTATGCGGCCACTCACCGATCCCATGCATATATCCCCCACCACACACGTTTGCGCATCTCACTCTCGAGCGGAGGCCACGGCCCTGAATCCAAATGCAAGCCTATCTCCTGAGCGACACGCACGGCAGAACCGATCCAAACCCAGCTCGGGGACTTCGAGTTAACTTCATAAAGAAAATAGCTGACCAAGAGAGCTGCCGTAGCCTGATCCATAGCAAAGTCGTCCTGCCACACATCAATGATACTGCACGAGGTGCGTATCAATTCCTTCCCATCTTGCTCACAGCTGCGGTTAAGGGTATGAAGCGATCCACAAGCTAGTACACCGAATAACACGGCCGCCCATTCCCGCGGTGCACCTCGTAGTGATCCTGTTCGATACATCTGCTCATAGTCTGCGGAAAAGGTAGGCCAATGAAGAACCGGAAGAACGGGATGTATGTAGGCGTAGTATTGAGCAAGGTAGCGATCCGCGACGGCTTTCGAAGGCAATGGAGGCTCATCAGCGGTGATAACGGAACGGTGACTTTGTTGGCGATAGGAAGACGGAGCTTTCCAGATCCCACGGCCATAGTTTCGCAGGTTGGTCCGTACGGAGGACAGATCTTGAGTAACAGGCGCTTTCGATCGTCGCAATGGTCGTTGGCTGATATCCGGTAGCTTGAAAAGCGGCTGCTGTCCCAAATTGGTGGAAGTTTCGACGAAATCCAAGTCCATTGAAGGACTATCGGACTTGAGCATACCAGAACGGAGCTGCTGAAGCTGTTGTTTGGTCGAAACCAACTGTTTTTCTAGGTCTTGCACTTGTCTAGGGTTCTGTCAGGATCGCTGACTCTTTTCGGCCGAGAGAAAAAAACAAGGATGGCACGAACTTGATGGACGACATGCGCCTGTTTGTCTCTTTGGTGAATTGACATCGCACCTTGCGATTTGTGCATTCTGTGCAGCTGGAGGATTCAGAGGCATCGCACTGGTCCTATGTTAGCCCTATTCGGAATGCGAAAACGCTGGTGAAAGTACCTTGACTTTTCGTTCACGACAAGCGTCGCAACTGGGGTCCTTCCTTCTTTGGCGATAAGCTCTTTTCTGCTGTAACCCTGATGGTGTCCCTGTTGATGAAGCCGGTGCGGCCTGCGGATGCTGCTGTGGTTGGGCCGGTTGCCCGAGAGTAAAGCCCGAGGTCCCCGAAAGGGACCCAGCCGTGCCAGAGTTGGCGCTAACAGCATGATTATTCTCCGGGAGCACGGCTGTAGGTTCAGCGGGTGAACCAGAGCTGGAACCGTAGGAGCGAGGGTAATGAGGAGCTGTAGATGAAGATGCAGACGAAGAAACAGGGATAGCGAGAGGAGGACTGATAATTGGAGCATTATGAGTATTAGGATTATGCCGGTTATTAGGGGACACGGGCTGTAAGAGATGGGCCATGCTCAATCCGCCGGCGGTGGCTGTTGTGGTAGCCGTACTCGGCGGAGCGGAAAGAAGAGTAGCGGGGGATGGACGATGGTGAAAAGGCGATGATGTGACGGATTGCACTGGCGGCAGGTCGTAAGAAACATGTTGAGTATGAGGATGAGAAGAAGACGAGGAAGATGAAGGAGGAGGGTTATTTTGTATAGGGGAAAAATAAGGATTTTGCATGGTGAGTGGTGAAGAAGTTGGTGGTAATGAATCGGATGGAATGCTGCATATGGGGATGAGATTTGTCGAGGAGATAAAAAAAAAAAAAAGAGACGGGAAGAGAGAGAAAAAGAAAGAGAGAAAGAGAGAAAGAGAGAGAGAGAGAGAGGCGAAGAAGAAATAATATATCAATATGAAAAGTGGCGAGAGAGTAGGTGTGGTGTATCAATAGAAGAAAAAAGACGACGATTATTCCAAGAAAATAATAATGAATGACATCCGATCGACTTCTTCCCAACAACTTCTCCTATAAAACCAAGTATCTTCAATGCTTGGTTCAGTGGGGGAATTGCAGTCTGCAGAGCTGCCAAAACTTCCGTTGGTCCAGAGTGGATAACATCAATCTTTTCTTCTGTTCTGTTTATTCGGTATTTAATTGTATTTCTCTTCTTTCTGTTCACAGATCGACAGTGGCAGTGTCTTTTTGTCGTTAATTCCTGGGAGATTCAACCGGATCTTCCCTTAAAGCAGGCAAAAATAACGTGGCAGATATGCCCGGAATTACTTCCCGAGGCTGTATACTTTGATATACAACATGCCCAAGACGGGCGGCAATGCCAAACTTAGATAGGTGCGTATCATCAGCTCATTAACTCCTTCCGTCTCCAAAGGAGAAAATACGGAGTTTTCTCGCACCCGTTTTTGTCCCGAGCTGCGGCCGTGTACCGGCTTTCGGCATGATTCTCCTTTTCTTATTCTGTTCAGAACAACTGTTTTTTATAAGGAAATTGGTTCTGTGCAGTAAGGAAAAGGGTGTGCCGTGATCTCAGCACATCCGGAATCTGCACGTTCCTTCGTCGTATCATGTAGAGTGGTGGTCCCTCCGATGTACGAGGGATGTCGCTTACTCTCCGGGCTGTCCGTACCAGCAGAGGAACACTTATTGGATTCGGATTGCTCCGACTCCCACCTAATCGTGGATCTTAAACCCAGCAGAAATCCACTCGACCCGGCTGTTCCGATTTGTCTGTCAAGTGGTGGGAGTTGTCCGTTTTCCAGCGTTGCGAACCCACTCTCCGGCATCTTAATGTGAGCACATGCGACATCGTCACCACACAATGCATGACAGCGCGCATTGTTGTCAGACAGAATTGTGAGTTGGCAGTATTATTTGGTTTTCTAAAGAACCCTGTAGCGCTTATCTGCCGGGTTCGTACATTTGGGCCATTCATTCTCCATGCTTCTCGTAGTAATGCCGGCCTCGAATGTCAGCTTACTTCCCATAGCAAACATTTGGGCAGCCCTTCACCATGATAAATGCATTTCTTGGTTCTTCCTTTCCCATCATTAATAAACTTTCCTATGGAATCAGGGCTACTGGCTCAAATACACACTCTATACAAGAATCTTATTCTATCCACCATGGAATCATACCAACTGCCCACACTTGAGCCTGACCCTTCCCGCAAGTTGAATATAAGGGTGGGACCCTGTCAATCCATACGAAAACAAGATGGCCGCAAGTGCAAATGCGAGGCTGGTTACCGTTTGATGTCTCCATATGAGCCTTTTGGTCCAACTCTATGCGATGATGGTAACTGTAGACATCCGTTAGGAATGCACGACCAGGTCGATTCCAAAGACTCAAGCACTAGGAAACCATAGTTGCAGGATCATGTGGTAAGAGACACTACCCAGGCGCAAAAATAATGGTATTGACTGGTTCTAGCCGGAGTATACCCCAAAAACGATTTATATATGAGATCATTCGAGCTGAACAATATATAGTACAGCTGATCTATGCGGGGATACACCAGCTTGCGGAATAATGATTGATAAATTTGTTGCACATCATATCAGCCTGGGATATGTTGGGAGTGGATACAGAAGGGTAGAACAGCTACCTTACTTAAAAAAGAGGGATTGAGGGCGTATTTGGCCATTCACTTGTGTCTCTCTTATAGTTGAAACATAGGAGTCTTACTGGGACACTCCCGTGTGTTATGCTTTTTTCAAAGCAAGAGATCCGTCCATTAGTACTCCACGTTTCACATCATGATCCATCTGGCGGGAACAATTCAAAAGCTCGCGAATAGAAAAACCTCGGAGAACCACTATCATTTGAGCCCAATTGTCTCTTTCGTCTCTCCAATGAAGATATGCGAGACTGCATGACCAAAGTGGTCCAGGCCTCCTGCTCAATGCGAAAGAAGCGGTCGACGCCGTTTAGATCATGCCACGTCAAGTTGGCATGAATTGAGTCTAATTTCACTTGACAATCATGGACGTCACATCACTGGATCGAGCTCAAAGATGTCCGCAAAGGCCTCCTCAATAACCCAGGTAAATTATTTGGTTACTTGAAGGAATGTCCTTCGTGGCAGATACTCCGAGTCTTGACCATTTACAGTTCCCAGATATAGCCACTGTTTTCTATATCGACAGATGGCTTCAAGTATCACAGAAATCCAAGTGCTGGTGATTGACTATGGAAATGGCTGGCTACATGCACAAAAGATAATTTTCAAAGTTCTTTACACACTACCCTGCTGTATAAAACAGTTGTGGGAGTACTCTGCTTATGGAATGCTTCGAGGTACTAAAAGCAGTCGTCTTCATACGAGCTTTATTAAAAGTGGAAGTATCTCATGCCGCGTACCGGGTCAACGGCGCCGGGGTATGGAATCCCCGCCCCTAATCAATTCAATGTCTGGGCAAGTGCTGCACATATGTCCGATAGGTGAGCTCTTTGGTCCTTCAGTGTGATTGGTCTAATTCTCCGGTCTGCACATACAGAAACCCATTCCCCGGGCTAGAAATGTATGCGCCTCATCATCCCAGTGTGTTCTCGTCTTACCAGGAAACAGGACAATATAATCTTTCAATACCCTTGTCTGGACCGACAATGTTATCGCTACATGCTACAAAGGATGACGCTTATGGAAGCTGCTCATTCTTCCGAAGGAATCGCAATTTAACTGCCGATAAGCGGTGACCGGAGATGTGCATCTCTGCCCTAAATAGGCGAGCATCGAACTGGGCATTTCAGACAATTGCAGTTTTTGGAAGACAATTTGACTAGGACTAAAAGCTTTTTAAGAATGTAACAGCTCCTTCTCGGACATAAGAGGCTGGTAAGGTAAATGGCAAATTTCGTTTCCAGGTATCAGGTATACTCAATCGTCAAGGCATGGGCCAAACACGACGAAGTGACTGATGGCTTGAGGGACAAATTTGGATGTGATAAAAGAAGGCAATAAATATAGCAAGCAAGAGATCTGCAAATTTGGGTCTGATCTTCTTTTATGGAAGTTCGGTCTCAAGAGGCAGCTCTCTGAAATCAAACCAGGTCGTTCGTATCTGAACCCAACACCTTCCAACCTGAATCATGACAGGTGAATGTATCAGGATGCCATTAGGATAGTGAGCAACTCCATGCTCTTCGAGTTGTGCTTCTCGAACAGTTGCCCCTCTATAGGCTCATCCCTCATGGAGTATCTGAAAACCAGTCAATGATTGGTCCTTATTTGTTCTGCATGCTGAAAAGCTACTTTCCTTGACTTTATACCTGAGCCGAACAGAGGTTGGGTATAAATATCGTCTGAAAGAAGACGGCGGAGTTAGACTCAGCAAAGCTCAGTTAGACAGGACAGATTTATGCAAGAGGGGGTAACTGAAAACGCATGTTACTTACTTGGACCAGCTTTTCTTTCTTTCTTTCTTTTTTTTTTTTTTTGTTTTTCCCTAGCGGGGGAACACAATATCGACTTTGATTACAGTTCAGAAATATTAGCATTGTCGATGCATCTCCAAATCAGAGCATTGTTTATACTCACCTGAAACCAACTGTGATGATTACGAGTGTTGTCTTCAGATCCATAAAATGGCTTAACGAAAATTTTGGATGTATTCAATCCCAAGCAAGGTACCTTAACTCCATTGAAATATGCAAATTCATCACTTCGATTGTTCCATCACCACGTCCACAATCCTCCCCAATCCCTCCATCTCCTCTTCTACCATCAATCCCAACGCCCCCGGATCCAAGCTACATCCCACATAAACCGGGCGTTCCATGCGTCGTGCCAGGATCTTGGCGATTCGAGTAGTAAACTCGATGCTGGATGAGGTGTAGAGCGTAGTGCTTAGAACGGATTTCGAGTTGATGCGCTAAGCAATCAGACTTTATAACCAGAATATATGGGGCGAAAAAAAAAAAAAAAAAAAAAAAAAAAACTTACGTCTGGCATAGCATAGACGAAACTGCCCATTGGTTTTGCTGACCCCGTGTTATCTCCGGGTGTTGATGTTGTTATGAAGACCATTGCGCAGGTCTCTAGCGCTGTAAGGTGAACATGAGCTGTTGTGTGGAGGGCTTTAGGTAGAGAGAATGAGAGTTCTTTTGGTTGAATTTGAGGGGGAACTGGCTCAACTTGTGTTGCCATTATGGAATATCTTCTTTGCTAAAAGTAGTGGTAAAGAATGTCGCGAACAATGGACGTTGATGTCGGTATTTCTTCCCCGCCGTCCCGCAATCCCTCAACTTTGTCCACGCCAACTCCTCAACACACCTACACAAATTGACAAAGCAAAGCATTACGCTCTATATATACAAAATGATAGAACCGGAGGAAACCTGGGAAGGCAGCTTTGATCCCCTAGCTGACCCCGAGGAGCGCCGGGTGCTTTTTGCGACGCTGGATTCGTTCAGGTGCGTATAGCATCGCACACATACAGGTATTCCTCAATGGCCTTTTGCAAGAGGAGTCTATCTTGTCTTCAATTACTTCAATTATTCTCCCCACTAAAACCATTCAAGACAATATCGCAGAACTGCCCACCAGAATACCACCCACCGCCGTCGACAGGCCTTCTACGCCCTTCCTTCCGCCCATTGGCAGATGCTCGCGGAACCCCCCTTCTCCATACTCGACCACTTCTCACGCGCCGATGACGCCATTGATACGAATGCAGATATTGCAGATGCGATTCTGGGCGTTGGACTGGCTTCGTTTGGTCTTCCCGCATCTCCTTCCGCTGACGAACCTCGGACGAATTGGCACGGTACAGCGAATTCTTCAGACGTGAACAAAGCACATTCTACGATTAGGCAGTTTTATCGGGATTGGAGCACGGAAGGGAAGCGGGAGAGAGATGTGTGCTATGGGCCGGTTCTCAAGGCATTGCGCGAGGAATTTGGGGATAAATCACAGCGGAATGAGAAAGACGAGATTAAGGTGCTGGTCCCTGGAGCAGGCCTGGGTCGACTAGTCTTTGATCTCTGTCAAGAAGGGTACGCTGCAGAAGGCAACGAGATCTCATATCACCAGCTCATTGCCAGCAACTGGATCTTGAACCACACGGCCGGGCCCCAGCAGCACACACTTCACCCGTTCGCCCTGCACTTCTCAAACCTGCAATCGCGCGAGCAACAGCTTCGCCAAGTACAAATCCCTGACGTGCATCCGGGATTGGCCATGATGGAGATCGCAAGCAATCCGGACCCGAACGTCCAATTTGGCACCATGAGTATGTCCGCCGCCGACTTTGTGGTTCTTTATAAGGGCGAGGCAAACCAGGAGTCTTTCGACGCCGTCGCGACGGTGTTCTTCATCGACACAGCTCCCAATTTTATCCGCTATATCGAGGCCATCCATAACTGTCTGAAGCCGAACGGTGTTTGGATTAACGTCGGTCCGTTACTCTGGCACTTCGAAGAGGGAAAGAACCACAATGAACAGCAGCCGGAGGGTATTGCAGAGCCGGGCAATGTGGAACTGACGGAAGAGGAGGTATTCTGTTTGGTGGAGAAGATGGGGTTCAAATTAGAGAAGAGAACAGCGCCGGAGGAGAGGGAGATGTGTGGATATATCCAGGATCCAGAGAGTATGTTGCAGAACTTGTATAGGCCGTCCCACTGGGTTGCGCGGAAAAAGTAGCATTTTATATATGGAGCATACATAGGTATTATATGAATCGCATCGCATTATCCATACGATGTCCTCGGCTGGATTGCATGACTCTCGGGGAATCTTTGCTTGAAAGTTGTGCCGGTGAGGGTTAATCTTAATGGTCCTGTTAGTCCTGGAGCTGTGGCTACGGAGATGTGGGAAGGAGTGGGGGATTGCGGGGAGGGATGTTGTGTTTGCGAGGCTGAAGGAGAAGTTGTCTAAGGGAGATTACGAGGCTGGAGGATGTGGCAGAGGCGTGTGTTTATTGTATGAAGGATCAGGGAGTGACGGAGGCGGTTATATCGAGTAATGGGGTGGGACACTTTGATTTTGTGCTTTGGATATTAGGGGCCGTTATTGGAATTTAATGTTGGGCTACTTGCTTGAATTAGATGAGAACCAAGTAATAGCAATACAGCTAAGCTAATTTAATGTCATGTTGCCTTGCTGATTCTTTCTTTGCACTTTATAGTTCCAGTAAGCTGTGACACCATTCTGGTAAGCTGACAGAAAAACGGAGTAAAGGTACTCGCAGGCAGTACGGTAGTCCAGAACAGCTTTCGGGTCAGTTTAAGTCGGTATAGTCTTCTTTGGAAGAGACAGCGTGTCGAAACTACTTCTGAGAATTCCTAAGGCGAAATGGGGTGTTAGACCGTTCCTTTTTCCGAACTTGAGAAATGGGAAGTTCTCGCCATCGGACAGTGCACTCGTTATGGGTAGATCAAGCCAGTTCTGCGAGTTTACGGACAAGCAGGCTGTATATGTGCATTAATAGACGAGCTCAAGAAAGGTTTAGTGATAGGCATACGAATAGACTCCACAACTGCCTGCACATAACCGTCAAGATACTCATGTCGGTGAAATAGGCACCCTATTCAATGAAGAGCAACGCTATCACTCTAAAGGTTGTTTAACGATATACGATACATCCGGGTTCGGTGACATAACTCTCCAGTATGCTTCCTGGTATATACTGTAGCACACTGCTGAAACAAGGCACGAGCCGATTGAAGAACTATTGAGACATTAGCGATTGATAAGTTAAAACGATAAGGGTCCATACTGATGGGATGAAGCGTTTTCTTCTCTCTCCATTGTGAAACCCGCGGGATCCGTAGTGCAAAGTAGCGGCGCCAATATCCTGAAGTATCGCCCAGAAGAGATCATCAGGTAGCCGCGCTCACTCCATGTCACTAGTCCGGCACGCTGCCTCAGAGAGTGCATCGGCATGTAGGACGAGCTAGTAAATGCATGTGTTTGTCAACTCAGTTGGTTCTCTCTTCAACTTGCTTTACAAGCTGCACGATTATCCTCGTTAACTACATGGCAGTCAACCTATTTTGTCTGAAAATTAGGGCATGTTACTCTAGCGAGAATATTCTCAAATATTTTTTCCAACGCCAAGCCCTCATCTTTGCGGATGGTGTCTGACTTTGACATCCAATTGATATAACTATGATAGTCAACTGGAACAAAATGCATGAGAAGCAGAAAGACTAAGCGACGGCTGGCAACGTTTTCCTAGAATGCCCTGTTTGCATGAAACTAAGGAAATGGGCTAATGTCAAGTGTGTTGGCACAGTTTTGATTCAAGCAGCAAGATGTATGGCTATCATTGGCTTTACCTAGGTGAACCTGTTTGATATGAGATAGGTCGAAGGAATACTCTATAAGGTGAATGATTGTCATCTCAGTGAATTGTCGAGTCTGAATAGTCGTCAAGTTAATTAACGAGCTTCTAATTAGTAAGTCTTTTACCGGATCACGGCTTAAACAAGTGACAATGCTGGTCAAGCAGCATTAATATCCGCCTTGCGTGCGTTTCTTCGAATGCATGATCGACGGCCAGGGAGAATAGGATGAGGTGAGGAGGGATGTAAATTGATACCATTATCTAAGTGGCTTGGCTGAACGAGCATAGAATCGGTCTGTCGGTTCAAGAAAAGACATCAAACCCAATTTCAGGAACTCAGGGTCGTCATCACAGCCAGCCAAAAATACAAAATGGTGGCAGATGGCTTTCTACAAGAAATGTATTACCCCTCTCCTCTCATCCTCTGTTTTTACACGTATCTAATCGAGTATCAGGTTGAAGGAAGCGTTTAGTGAGTATGAAGTCGAAAACTTTGATCTCAGCTTGGACGAATTTGCGATTGCCAAGTATGACATCCTGCAAGATCAATGATTTTTTTTTTTTTTTTTTTTTTTTTTGTTCCCTTCTCTTTTCTACAGGAGTACTGACAGAAACTCCAGTTTTACTGTACCTGACGATACAACATTGTGAGAGCTGCAAGAAGTACAGCTGCCGGATTTCGTTATGCATAGTGAAATCACCTCACTTGAACGACTGAATGGGTATACTAGACACAACCCATGTGGTATACATCTTAGGGCAAGGGATACCTGGGGGGATTCTCTGATGGCTGTTTTATGCTGTAAGGTCAATCGTGTATTTAAAACTGTCTAATGACAAGGCTTGGGGCATAGACATCATCTATATTTGAAGTACAGTAAGTAATCCGCATCGAATCTGAGGCTGTGAATTCAAGTCTGCCTTGTGATACAGTATCGTATGATACGATAATTACATACCGGATCAAAACGAGGCCAACGCCCATCTTTGAGCCGCAAAACGACAAAGAGACCGCGTGGTGCAGTTTTTTTTCCATGTATCGCATCAGGAGTGCTACTTGAAGAATCATTGGGAAAATTGTCCCGGAATTGCCAACCCTGGCAATATTCAGTCTCAACCATGGTTACATTTACGGTTCAGTTCTTTTGAGATCATCCTGACAGTGACAGCGAGCCCCACGGTCCGCGCGGGTGCTGTACCGTAACTTAACCATACAATACCGTATCACAGCAATACCAGCCATGTCCAATCCCTTCTGGACAGGACTCGAATGACAACAACAATAGAGTGACAACAAAAAGACCATAAAAGCAATAATAAAAGAGCCAATGGCGCAGGATTATTAAAGGCAGTTGATCTGAGAAGAATACATAGTATCTCATCTCCCTTCCCCTCGTTGTCTCCAGCCATCATTCCTCGTGGCTAGTGTGTTGTGAATGTTGCGATAGACAGCAGTAGTAAGGCTCTCTCCTCGCATCCTGTCCCTTTTTCATCTTCTGTTCTTTGATTTTCCTTCAATCTCACTGTTTTGTTTATTTCCCCCCTCTAATTCCCTGCGATAGGACCTCTTCTTATCAGGCATCGAATACGTTGAATTGTCGTCGTCTTACTGGACCAAGTGCCTCTCTTCCTCCCCCGCGCCCAATTACCCGGACTCTCTCACCAGGAACGCTTCCACGCCGGGCACTGCCTCTCGCTTTTTTTCTTGTTTTCTGTCCTCTTCGGGCATCATCTTTCTTCTCCTCTTAATTTTCTCTTCATCTTTTTCCTTCTCCTCCCTCCATCCCACCTACATGGACTTCAAGTTCAGCAGGTTCGGCTTCAGACGCAAGAATCCGTCCTCATCATCCTCCAATAATACCACGCCCACCACAAGCGCTGCTCCTCAGATTCCTCCAATCCCCAACCAGTCAACTCAAACCCTCGTCGCCCCTCCTACCAACGGTGCGACCTCACCCGGTTCCGCGCCCTCTCACACCAGTTCGTCCTCGACTAGTCTTCCTATGAACCCGAACCAAAACGCTCTGGGGCGGCCCCCGAGTTATAGCTACAACCGATCCGCCAGCCCCATGCCGCCCCAGCAGATGCCGCACCACCCTCCGCCGCTCAATACCAACATCCAATACACCCAACCCGCAATGCAGCACATGGGCGCTCCACCGGGTTACGGGTTACAACAAACTGTTGCGCCGCCAGTGCCTCCTCCAATGCATCAGCCTCAATACATAAGAAACCCGGCCGTGGAAGTCGAAGGATCGGGTCGTAGCAAGGCACAGCTCATCGTGGGTATTGACTTTGGTACCACGTTTTCCGGTGTGGCCTTTGCCTTTGCGACCAACAATGAAGCGCGAGAGGATATCATAACCGAGTGGCCTGGCGCCGGTACCCACACTAAACAAAAGGTGGATTATATTCTTCAAGATGATAAATTGGCTTACTTTCCAGGCTGACTTTTGCGTGCCTTTTATAGATTCCAACAGTACTATACTACGATCAATACCAAAAAGTGGTAGGATGGGGACCGGATATCGCGGACGCTCTCGCTCCGACTGGCTATCCGAAGCCGGGGGTGCAAAAAGTCGAGTGGTTCAAGCTTCAACTTATGCTCTCGGGCAACACCTACATCGATCCCATTAACCTTCCCCCCTTGCCTCCAGGCAAGTCGGAAATAGACGTGGCGGCCGACTATTTATACAAGCTGCGACAAGCGATGCGGAACCAACTCCAAAAGACGCTGGGAGAGGTATTCACCCGTGAGGAACGCAATATCCGGTATTATCTCACAGTGCCTGCCATCTGGAATGATGCAGGCAAGGCTGCGACCCGTGCCGCAGCCATCCAAGCGGGATTCCTGCGTGACGAGAACGACCCCCGATTGACGTTGATCTCAGAGCCTGAGGCAGCGGCTCTCTTCTGTGCCAAGACGGGTCTACTCAATCTGAAGGTTGGCGATGCCATCCTAATCGTCGACTGTGGTGGCGGTACCGTGGATTTGATCGCGTACGAGGTCGAAGAAGAGCAGCCGTTCAGCGTGGCCGAGTGTACAGCCGGTTCTGGGGACTCCTGCGGTTCAACAGCCCTCAACCGAAACTTCAGTAACATTCTGCGGGCAAAGATCCGGAAGATGAAGTTGCCCGACGGTTCGCGCACGGCCGGGAAGGTGTATGCCAAGTGTATCATGGACTTTGAGAATCGTATCAAGGCAGACTTCCGCAACAATGGCCAAAAGTGGGCTGTGGATGTGGGTATCGAGGCTGATTTTGCTGAGGCTGGCATTGAGGATGGATACATGACCTTTACCAATGAGGAGATTCTTCAATGTTTTGAGCCGGTCGTCAACCGTATCCTCGAACTGGTCCGCAACCAGATAATCGCCATCCAGGCACAGAACAAGTCGCTTCAGGTAAGTTCCTTGTTCCCTCTCCCTTGCTGATCGATCGTGCTAACTTGTGTAGAACGTCCTTGTGGTCGGTGGATTCGGTGCTTCCGAGTATCTATTCCAGCAAATTAAACTCCATGTCCCGCCTCAATACCAATCCAAGGTTGTCAGACCCATGGACTCCGTCGCAGCTATCGTCAAGGGAGCCGTCACCGCAGGAATCACGGAACGAGTCATCACCCACCGTGTTGCACGTCGGCACTACCTCATGGCCACTCTCCAGCCATTCAAGGAAGGATACCACCCCGAACAGTACCGTGTGCCCAGCTTGGACGGTCGGGATCGGTGCAAGTACACCCGACAGATCTTTGTGCAAAAGGGCGAACGTGTCAAGATCGGCGAGCCGGTCAAGGTCAGCTTCTTCCGACAGGTGGCGCCTGGAGCGACCCTCATGTACGAGGACATCTTGTACGCGTGTGACGAGGATGTCTGCCCTGAATATACAAAGGATCCTCGTAAGTCAACCTCTTCTCCCTGTTTACCCGAGTGCATAACTAACATGGAACAGGCATCAAGGAAGTTGTCACCCTCACATCCGACCTCTCGCGCAAGAACCTCGAGACCGACTTCGAGCGCATGGATACCCCCCAAGGCACCTTCTACCGCGTGTACTTTGACATCTATCTCACCCTTGACGGCAGTGAGTTCAGTGCGGAGCTTGTCTGCCAAGGGGAGATTATGGGCCGCTGCAGGGCCAAATTCAAGTAGATGCTTCGCATGATTGTCGAAAAGGAAAAGGGCAAAAAAGTCATGACATTGAACGAAGATGGGAGGATGGAACGAATTTATATACCCCGAATTTTTGTATACATTTTTTCTTTTTTTAGTTGATCTATATCATTGAGCGAATCAAGCAGGGGATGATCTTTCACCAAGATAGTTTCAAGTTCCTATATAATACACCGATTATCATTTTCACTTACATCGGTGATAGACAACCATCAATCATATAATTATTTTCCATAGCTCCTGTCTCATCGTACCGATTCGTCCTCTTATCTGTCAAAGCGCAAGGCAGGCATTCCCATGGAAATTCTCTCGAGTGCAATCATGAATGCTGAGCGCGCGCATTACGGATCGAGAGAAATGGATAAGCACGCTGACAAACAAGAATAAGGAGATGCAAAAAGCGTGGCGTTGATGGGAGTTCAGGATCTGGAAACAAAGTATGAGAGGTCGTTTCTAATCTGGTATTGACAGAGAACTAAATCCATAAGCCCTAATGTTGTTGAATTATTTGGATATCTTCCGCACAAAGGAAGCCTAATAGACAATTTAGATGAGACTGTGAGTCGTGACCAACACATGGTCGAGTTGATTTCGATGTCGGATTTTATGCGAATGTTTTGGTGTTAGGTTAGGCTTGTCCAATGATGAATTCGAATCTCGGGTGTAACTTTTTCGAGTAGTGTGTATTTGTTGCAGCCCTAGAGGAGCTTCGAAGGCGTTGCAATAAATCACTCCGGGAAATGCGGCTCACGTATGCACATGTACTGGCGATTGTATCTGCATAGTCAAATTCACCCATACACTTTCTTGCTTCTCTATACGCTGATGAATCGAGCCAATTCTGAATAGCTATGCGTTGCTATGCCTGCACGTGACTTTGCGAGGTAAGCCTATTGCATGGCCTTTTCTGCGGCTAGGGCTACTGCTAACATTGACACACTACTGCGTTTCGTCATAGAGATTCTCTTCGACTTCTTTATCATGGCCTTTATCAACGGTCTTCGAACTATCGCACACTCTTTTACTCGAATTCTGACCGAGAAAACCACGGGAGCTTCGGTAGTTGCCGAGAATGCGCAATACCTGCTGCGAAAGGCAAATGCTAAAGGCAAACAATGGGATATAGCCGTTGAGCAAGGTGGGCATCCCGTCAGTCATGATACTGAAGGACGTTCGGGATGCGCGAGCGAGAAACAAGAATACCCTTTCTACATTCAAGTAAGGCAGGAAGCTAAGCAGGAGCAGTTAGTGGGCAATATCGTGTGCATGTTTCATAGCGCAATCATAAACAAACCCGGGGCATTTTCCGAGAACCGATCATCCCAAAATGGAAAAATTTGGTCATTTTATGATGAACGATCTTGCCAGGATGATTTTCATGGAGGTCAACCCTCTTCTAACTATGGGTATATCCCAGAAAATTTCATAGGGCAGCTTCTTGCTGAATGTGTTTTTATGTCACTGTCAATTACTACTACAACTTAATGCGCATCCTACCGAAGTTTGTTTATTATGCGACCATGCAATCTAAGGACCGGAAATTAGACACCTATTCTTGCCAACTTGTAAAATGGCACCAATTTCCAATTCTTTGTCCTTGATTCAGCAGACGAGGTCGTCTATTTATCAGGTGGAAGAACGGTCTGATTATTGAATAAGGAATGGCGCGGAGGAAAAGTTACTATATTCAATGAAACGAGGTAAGCATATTATCTCCACTTTACCTTGCTCCAGACTTGAGCTAATTCTGGTGGGCTAAGTACTGGAGTTTCTATTTGATTACTTCGTGATGGGGTATATCAACGGTTTTCGATCTCTATCACACCATTCTACGCTTAGTATCCCCGCAAGTTTATCAGCAAGAGCAGTGAATATCGCTGAGAGTGCGCATTATCTATTAGGGGGGCAAATGAGCATACCACAGAGAGGGAATGGGAGGAGGCAGAGCACACTGCATTGACGGGTGTTGAGCAACTTAAGATGGAATTTATGTACCCACACTTCTTCCGATATGAACAGAAGGTTAATTTTATGCTATTTTAGTTTTCTGGATTATCAGAACATCCTCCGTACAGTAAGGCTTGCTAAATTGTTCGGAGGAAGATAAGTGTCTTGAAGAGATTCTGACTGAGAGGTCTTCGTCGTTGTCGGTTACGTAGCTAACGGGACATTAGATATCCTTGTACTTTGTTCCTGTGTCCGGGAAAGCTATCTACTATCGCTGTTGGCAGTTTCTTGTGTGAGTATAAGCCATCACTTTTTTTGACGGACTAAATGTACTAGGTCCGTTGGGATATCATGTTGCCCCGGTCAGGCAATTTTCTCCTCGTGTCTTGCTTTCTTTTTTGAAAATGTTGGTGTGAAATGATGTACTCTGCACGTACTCGGGATAGGCTCTATCTTTCATGGCCAAGATTGACGGAGCGCAGTAGTACCAATGCTCGTCAATGTACTTACTGTTTCACTAAACATATGGATGTCATCACTTTCCGCATCGGTCGATTAGCTTAAGCCTCAATCTATGCACTCGGCCCAGTTCGGCTGCTCCTTTCTAGCCATGCATCTGTAAGTCCTCGTACTCCGGCGGCGGTGATCGCGGCAACACTATAACTACAGCCTCCCGACGTAGCCTGGTCTAATTCCGGCAAGATTCTAGAAAAAAAAACAACACCTACAAAAAGCAACCCCACACCACACGCTCACTGTTTATCTACCCAACACACCGGTTCAAAGAAGCCCAGAAGCAAAAGCAAAACAGCCAATAACAGACAAAGCCCCCAATGCCGCTTGACACAGAGGACACAACCCGGCTCCCGGGTCAACAACTGATATCTGCCAAGAGGCCCTTTTCGCGAATGTGCAGAACATCCATGTTCTACTCCGGAGTAACTCGGTTCAGTCGGTGCCGGGGATGTGACGGTGGTATGGTGTGGCTTTTAGGGCGTTGGCCTCTTTTGATTAGGTGCATAATAAGGAAATAAGGGCAGGGATGTTTGTTGCCACTGCGGCTGTGAGATCAATGTGTTAGGGTTCGTCCCTTTTATTTTTTATTTATTTATTTATTTATTTATTTTATTTTTTTTTTTTTTTTGCGGCGTAACGAAACGCTTCGCGTCTCGCGGTTGGTAAATGAAAGAGAGAAACGAGTGATGAACCACGAGGTAAATGTAACTTCGCTAAAGGTTCGATTGCCTTTCTGTTCGGGCCGCATAGATCTCCCTCACTAGTATGGTGATCGAGTAGAGTCCCTATGTATAGATGCACTCCGTATCCTTTATGGTAGGAGACAATCGTCGAGTCACTGTAACCCTCATGCCGAGTACCGAGACGCCAGAGTTGGCCGTCAATAGATCTATCATTATTCATTCCTGTTGTTGGTACCCCTGTAAGTGTACTACTGAGTTAGTTCTGTTAGACTTGACCTTCTGTTATCCCTTCCTATGATCCAAGGGAAGCACTCTGGTCGCCCCCTGCGTGTATCACGAGTGTACGCATAGTCCTGGAAACAGGTCGGCGATAATAGATCGCAGAAATCATTCTGAGCTGACAAGGCACCGTGACAGACTCCACGTGACTACGGAAGAAAATCCCCTATTACCCATCGCCAATAATCCTATGAAAAAGGAAAGCCACGACTCCCGACCCAAACATATGGAGAGTCCAACATGACAGCTATAATTCGTTGCGGCATCTCCGTACATTCCCCGTGCAGCGGCGTATTCGTAATGGACTCAGTAATGAGAGCCATTCAGAACAAAGCAATATGAAAGCCTTACAGAGCGACATACAGATGCTCTACATGTAGTATGTAAACCATTAGAGCCCGGAATCCCCGGCACGGCTCCTGGGGCAGTGCAAGCTACGCCTGAAACTAATCGCATCGCGCACTATTGGCTGGAAAGTGCAGTCCTCGTAACTAAACTATGTGGGATGACTTCATGGTCGATCTCGTGCACAGGACTCGACATAGTTGCTGAGCACTGGTAAATCCCACTGCTGATCACGTTAGTTTTAGTTCCTAAATCCACTGGTGCCTGGGAAATCGAAACCGTGAGGCGACCAAGCCGAGGTAGTAGAATTGCTCCGTGCAGAGGAACGGATACCATTGGGGCCCAAACTAGCTTGGTCATTAGTGCAGGCAGTAGTAGCTCCGGATGGGGAGCTGGAGTGGGAAAGCCGGTACGAGAGCATCGCGTAGATTAGATTTGAGGTGCAAAAGTCCAGAGCCACGAGCTAAGCTAGTTCGTGCCGATAAGATGGATACGATGTGATGGTCGTCGTCGGCCAGTCGGGTTTGGCGGGGAGTTCCAGTTCGTACGTGATTGATCTTCTGGACAGAGTGGCCCGTAAAAAGAAAATAAGAATAAAATAAGATGAAAAAAAAATAGAAGTAAAAAGACAATGAGACGTTGGGTCCCAGAAATTACACGGAATAGAGCATTTGTTCTTTTTTTTCTCTTTTTTCCTTCCCAATATAGCAACTTCTGAAGCAAGACAATGCAAGGCAATCCCACTGACACGGGCGATTGAGTCGGGCAACAGATGAGAATGGGATTATTGAGTTATTGGAACCGGAAAAAAAAAGAAAAGAAAAACCAAAATTGCACGAGCACTAGCGAATAAAGCACGCCCCGAAGACGATGACCGAGCCTGCCCCAGCGCCGGTGATTCGCCAGAGGTGCAAAAAGCAGCGGCAAGCGCGGCTTCCAGCCAAAGTCCAAGGTTACTATGTAAGTCCGGCGGCGGTTACTGCGCAAAACCCCAGATCCCTCGTATTACTAATTGGGGTGCCGGTGGAGCCGGATCATGCCGGTCCCTGCCAGCCATGTTGTTTGTATGTGTACGGCGTTGAGTTGAGTTATAGCCATGGTACGGAGTCCGGACTGAGTATCCCATAAGCAATCCCAGTCGTGGGGAAGATACTGAGTGATCCAGCGACCATTGTTTCCGCATTGTACGCGCATAGGTATGTACTCCGTACTCCGTACGGAGTACAGCTTAGGTACATACATGTACAGGTACCGGTACATTTAACTCAGCCCGGGTCCAGCTGGGATAATTGGATAGTCCCAGCCGACGCCGAGAAGAATGAGAGGGCCAGTCGCAGGCCTTGGAATAGCTGTATGATTATTGATGAGCACAGCACGGATTGCGGCAATAGATCAATCAATCAATGAATGGGTCAGACCAACCACGCATCCCACGCACGGGTAATCCGTTCATCTCCCTCACCCGCCCTAAAAGGAAATGGGATGAGAGTAAAAGAAAGACAGAAAAAACAAATAGAAAAAGGTACCTTTTACGATTATCGATATAAACCTATAACAAACAGTTTGCCCGCGTATTAAGGTACGCTCTTAGTTATTGACATGGCGAATGGAGTAAAATCCCACCATTATGGAACCACATCGATAGCACGTACTCGTACTCCATCCGTACTCCTGCCAGGCAAAACCAAAGCAAGGGAAATCAGTCAATCAACGATGGGATCTCGGTGCTGAAAATGGCCTGTTCAGCTCACAAGGTCTCGATGACGCGCACAGACACTCCGCTACTCCTGTGCAAGTCTGTACTTGCGCATAGCAGTCTGTCGATATAGCCTTGCTTGTCGCGGCAAGTCAAGTCCCAATTCCAGTTCAAGTTGTAACATCAGTTCGACAGACGGGATCTCAGTCCTTACCCACCTCGAATTCATTTCCGTGACGGGATCTTTGAGCAGCTCAACAAAGCAAAAGACAGTGGATCAACAACGCAAAAATAATAATAAAAAATAATAAAAAATTTTAAATAAAAGTATTAAAAAAAAGTCGCTGGATCATGTGGATCATACCTCATACATAGTACACCACTACTATAATAGTAATAGTAGCGGTACTTAAGTAGTAACAGTACTATGTACTGTTACTTTTTTCGGCGGCGGCGCATAGCGACTTTTTGCGGGGAAAAGGATGGACGTATCAGAGGCGGCATAATCTAACTTCTTTCGCGCGCCCTTGGACCTTGGATCCGGAATGTAAGAGGTAACGATTCGATGCTTGTCGTAGCTCATCGTCTGATCAGTAGTGCCCCCGTGTTATGGCCGCGTGGGTGATCTTTGCCCTGCTTTTTTGCCCCCTGGGCCTGGATGGGTATAAAAGATATAGAGTTGACTTCCCTGATTCTTTGGAAGACTTTTAGAAGAATTGCATACCTTCTTCAACGATAGAAAGTAATCGGGAATAGTTAGCGCAAAGGACGACTGTCTCGTTTTCCTCTTTTCTCTCTCTTTTTTTTTTTTTTTTTTTTTTGCCCTTCTTGACTCTCTTTAAGCGATGAATAACTTCTCTTTGGCGATACTCTCAATCCTCATCTTCTCTTTAATCCTCAGTTTCCGCAAACACCTGTTCTCGTGGACAACATACAACAAGCAACATGCACCCCCATCTGGCAATGACCTCAAACGCATAGCACCCTACCCGGCACAGCCCATCAAAGGCCGAGAGCGATACCGCGTAATGATGGACGTGCGCAAACTCGACGAACAGAACTGGCTCACCGTCGACAAGAACTACATGGATGAGCACCAAATCCGTGGCCAATTGCTGGATCATGAGAAGAGCAAGGTGCTGCAAGCGTTGCCCGAGTCATACGATGCGTGTCTGGAGACGTTGGAGGAGGTGGTTGAATTTCTGTGCATGCGGTTTCCGAATATGTTTGCGAAGAAGTCGGTTGGCGAGGAGACGACTGTTGTTAACAAGACGACGGGGGAGACGTTTGTGTTTGGGGGGCCGCGGAATGCGCATGTTGATCCGTTGGAGATTGCGGTTCGGCTCACGATGGAGGATTTGAGTGTTTTGTTGAAAAATGAGGACGATGAGTATTATCTGTGAGTTGCACTCGTTTCGACCAAATAAGCGCATTGACTGACTGTAATGCCAGTGCCGCAAGCGCAACCCTCTTCCCCGTGGGCTGGACAGTCGCAGAACGAATCGGCTGGACAATCTCCAAACTGCATAACCCAGTTCCCCTCTGGCACCAACAAGTTGCCAGCACTGTCAGCAAGTCAGTTATTCTTCACCAAAACCACGCCTCGTTTCCCATACTAACAGGACCAGGTTCCTCAACCGTCTCACCCCCTCCAACCCCATGGAACGCTCCAACTACTTCGTCGAAGTCAAACGCCCCGACGAAAACCTCTTCGAGATCCTCTACCGTCCCACCACCCTCTCCGAAGCAAACCACAACCCCGCCCCCGAAGACATCGTCATCCGCCGCGAGCGTCAGACTTTCATCAAGTTACCCCGGTCCGGCGCTCTTGTTTTCGGCGTCAAGACCGTTCTCACCACGCTGGATGAGCTGCCCATGCAGGAGTTGCAGAATTTAGCAAAGGAAATCAGGAGCTGGCCTGATTATGTGGGCGAGTATAAGGGGACGGAGATTTGGGGCGCGACGGCGTTGGAGTTTGCTGAGAGGAAGAGCCGGGAGGCTGAGAAGGTGGAAGTTTGATTTTGATTTTTTTTTTGTTTTTGACTCGTTTTGTATTAATGATTTCCTTTTGTTTTGGGAAAACGGTAGGGTGGCTTTTTGATTTGATTTTCGTCGTTTTGATGACATGCATACTTACTATCAGGGCGGTTTTGTCTCTTTATTTCTTGTTTGCAACGCATTATCATTGCATTGGGTGGTCATTTTGCTTTGTGTTGTACTTATAGCGAATGAATTGATATTAAGGAAGCAAACCCTTCTAATGAATAAAGATTATAAGACCGAAAAGTAGGGGACAATGAAAACAGAAAGAAAAAAAAAAAAAGCAGAGCAGTCTGGCCTGGTCTATATACTCCGTCCGGCCATCTAATTACAACAAGTAACGCACTGAAATGAAGGGTATACACTTAAGCGAAGCAATAAGATTGGGTCATGCCAATATTCGCGCCCACTAGATCTTCGAACGGGGCGGCTCGTCCTGTTTTAACCGCACGACTCCCTGTAGTTCGAAGTTAGTTGCCGTTCCTGCGTCCCAATCGGATGAGAGAAAATTGGGGGGTGGAATGGGGGAGGGCAAAATGAACTGGCAAATGAGACAACATACCTCCTGCGTACAAGTGGCAACCAAGACCCCATCCTTAGACCAGATCTTCTGGATGGCTAAGCCCCGACCCTCTCCGGCCCACGGGCTCTCCATTTCGATGAGCATCCACTCATCTGCCCGAAACGCCCAAGGATTGTGGAAGTAGATTGAGTGGTCCAGGCTGACCATCATGCCCACTTCCTTGTGCTCCTCTGGTTTGCCCATGGCTTTGCTTAGCGCACCTTCCAGACGACGGCGAAGTTCCGTGGTTTCTTCTTCCTTCAGCTCCTTCAGTGCCCGCGCGATGTCCTCATCGTCCAGATCGGATGGGTTCTTGAGAGCGTTCAGAACCTTCTGTAGCTCCTCAGGAGAGGAGAATCGAGGGACGTCGTGGACCCGTGACACAGTCCCAATAAAGTAACTGTCCGTAATGTAGGCTAGGGCCGAAAGATGCGCCTGATGACCCCCATCATCCGAAATATTCCCCCTTGCGCGGACAAACCGACGCATCCTCTTATCCTCGGGGTTTGAAGCACCTATCACCGTCAGCCCCTATATTAATTAAAAAACGAGATACCCGCGAAAAGCGAACACATACGATTCACAATCCCCGCCCTTTGGCTCTCAAACGGGCCCCCACCACCACCCTCATTCTCCAACCTCTTCCTCGCACTCAACGAAGATGTCTCATCTGGCATCGCAATATCCGGCTTCGGTGCCGCATGCTCCAACTTCTTCTTCCCACCGCTATTCGCCCGGCTGAAACTCAGCGTCGTGGTGAAAATGGGCCGGCCCCGCTGTCTCGCCTGCACCGTCCGCGTGATGAAACTCCGGCCGTCACGGACTCGTTCGACATGGTAGAGGATAGGGATTTGCGAGTCACCGGCAAGCACAAAGTAGCAGTGCATGCTGTGGACGGCGAAGTCGGAGGGGACGGTTCGCATGGCTGCGGAGAGGGATTGAGCTATCGCGGCGCCGCCGTAGATGCCGCGGGCTCCTGGGGGATGCCAGAGGGGACGGGTATTGGTGAAGACATCCTAGAGCGGGTGGTTAGTTATTTTGCTTGAGATGTACGGGATGCTTTGCAAGGAGATAGGCGTATCGTACCGGGCCAATGTCGACAACGGGCGTTAGTTCCAAGACATTTTCGATCGGTGCTTTGGTGGAATCGACACCAGGATCATCGAACAACGTGACGTTCTTGCCCATGTTGCTGGTATTATCTGAATTATTGGAAATAGATATGAAGCGGATAAATCTGTCGAGACGACTCGAATAAAAGGGCCGAAAGCCGCGGACGTGACGACCGAAACAGGGTGACGCCGTGGCGGATCCGCCCGATAAGGAAATAGCCGAGGCACTTCTATAAGCATACTCCTATGCGTTTGCGAGAAACATCTTAGAACTGCTTCATATGACAACTATGCTTGCTTAGGTATCAATGCATTATCGTCTATGCACCCGCCTCGCTTCTCGGTAGTGGCCGTGATGCCGAATATCACCGACTCTCGACCGGTTAACCGATATCATGGAAGATACTTCCACTTCATGGTTGAGCAATGATGCCAGAGCTGTATCGGATTGAAGGGACCCAAGAGAACTCAATTAACTAGACCTGACCAGATCTCCATGTATGCTTCATCGGGCGATCATGGAGGCGAGAAAGAATAACGGAAGCCCCATCATCAACATACATAGTTCGCTTAATACAACTCAACATCAGCCCTCCCTCACCACCGCCTTATACCGATCCCACTCATTATTCCCAACATTCAACCTCTCTGGCCCATCCACCTTAAATGTCCTCTGCAAATCTCGCGGATTAGGCGACTTCCCGCCATTCTTCCTTCCCTGCTCCAGCAACGCAACAAGCTGCCGTCTCTGCATCTCCTCCTCCGTAAGCAGAACCGTTGCCTCAGGAAAGGATTGCGTTTGCGTTTCGGTTGAGTAGATGGTGTCTTGCCCGTACGTCCAGAGCGCGGCTAGGGCGTAGACGACACCGAATGCGCTGGGGAGACCCATGCCTACTTTTTCGAGGCTATTGAGGGGAAACATGTTGCGCGCGACGATGTTGAAGACCACATTGAAGAGACCGAGGAGGCTGGAGCAGAGGCAGGGGCTGTTTTCGTTAATGGGTTTGATTGCTGGGTTTATGGAGGAGGGACGTACATGTATACGGATGTGATCGCGAATGAGCCGTCATGGCTCCGAGCTAGGACTAATACCAGTGATGATACATATGCGACTGCGATTAAGACTGATGCCGCGATGGCAATCGCGGCCTTGTTTATGTGCATGTTCGATTTCGGCTCAGGATCAGGCCCGGGTTCTTTAAATGCCACGGGAAGAATGAGGTATCTACCCAGAATTAGCGATGATAACCTTTTTTCTTGATACATTAACATACCCCACAAGCAATAGATTCGGCGGCAGAGCAGCAAGAAATTTCCATAATGGGCTCACTCGCACTTTCGGCTCTGGTTTTGCTATCGCCGGGGAATAATACTGTTGTTGCTGGTAAGGTGTGAAATAAGCAAGCTGCTGCTCCTGTGGCGTCGCAGCGATCTCCTGATACTGCGGCGAAAACATCCCGTACAAGCGTCGCTAATTCATGCGTTCATTTTGATAGATTCGTAACAGTAGGAAATGTTAATTCACTATGGTTATATGGAATATGATCTGTCAGATGCTGACGGTTACGAGGACAGGACGAGCTGAGCTGAATGCGAATGCGAATGCAGGAGAGAAAAGCTGACGATTTCAAATGCACCTAATAAGTAGCTGGGCTTGTACCTTTCCTGTTTTGGCTGTGGCTAATGAGGCTCTACAAAGTCATTTAGCGTTGGGTAGGTTATAGCACAGCGCTTATCTGCATGTAGATAGGGTGTCTATACTGTGACCGTAGTGCTCCACCAATACTATTAGACCCATTGTTTATCCAACTTTCAGTTAACAGCGATTTGATGATGCCAATCAGATTGACAATGCATCTTCTGCTACATCACAACACATTCCGGCCTCAATCCAAAACCAGCCAGCCACACCCAACTACCACCCAAACAATCAACTGCCAACCAACAAACCATTCTCACCATCTCCAGAGCCCCAACACATATACTTTCACGCACATCAAGCGCACATCAACGTAATATACTCGACCTCAATAATAGCCTCAATACTGGCCTCAATCCGTTGACACCCACTATCCCAAGCAACCCCCGTACTCATCGACGTCCCATCCCATTCTTCCTAGTAAGCGTCAAATACGCCTTCCTCCAGTCGCAAGTTATTTTCCACCTGCACATATTGAGCACCGGGGAAGGAGTCCTCTCTCGTGCCGCATCCGTATGCTGGCCAGTCGGGAGCTTGCGTACAGGAGTTCTCGTAGAAGCAGACCGTGCAGGAGTTGAGGGCGCTAGGAATGGAGATGTTGAGAAGGGCGGTGGCCTTCATGTTGGGTGGAGTTGAATCTCATTTGGCAGAAGGAAGAGGTTTAAGAAGTGATGTTCTGTTCAACTGAACGGTTGAGTGGGGTTCAAGACCTTCGATAGGTGCCGTGGGTTTTATATCTCCCTCCTTCCAGCCAGAACGGCAGTCTGTATTGAAATCGCAAATTGCCATGTCCATATCCATGGAGATTAGCATGGCCACCCGCTTAAATGCATTATACAGAAAGCCGGAAGCCAAAATTGACCCTCTCCGTAGGCCTTGTCAATATCAATTCATCACTTCGTATCCAACTAACCTGGCCGAATAGAAGAACCGTTCGTATTCTCTACTACAGAGAACACAACCATGGCTTCTGGGACTCTTGGTATAAACAGAAAATATGTCTAGTCATGTCACGCAGCGCTTATCCTATATTTGTTGATACAGGGGAAGTATGTATACTCCCAATCCCGACAGACTAAAGCATAGCTTGGTGCAGTATAAACGGCTTGTCAAAAGGTACTCATGCTCAGAAATGCGCAGTCGAAAAAGCACTGGCAGCGGAAAAAGTCCGGCAAATTGCGGCGACAAACAAGGATGAATGGTGGATCGTAATTGAACAATATGGCTTAGTGCCTATCACTAGTCTTACCGGGCCGAGCCAGACGGAAGAGGAAGATTTACCCGACGCCACGTGATTTTCATACAAGCAGGTACACGAGTAATTCTCCGTTTATGTTATTGAATTGACTATCTCTATACAGGCAGCTCCAATTATGGGTGATCGGATAATGTCTCCGCGTTGAGGTTTTTCGTGATCAGCCGAAGATCGAATTGGTCCGGGACTTCAAAGCTACTATCGTCAGCATGGCCAATACACTCTTAACGTGAAAACGAACCTGAACTTCGAACCAGTCTCGCTCGAGATCTTCCCACCGGCCATTGTGATTAGGTTTCTCATCCTGTATATGGTCAGAAAGGACGTTGATGTGGTTCGGGTGTGACTGACTGGTCTTTGTCGGATTCACTGGCGAGATTTTGGAGGATAACCTGTTCGCTGTTGATCAGTGCCGATGTCCTGAATGTTAAACATTAGATGATGCGAACCGTGTGGAATGGCATTTTGGTGATGGTAATCAGTCTATACAAAAAAAAGGGTCTGTACAAGCGCGATGGTATTAGGTGGAGTACTAATCTAATCCTGATGGCGAGGGAGAGTAGCACCTTATATACCAAGAAGACGTATGGCGAATAGGGCATAAGATGATATCACGCTGACCTAGGTGTATCTACGCCCCCTTATATTGTCCCATCTATCTGGGAAAATGTAGTGGGAGATGTGAGATATCAAGTATTACTGTTCTCCATACTAGAAAGATGCTATATAATGAGGTGGTCCAAATACCGACATGAAATACTCAATATAAGCTCTCCTTCCTGTCTATACCTCGGTCATAATACTGTCATCCAGACCAATAACCATGCCCACGGTAAAACCCCAAGGAAGAATAATCCGGCCTTCTCGAAGCGTTAATCCATGGTTCCATCATTCCATTTTTGATTGCCCATAAATATCCGCATCACTGCCCAACTCACTCATTAGCCCACACTCGATCAATCAATTAAATCACTCCTACCCAATATCACGCGGTATATGGGGAAAAGCAACATACAAAGACGCATCTAATCCCTCCCTCCCCTCCGCCTTCCCATCAACCCACACACTAACGCTCATCCCAGCGACCGGAAAATTCCCATATCCATGCCTATCAATAGTCACAGTTCCCGGGAACCACTCCAGAATATCAGACCACACCTCGCCGGCGTGGTTTCGTCCAACGTACATGCGTTTCTCGAAAGCTTCGGTGTTGCTCATTACGCAGGCAAGGCCGGATTGGTGGTGGAGGTTGCCGTATCGGACGAAGCCTGAGGTTAGGTCAGTTGAGGTCTTTATCTGAGTACAGAAAGATTGGGAGGGAGGTACCTATGCAGTTCTGACTGTCAAAATAGTCGTGTTGTTCGCCGTAGGCGTAGAGTTTGCGGGCTTTGGTGAGGATGGGAAGCTTGCCGTTGCAGGCGGGGGTTAGGGGGCTTTCGACATGTTCTTTCATGCCGTAGAGGTCGCCGTAGAAGATACATGGTTGGCCTTGACTTCGGAGGAGGATTAGAGCGTAGGCGAGGGGTTTGAAGAACGAAGCTACTGGGGCCTGTAAAAGTTAGTTGACTAACATACTCAAGTGCGTACAGTTAGGCACTTACCTCTAAAGATTGCCCTGGTTGTGTGTCGTGATTCGTGACGAAGGTCTATAATCCAAGTTAGCTATGGCCACCAATCAGTAAATAAGAAAATAGAACTCACTACTGCATGATCCGGTTTGCTTTGCACAAGAGTACCGTCGAATATTGACCGTAAATCGCCTCCCTTCGTATGCGAAATGCTCGAAAACCGGCCAACCAGCGGCGCATCGAACAGCGAAAGTCGATATCTCATCTCCTCCAGATATTTAAGAAGAACATCCACCTCACCTTTCCAATACTCCCCAATAATAAACCACTCGGGCCCAACGGTACTCCGAATATGATCGATAAACTCCCTCTGAAAAGCAGCCGAATAATGCTTAACAGCATCCAACCTCATACCATTGAGAGGAAGTTCTGTCCCGATCCACTCACCCCATCTGAGGACATCATCGCGGACTTCTGCGTTGGAATAGTCCAGGTCGCCAAACATTAGAAAGTCGTAATTGCCGTTCTCGGAACTGACATCTTGTGCCCAACCTTTATCCGGACCGACAATTTTGTAGATCGCGTTTGTTTTTCGGGAGTCGTCCCAGTCGATGCCGCTAAAATGGTACCAGTGGTATTTCATGGAGCTGTATGTTTCGCCACGGCCGGAGAAGTTGAAGCCGACCCAGCCTTCGACTTCTTCTGGTTGTGAAATGTCGGTGTTTCGTTCTATCAACGGTTAGCCAGCTTTCTGTATTCAGGCTGCTAGGGACCAACCCTTAGGATCAACTTTAACCGCAGGGAACCGCTCCGTATAATCCGCAGCAGCCTTGTGATTCAGCACAGCATCCCAATAAACCCCAACCCCCAAATCCTGAGCCAGCCATAACAGATCCAGAAGCTCCTCCTTAGTCCCCCATTTCGTCGCCCTTGACCCCTTCTGGTCAAATTCTCCCAAATCATACAAATCGTAAATGTCGTAGCCATTACCAGACGGACTCATGGCTTTACATCCTGGAGGAATCCAAATATTATCTACTCCGATTTCCTTTAGACTTGGTAAAAGGCTGTTCAGACGGCGCCAGTGGGCTTGGTCATCGGGGACGTGCCATTCGAAGGCTTGCATCATGAGGGTGTTGTCGGCAGAATCCCATGATGGCATTTGGTCAAGGTGTTCTGCTGCTTCTATTGGGGGGTTAGTTGGTGCATTAGTTTCGAAAAGAGAGGATAGTGTACTAACCCTCAATCTCCTTCCATTTTTGCTCTTCTTTCTTCCTGTACGTGAAACAGCCGAATAAGTAGGACAGCATTTCGATGTTGATAGGGACAAAGAAGGGGCCAGAGACAGGTGATATATCTCTTCTTGCCAGATGGGAAAAAGTAAAAATCAATCAAACAAGCACGTACACAAGAGACAAGTCAGAAGCCAAGGACCCGGGCATAGTGCGTGCAAAGCACGATGTATATAAGCAATGGATGACGATCTGACAGCCACAGTCAGATTTAGCGATATTTGAGAGACACCGCAAGGGCATACAATTGACTAATGCGGTTTCAGACAAACGTTGTCTTGCGCAATGGTAATTGCTGATGGTTATACTATAGCCTGTGCTATCTTATGATATTACTCGATCCCTTGTTGCACTGAAATTTCGACAGGGCAATGGTAATTAGTCCAGTGTCATTCAGGTGAAATGTTCTTGCATATATGAGTTGAAGTGATGCTGCGTACTCAGTAGTGCTACGTAGTATATTCCCCGAGATATATCTAAGTGGATTCGACCGGTAAATCTCTGATGGTGTTAATAATAGAATGGACGTCACTGAAACGGAGCCAATCGGATGAACTATATATGCCAATGTTTGATCTGCTTGGAATTCCTGGCAACACGAGGTATTATGAACAGTGCACTTCTAGTCTGTATAAGTATACTGTGCACGCTATGCAGATGATGAACTGGTCGGTCAGTTGGTACAGCGGACGCTAGAGACCAGCGGTGCAACCGGGTGGACGGATGGCGGGGTATCCAGTATGGTAGATATACACTGATACTCTGTTGATATAGAATGCTAAATTGTACAATTATTCTAATAGATATCTAGATACTTAAAGTAGTGTATACTACTGTATAAATATACCATTTGTAATGCTACTGCTGACGGGCCGGTCGGAAGTGGAGTGGCGGGCGAAAAGTTTTCGGGAGCGGTTTTCCCAGATGCCCGTAGCCTTAACGTATCCCTTTCTCTTTTTCTTTTTCCTCTTTCTCTCTTCTCTCTCTTAAGGCTTCTTCTTCATCCTCCCCACTCTTTGCCCTTCTACACCTCAAATAAAATAAAAAACACAATGGCCGCTACCGCTGAAAAGCCCTCGGGCCTTGGCCTCTACGGCAAGTTCGCCTTTGCCGGTGCCGTCTGCTGCTCCGTCACCCACGGTGCGCTCACTCCGGTCGATGTGTACGCTCCCCATACAAAGATATAAGAGATGATTGGGTGAATGCTAACGAAATCAGCGTCAAGACCCGTATCCAGCTTGACCCCGTTACCTACAACAAGGGCATGATCGGTGGTTTCCGCCAGGTCGTCGCCAACGAGGGTGCTGGCGCTCTCCTCACTGGTTTCGGTCCCACCGCCGCCGGTTACTTCCTCCAGGGTGCCTTCAAGTTCGGTGGTTACGAATTCTTCAAGCAGCAGTGCGTCAACCAGGTTGGCGTTGAGAATGCCTCGCAGTACAGAACCCCCATCTACCTCGCTTCCTCCGCTGCCGCCGAATTCTTCGCCGACATTGCTCTCTGCCCTCTTGAGGCTACCCGTATCCGTCTCGTCTCTCAGCCCACCTTCGCTTCCGGTCTCGCCTCTGGTTTCTCCAAGATCCTGAGCCAGGAGGGTATTGGTTCTTTCTACTCCGGTTTCGGTCCCATGCTCTTCAAGCAGTAAGTTACCGGAAATTATCATGACATAATATCAAACCTAACAACCCCAGGGTCCCCTACACCATGGCCAAGTTCGTCGTCTTCGAGAAGGTCTCTGAGGCTATCTACCGCAACTTCGACAAGAACACTCTCTCCGACGGCACCAAGACCACCATCAACCTTGGCTCCGGTCTGATTGCCGGTTTCGCTGCCGCCATTGTCTCTCAGCCCGCCGACACTATGCTTTCCAAGATCAACAAGACCCCTGGCGCTCCTGGTGAGGGTACCGTCTCTCGTCTCGCCAAGATCGGTAAGGAGCTCGGTCTCCGCGGTAGCTACGCTGGTATTGGTGCTCGGTACGTTTCCTCCCCTCCCTCCTTGGTCCAAGACGGTCCGTAGCTAATATACGCACAGTCTCTTCATGGTTGGTACGATCACTGCTGGTCAGTTCGCTATTTACGGCGATGTGAAGCGGTTATTGAATGTCACCGGTGGTGTGGAGATCGCCAAATAAGCGAATATAAGTCAATATTGCCAGTGAGTGCAGTTGGCTTGTGTCGAGGAGAACGTAAACGGAGGTAGCGTTCACCCCGGTGCAGCTGCAACACGCGCGTCATGCTGTTTTTGCCATTGTTACTGGTATGCGGTGGTGGCTTGCAGATTTGTGTAAATTAGAGCTTTTGTTAGATTGACTTATAAAATACCATAGAAGGGCATTGGTTGTTGTACACTTTTGGGATTGCATCAGTGAGGCGCAGTGGCGTATGCCTGGCTCATAGGGCCTGATACCCGTACTGGGGGTCTATTTCAGTAAACAAGCTGAATTGTGGCATCCACTAACTCTAGCTATCATGTCAACATCCTACATACTAATCAAAGGAGCAACCATCCCAGTCGAATTCAACACCAACCCCTTACCCAACCACGACATCCTAATCGAAAACGAGCACATCAAAGCAATCGGCCCTAATCCCTCGCCCCCAGACAACACCAACATCACCACAATTGACGCCCAAAATCATGATAGTGCGGTGAAAGGGTTGAAGGGCGCGGGGATTAGGGGCTTTTTTTTTT